TTCAATCACGTTTTTAAACTCTTCGAAATTATTTATATAAAAAAGTGCAGCATTTAACCACGTTCCCTATCTTGTAATAATAGGTTCGGGTGGTAAAGGTACACCCGGCATTTCTTTTCTGTATTTATTTATTCTCGATGATTCTTTTAGGAAAGGCTTTGTTCCTGAAATAAACGAAATAACTTACACATCAATCTATTTAAATTTTAAATAGGTACTTAATATATTACCATTGTTAATCAATTTTTAAACGACGGAATACAGTTTTCTCTAGAGGTTTTCTACAAAACTTAATTATTTTGGAATGATGATCTAATAGATATTTTTTTTCAGTAGACTCAGATTTGTTACATACGAGACAATATAAAACCTTCCCATCTGATGAAAAATACTTCTTTATTTTCGTCGTAAGGAGCAATCCAATTAGAAAATTTACTTTTCAAAGTTGATTTTAGTTTAGGTATAGCGTCGAATGCGTTCACTGTGAAGTCAAACTGATCGAAGAAATAGGTTCTCAGGTACCGACGGGTAAAGGCACACAAATCACTGTATTACTGCGTTTAATTTAATTACCACCGTATATATTGACGCTTACCGTTCGCTAGGCTCTCTGAGCTTCTAGAAAATTCCAGACGAACGATAAACGCCCGTGATTTAAAAACGTGAAAAAATTGCAAAAACGTCGAAAATTGAAAAAAATCGCATTTTAAAATTAAATAGGCAATATTTTATATCGGCTATATGTTTAATCAGATCTGATTTATTTTTATTGCAAAAAAAAAAAAAGAAAAAAAGTCGCAATATCAATTTAATCCGGTCTTTAATTATAGTACATACTCAGAGAAAACGTGTTTTTTTTTGTGTGCACCACGGACAGTCGTACCATACAAGAGAAAGCGGCCAAGGCTATATATATATATATATGCTGATATTGCTCAGCATTGGTCGCTTGCCGTATTCGAATTGCCGACATTTTTCAATTATTATTATTTTCCAATACAATTTTGAATTATTTAAATTACTTTGAAAGAAATATACGCTATGACTTGTTACGGACTCTGTCCTTCACGTGTAAAGTTTGTTAATTATAATTTAAGAATTCCGCGCGACAAGATATGAAATCGGTCGTCGCATTAAGTATACGCACGTCGGGGCCATTGATACGGGTGTGGTAAACCGACGACGTTCTCGCGCAACAACGGATGATACGTGTCCGTGGGCCAAAGGGACAACGTGTCCGGGTACGGACGACGTGCCACCAGCAGACAACGGCGGCAGCGTCCACCACCGCCTAGACCCCGATCGAGGCGACAACCAAGGAGANTCGAGACAACCACACCACCACCGACGAACGAGAAGGAGGAGCACCGTCACCTCGGCACCAACCCGTCCAGTCATTTCATTAATGTATGTATACCTGATAATTACATCTAAGTCTTGACCCGGGGCTGGTGTCGCAGGTTTTTCACTCATAGATACAACTTGTCAACCGTGTTTTGTTCAAATTCTAATAAAAAACCTTTTTTACACCTAACACACGTGTACATCTTCCCACCAAAGGCTGTGTCCGAACAGCCCGTAACAGACGCCCGGATATACTTTCACTCCGTCAATACACCTTTATCTGGGCGTGCCCGTGGTCGTTTTCCTCAATGTTTCTATTTAAAAACAGCACTTACACTCTTAGAGGGTCATTCTCACTTCTACGTGTGATATTACTTGATCGTTAGATTGCTTGACTTTTGATAAAGTAAGTTGCAGTCTGCAGCTTTATTTAAATTATCTCGGTATCCTTGTAGGGGACACCTGTGTATTTAGATCTTTCAAAACTAGGTACTTATTTTAATCAACTGAAGAATGCTATACGCAATAGTCAATAGTTAATTATGTATTCATAAAAGTAGATTTTATGTAGCTATAGAGGCGTCTCATTTGTATAATTTAGCATATTAGCTGTAGCGCAGAGGAATACCAAATGTTTAAAAGATATATTTAATACAAATATTGAATAGAATAAAAGTTATTTCGTGTGTCGGATCATTGGACACCTGTGTATGTTATGTATGGCCGTATGAGAAATCTTTTGAAAACTAGTAATTATTTCTGAAAATCGCTATACTTCCCTGTTTGTATTAAATGATATTTTGTAAGTTTCGCTTGAACACTATCTTACAATTTATTGTTAAAATTTAGAGGTACCTAGCGGTATATTCGAACGACCAATAAGACAGTGGCACCACGGACAGGGCCGGCGCAAGGGGTGGGACAAAGGTTGGCTAGGAACCAGGCCCCGCGCTTAACCTCACCAAAACTATACGAACAAAAATGAAAAATAATTTGGGAAATCACTAATCAGATCTTCTCTGGTGACCAGTAACAGGCTGAAATCATAATTGGGTAGGTACATTGTAGGAAATGAATATTATTACTATTTCTATTTTCGTCTGTCTTCGTGGTCGTTGTCGTCATTGTAGGTCGCCCACGGCGATAACGGTTATTATTATTTATTACAATATTACCACAGTCGTGTTGTTATTCTCTTCAAAATTTGTATGTGTCGCCGCACATGGGTGAATTTCTAGGAATTAAGTGGTCAAAAGTCAAATTTTCAAAATTAACTTGCAACAAAACAAGTGAATTTTTTTGATAAGCAAGTATCGCGACAAACAATATCCTCCGGTTCTTATCACTGCGCGCCAACTCGGTCTAAACTCTAAACATGATTGTCTCGCAAGTCGCAAGCTGCACACGTTTAATTATCGGTGCAGGGACAGATCCGGGGGGGGGGGCTAAAGGACTAGTCCCCCCCCTAGACATAATATTTCTCCCGTTTTTTTTTCCATTATTCTATATATCCGTGATATTACTGTATTTCAATTACTGATATGTATGATAAAATAATATATTATATTATATTTTAATTGTATTTGTGTTGTAAACAAATTGTTACACCCACCCCAGATCTTAGCCCATGGATCCGTGCCCGTATCGATGCGCCGCTCGCATCGAATTTTATATAGCATACGGACTATACTTGTCTATTATTGTTGTTTTGCACACTTCATTTTAAAATTGTGTGTTATTAATTCATTTTTGAAATTTTAATAGGTACTCATAAAGTTAATAATAATATAATTTGCAATTTTTTTCTACTATTCGGGAAATATACTATTAAATATACTAATACGGTCGGGAACTTGTAGAATCGTTTAAGTTTTATTTTAAAACCATTTTCAATATTTACGCTTACTCCATATACCTTAAGTAAGAATATACTTTTGTTTTTTTAAAAAGGAATCCCTCTCTTTTTGAACACAGATTCGAATAAAGAATATATTTATACAAATACGTTGATATGCATAACACTAATATGAGATTTACTGTTTATGACTTAGGGAAGGGAGTAGAAAAGGATAATAAATTGCATATCTATTTTTAAATGATAAATTGATAACTCTAATCTAACCTTTAAACTGTTATAACTCATAAACGGTAAATCTGATATCAGTGTTCTGTATATAAAAATGTCTAGTAGTAGTAATATATTCTATATATTCTCTATATTCTTTTTGTTACATAAAATATCCATAATTTTTAAGTACAAATGAAACTGGTTCCAAATGCCATAAAGATGATTTTGGATCTTGGAAATACTTTGATTGAATAAGAATGGAACACTTCTCATTTATACATTTCAACTGATATTCTCTGAAGGGTGAGATAGAATTATGAAAAACTAAATGAAAACAATTAATTTGCAAAGATATAATAAAATAACATATTTTTTGAAGTGAAACTAAAAACGTACGAAAAAAAAAGATTAACACGCGTCACTGTCGGCCTCGGTTGGCCTCGGTCGTCGGTCGCTGGCTCGTACGCCGGTCAACTTACACGGGTCGCGATCACGTCATCAGTTATTAAATAATATCTATCCTGATTACGAAAATATATATAATACCTTATGTGAATTCAGATAATAACGCATCCTGAGAAAATTAAGTCTGTCAGGATTAAAATCAGCTGTTAACACACACACACACTAGTGACACTGCGAGTGAATGCAATCCGATTTCCGATCGATAATCCAAGATTTCGGATTTTCGAACTGACTATCCGAAATCCGAATTTTTCCCACCACTAACACACACAATATAAATAAAAGTATAACGGCTATTTCAGTTGTCATAACCCCATTATATCTTTCGTGACATTGGAATAACAAAATGAATAATAACAATAATAAATTAAATTAATTTCAATTGGATTTTATTTAATTCCAATATAAACCTAATATTTATTCTGTCAGTTGAATAACTCTGAACAAAGTTATACTTCATCCGCGCGCACTCGTTACACATGCATTGTTTTCTTTTAAAATCAAAATTGAAAATGATTAATTAAATTTAAATTTTAGAATCTAAATGTACCAAAGAATGTACTTACTGTATTTACAATGATGTTTTTTTTTTTATATATATATATATATATATACTGTGATAAAAATTTCTACCGAAAATCTTGCTTCAATATGTAAGTGTAGCACCTTTTTTGAAAAAAAATATTGTCATATTGACTAGATGGTGCTTTGGGAAGGTCATTTTTTGATTTTCCAAGCAGTTTTTTAAATTTACGAAAATAATGCTTGGATTATTTTCAATTTTGTTTTTTGTTGTAATTCGGTTAAAAATATTCGTAGACTTGAAATTTGAACAGGAAACTTATATGTGCCTATTTTTGATGTAGTCAAATTTTTGAGCAATTTATAAACATATTAATTTTGCGAGTTTTGTACGTAATTTGTATAAAAAATGTTGAGCAGAGGCTAACTGGCTTATCACATTTAAATATTTATCGAAATGAAAACACTAATATAAAATATTGTTGATCAAACTGCTGCCTAAAATAAAAGTATTTTGGACTTCGGACTTGGTCATCTAACTTTTATTAATTATTATTATTATTTTTGTTATTCATGTTATCATTATTTTAATTATTATTTATTTAATTAGAAAAAATAAAATTAACTTTTAAATTATACTGTTTTATTGCATTTGTGCGATATATTTGCAGTCTTCTAAGTTAATATTAGTTAAAATGACATCAGACATAAAGGTTTTATATTTTTGTTGACCAAAGCGGTGGTGTTCAAGATTAAAAATTGTTTGTCCTCCCCTCCCCGTATAGAATTGACCCGAAGACGCCCCTAAACAATACTACTACTAACCCATTCGTTTTTTTGTTGGCAATGCTTGAAATTGCTTAGGAACAGATATACATTCAATTTCCCCAAATATCCTGCGTTCCCAACTTCTCATCTATAACAGTAGTCCACTCGAAGTATGTCCGTCTTTTTTTCTTGTCAATCATTAATATTAAATGTAATTATTACGTCCAACATCCCCCCCTCCACCCCCAATCAATAGTCGAGGTCTGGAGACGCCCCTGTTTCAGAAACAAGAATTTGGGATATATAATTTAAAATAGTGTTAAAACAAAGCTTAAATGATTCCATAATGATTTACAAACATAAAAAAAAAAAAAAAAAAAAATTAGAAATCAAATTCACATAAAATGCTCAAAGAAAATTGCAGGTTCGGGATAAAAGAATAGCCGTTTGTATTATTGCACAAGTAGTATATATTTTATTAGTAATTAAACTAATTTGTATACGTACCGAGAGCTAATAAGACACTAAGTGTATTGTAATACTAGGTATATGCTATTGTACAGGTCTATCGTGTAGGTACACAGCCTACGACCCTATAACAAGAGAAATTTACCGGCGGGACGTGCACCTAATATATTGTTATTATTATTATCAGTGTAACAACGTTACATTATTTAACATAATTAATAAGGAGACGGTGGCGGCCAAACGCCCCCCGTTCGATGTGCAAAGTATCGTAACCGTACATGTTAATAATATTAATAATATCGTTTTGACGATAATACTGTTGTGTGTGGTATGGTAGGTACGGTGGTTGGGTACGCGTACAACGCTCGCCGTCATTATATAAACCGAGCGAATATTGCCCAGTACGTCATGTTAAGCACGGTGAACAGTAACGGGAAGAAGACGCGGGAAAACCGATCGATTTTCAGCGCTCTGGTGCGATTCCTCTGTACTTTGGCCGCCGTCGCGGCTGCTTGCGCCGCGACCGCTTGCGGCGGCGGCCGCGGTGCCGGCGGAATCGGGTGTCCATCGATCGACTTTATGTTGTTCTGCAAAACAACAGTATTGTATAATAATAATAATAATAATAATAATAATAATAATAATAATAATAATAATGACCAACCCGATTGTAAAACAGGCATGTATTATCAGGGTAGCCACCGGTCACAATAATCCGGAACCTAAAACCCCGGGCAGTAAAACCAGTGGTTCCATAATTCTAACGTTGTATTATTCTGATATTTTTGATCGATAACAACTTATTACGTCTGTGTTAGTTTTCCAATTACGTTTATTTTTAATTTTTTTTAAATGAATTTCGTACAAATACTGTTCTCCCGACTTATTTGATACACCGACTTCATACTCGTAAACATATTTTAGAAACAATTGATATTTGTACGGTAAATTACGTTCTGGATTATTGTAAATTGCAATCCGGACAATTCCGTTTCGAGGTTTTACGTTCCGGATTTGTAAAGTCACCCATCCTGTATGTTTCAAGGGGCAGTCCCATTTTTCGTTAATTTACTACCCACGTGCCCCGTCCAATCTTAATGAGTGTCATTGGGACGCACATATACATTTATACACGAGAATTCTGCCCGCTCTCTTTTTGCATGTCAATTCCACTTAATATTTGTATATAAGTTGATTTACGATAATCATGAATTATTAATAATAATTTATAAAAAAAATGGATAATTTGTAAGTATTATAATCTAATAATTACATTTTTATTATTTTATACTATAAAAATAAATGTATTTTATCATAAATAATTATACAATCAATAAATAATAAAATAATAAAGTAAATAAATATATAAATAAAAAATGTATTATATGTATATGAGTACTATAATAAATACTTATCATAATACTCCAGGCGACGCATTGATTCATTTATTTTATTTTTATGCATACATGTTTTACTTATATATTTGTTTACTATATCTATTTACTTTACAATTAATGAATTAATAAGAATCTAAATTATTTACAAGTCCTGTTGTCTACCTACAATACACATTATACCTCAATATTTGTACTGGTCTCGTCAATTTTCATATACAGCATTACCAGAAGATATTTCTAAACTAATCGAAATTATGATTCGTCGGATTCAATTATTGAAAACGAAGGTTTCTATTCGACTTTGACTCAGTAAATAATGTTTTATTCATTTCTACAACTTTAAATGTAAAATTACTTTGCCTCAAATGACAAAATACTTGAAAATTGTATAAATATGCTGCTGTATATGGTATACATCGATCACTGTTTTACTAACATTCGGTGGAATTAACATGTAAAAATGTTTGGCAGAGCCAATATATTTATTTCAGGTAAAAAAGTTATTTCGACAGAATCGATATACGCCTGTAATATTTCTTAAAATAATACACAAGTGATAAGTAGGTATTATCGTAGGAAACATTTTTAAAATCTATAGGTCTACTATTTGCATACAGTAAGGGGCAGACTTTGGTTTATGAACCAATTTCGCCGCTGGCCCCCCACTCCCATATAACTTATATCGGCGGTTCCCAAACTTTTTTTTCGGTGGTGCCCTTTTTCGAACAAAATGTAGCCACGGGGCCTTGCCGTGAATACCACGAGAAATGTACTAATATATATATAATATAATAAAAAAGACGTCCTAGGATAATCAGGACGGGTGCAGCCACTGTTATAGATAAATTAATGTATACCTGTAAGCAACGATTAACCATTGAAAACCAACGAAAAACGATTCTGAGCGGAGTTCAGTTGATAGTGATGCTTTGTCAACGATATATATATATATATATATATATATATATATATGTCATTTTGTAGTATTTGTTTAATATTGTACCGATTTTCCCAATTTTCCTACGTTTTTCCCGGTTTTACCATGTTTTATCTCGGTTTTTCACATTTGCTAGGAAAACTTGTAAGAAAATCGAATAATGACCTTTCTAACCTCCTCACACCGATTTCCTTTCAGAAAAGGTGCTACACTTAGAAGTTAAATTAAATATTCTGGTAGAAATTGTGTTAACAGATAAAAAAAAAAAATAATAAAATAAAAACACATAAGCTTCTTCGCTCCACTCAGAATTTAAAATCATGACTAATTCTCATTGATAATCTGTTTTTATAATTGTATTGATTTTAATACAACATAAGCATTCTAAAGTACAGCTGATTTCTTACATTTCTTTTATACTATTCAATTTGAAATGAACAAAAATTTAAAAAAATAATTACAATACCTAAGCTATAAATAATTTTTTATTAGTTACGGTGTCCCCGAAAAATTCTTACGATGTCCTTAGGTCACCGCGGCGCACAGTGTGAAAACAGCTGTTTTATACTATTATTGTCGTTTAGTGTATACATTTCGCATAGGCCCGTGATACGTCAGTTGATGAAATTCAATCTAGACTTATTGAGACAATTACAGTATAATTCTTGTTGTAGTATCAATTTAACCGATTATTGTCATGTGTACCTAACCAAATACCATTACTACTTTATAGGTTATACTACCTATTCTTCTTGTGATTCGTATAACAGACTCAAACATAAACAGAATTCACTGTCAAAGACTGGGCAAATAATATACAAGACAGACGTTTTATATCAAGATACTGTTTCAAAGCATTATGAGCCCTCATTTCGTGGTGATCACAGAAACAACCCATAGTTTCACTATTGTCTATTGAAGCAGAATTTATTGCATTAGCCAACGCTGTGTTAGAGACCATATGGCCTTGAAGCCTACTTGAAAAACTAGGTATTTAAATTAGACAATCAGTATTACACGAAGACAATCAAGCTTGTATCACAGCCAAGCAACAACCAAGACAACAACAACGTATGAAGCACATTGACGAAAAATATTATTACTTATAAAAAAAATAAGAGAAGCAATCAACACTAGAGCAGTAACACTCTTACGATCCATTTCAAGATCAATTTACGGATATTTTCACCAAATAACTACCATTAAAAACCTTCTCTAAACATACACTAACACTACGGGTAACCTCAGTTACCTAATTGTATCAACCATAATGTTTTTCATTTTTCTATTAATATTTTAAATTCCGAGTGAAACTGAGTGAACTCTGGGTGAACTTTTTAAACGTGGTACTTTTTCTGAAAGGAAATTTAATTTTGACACTTTAAGGTGGTCATTTTTTGATTTTTCAATAGGTTTTCATAACAATTGGGAATAACAAAGAAAAAACGTAGAGAAAACTGAACAACTTACGAAATGTATTGTATTCATTTTTGTTTATTTGTGGTGAATCAGTTAAAATATTCATAAAGACTTGAAATTGGAAAAGAAAACTTATATTTGCTTTTTCTAGACGTAGTAAAATTTTGAAATTTCCATGCCATTTTTGAGCTATTTATAAAAATTTTAATTTTGCGAGTTTTTTACGTAATTTTTTTGGTAGGTACTCTGTGGATACAATTTTTAGACATAACCGAAATGCATGAAAATTTAACAGGATTATTCATTATAAGTTGTACTTTATGGTAAAATAATTTTGATTTCAATGTAGAATTTAATTTTTTTAATGCGAACTTTAATATCAAATTTTTACGAAAATCGTAAATATTACAGCTTTTTCAAATATGTGTAACTAAAATTCGCCCCGAATCGTTTTTCGTTTTAGCAATGGTTTATCGTTGTATACAGATATAAATTAAATTCCCCTCTATTTCCAACCTTCCAAACTTCCCACCTACAATCATGGTCCGCCTGTCGTGCTAAGTATTTCCGTATTTTTATCCATACTCGTTATACTTGAAATGAGTACCCACTAAGAGTTTTTAAATAGCAACCACCCTTTCAATCAGAATTTCAAGTACTGAATATTTGTCTAGAAGTTTTAATATGCAAAATGCTAATATCAAATTTACCGTTAATGAATTATACCAGTTTAAGTTTATACCGGAAGAGTGGCGAAGGGTAATAAATTGCATATCTATATTATTAAACGATAATTCTTCCCTACTCCTCCAGTCTAAACTTTAAACTGTTATAATTTAATATAAATATATCTAGATAAAACTAGTATTTTTTTTTACAGTATTGTTTTTTATAAAAAAAAAAAATTAATTTTGTTATTTTCAATAAATGTTGAGAAAAGTGTGCTCTCAGCCTGAAGTTTTTAAATTGCGAACTGACCTGTGACCTAGCCAATCCGATCTTGCGTACAGTTATATTTGCTTTAAGTATAAATTACAACCATGCATTTTTGCCAAAATCAATATTGACATCATTGATTTGTGACACGTGGCATACATATAGGTACATACATTTAAAATTGCATTTATCTACCACTGAACTAAATACCTACATAAAATGTATGTAAAATGTGTCTCTACACGAACCGCCATAAGCATTTCGTTTTGATTTTTCACATTTGTAACCAACTTCAATTAGTGATAAAAACATGTCCTTTTTTTCAAAGATAACAATAGTAATATCAGTTTGAGTATTTGAGGGGGGAGGGGGTTGATGGGGGTGATCGATCCCCCATCAATTAATTTGTGGTGGTATTTGATATATATATATATATGTAGATATACAATAATTTAATTTTTTGTTTATCACTCAAATAATTATTTTTGATGACGGGCGTTCTAATAATATTTTGTTTCCATGACATTAATGAACGTCTATAATGGTCTATTACCTTGGAGCAGTTTGAGCAGTGATCTTATTAGATAAACAGTCACATACTCACATAACGATTTACCTGATTAAATATATTTTACTATAAAAAATTATTTAAATTAAATACCTTGTGTATAATTATTTTAGTGTTACCCGCTCTCTCCATAAAACTAAGTCAAATACGCCATAAGTAATATAAACTATAAAGTATAAATAATTATATACCTATAATCTACGCCACAATAGTCAACTGCTACTATTATATACTACATCGAACATAGGTATTACTTCGAATAACAACTGTTTCGAATATAACTGTTACTAATGTGTATTACTCCGAGATCAAATTAAACTTGATAAAAACTGCTACAAAAAGCCATAACTCCGAATTGATTTATCTGTAGTGATATAACCTCGTTTTGGTGTTACGACGATACCTTTAGATCATGTATTATTCACATTTATCGTTTTTAAAAAAAATCATACCGCACTATTTTTTGGTACCTATTAGATTCTGAGAGGAGCGAAGAAGTTTATGGTTTTACCAAAATGTTTATTTTTTCTTATTTTTTTTCGGTGGACAACTTTTCTACCACCAATTTTGCTCCAAATTTTAATGATAGCAATATTTGTGAAAGTAAATTTCACTGGGGAGATACTTTAAAGAGGTTGTTTTTTCATTTTTCCCGGAGTTTTCTCAGTAAATGTGAAAAACTGGGAAAATCGGTACAACATTAAACAAATATTGTTCAAGAAATTGCATAGAGCCTATTTAATTATTTTACTATAATATGGCATACATATATATTTTGTTGACAAAGCATCACTATCAACTGAACTCCACTCAGAATCGTTTTTTAGTAAGCATTGGTTTATCGTTGCTTACAGGTATACATTAAATTATCTACAAAAGTGGCTGCACCAGTCCCCATTATCCTAGGACGTCTTTTTTTACTTTAATTTCGTCATAAATATCTCAATCATCTCATCGTTAAGTTTGAATCATATATAATTATGCTACTTATACTAAGCTGGTTTGAACCTTCCTCCATAAATATTTGCCTTGAGCAAAACGTACATAGTACATACACGGACTCTTCATAATAACCTACTTATTATATTATACTAGATATTGCTATATTAGTAATATTTGTCTTTAAAATGAATGTGTTTTTTGTACATAATTATCTTATGTAAATAAATGTTAATTAATTTGTATACAATTTGCCATTTGAATAAATCAAATTAGATTTTTGGAAAACCGATATTGTTACGGACTCTGTCCTTCACGTGTAAAGTTTGTTAATTATAATTTAAGAATTCCGCGCGACAAGATATGAAATCGGTCGTCGCATTAAGTATACGCACGTCGGGGCCATTGATACGGGTGTGGTAAACCGACGACGTTCTCGCGCAACAACGGATGATACATGTCCGTGGGCCAAAGGGACAACGTGTCCGGGTACGGACGACGTGCCACCAGCAGACAACGGCGGCAGCGTCCACCACCGTCTAGACCCCGATCGAGGCGACAACCAAGGAGACCGGAATCATCGCCGAGAGAACTTGAACTCAGTCAAGAGTCGAGACAACCACACCACCACCGAAGAAACGAGGAGGAGTACCGTCACCTCGACACCAATCCGTCCAGTCATTTCATTAATGTATTTATACCTGATAATTACATCTAAGACTTGACCCGGGGCTGGTGTCGCAGGTTTTTCACTCATAGATACAACTTGTCAACCGTGTTTTGTTCAAATTCTAATAAAAAACCGTTTGTACACCTAACACACGTGTACATCTTCCCACCAAAAGGCTGTGTCCGAACGGCCCGTAACAATACGTTTTAGAATCTCAATAAATTCCACACGGCTTGAGAGTGTGTTTAGTCCAAAGTATAAATAATATTTTAATCGATTACCTTATCATAACGTACATAGATATCTACTAAAAAATATTTGTTCGATTCGCTACAGCACTTTTACCCGAATTTAAGAATTAAAAGATTGTAACAATGCAAAGATTTATGGAACAATTAATAGAAATATAAAATAATTTCCTCATAAAATGTTTATTTTTCAGAGAACAGGACATCAAGTGGATAGTTATGCTTTTCAAGAATGAGAACCATATTTATTTAACGTACTTGCTGGTTTGTACATTTTCACTAATTTATAACAGTTAACAATTATTATTTATCAATATAAAGGTGAGACAAAACGCAAGGTTATATAATAGTAAATACTCATATTCGAATTTTGATAAAAACGGTTTCGAAGATTTCGAAGCAGTTGTTTAGCTGCTCATGTAATATCGTAGGTATTTACATTCGAAGCAATTGCATTCGGAGCAATGAAATGCTATTGCTACGACNTAAATACCTAGTATACTTATAAATCGAACTAGAAGTTAATGATAACATAAAATGTAATTAGTATAATAAATTTAAGCATGTGGGACGCTATTTATGGTTAGTTTCATGCACGATTTTGGTACTATGATTCATTTTTTTTAGATTCTGGGAGTAACGAGGAATGTACTCTAGCGATTTTCGACCTGTTCGTAGGTATTTCTCATTATAAAAATATTACCACATTTCAAAGCATGTATATTGTATAACCAAACTTTACTTAGAATCATAATTCTTAAGCAATCTGTGGTTTATCGTTGCATGAAGATATACATTTTATAACTTTTTATATCTTACCTTCCAAAATTTTTTTTTGTGAATATTTTAAACATTTTTTTCATTAATTTCATATTTTATCGAAAGCACTCTACACTAAAATGCTTATTTGTTATTATTCACATTAATCTCAATTATTAATTATATGCGAAAAAATACTTTTATTAACACTTCTTTATTATTTCTACATTATTATGTACCTAGCTTATAGTTCGTTTTATAAGCATAATGTTTAACAAATTTTTAACTTTTTTCGATTTGATTATTTTTAGTCTAACTAAAGAATCATTTATCCACCCCTTTTGGAAATTGAAAAATCAAACCACGGGTTATTTATAGTGAAGAATAAATTCAAACAAAAGGCATAGGACGCGTTTTTTTTTTTTTTTTGATATTTCAAATTTACAATATTTTTTTCCGAAAGCTATAAAATGGTTAAAATGGATAAAAAGAAGTGAAACAGAAAGTCTAATTACGGATTATGTAAAGCAATAGTAGATAATACACAAAAAAATTTGCGAGTCGTTTTTAAATATTTTAAAGTTTTTCCCAAATGCCCACATAAAGAGAAAACCATTTTTCCATCCTATTTGAAAACCGAAGGAGAGGAATGGAAAATCTGATTATTTGTTTTTGTATTATCATCAAAAATATGAGTGCATGTAAAACCTTAAGTTGATCGGACCATAAGAAATTAATGAAAAATCGTTCATAAGTTTTAAATTTCTTCGCGAGTATGCATGGTAACAATGGCAATTCGACTTATGGTTTTTAAACGAAATAACCAGTCCTATATGTTTGTGAATTTAACACACTCAAATAATATAGGAAACAAATTAATAATTCCCTGAAAATATTAGTGAAATAAATAGTAACTAGGGCCCGGAAGTTCGTACATTTGAATATTTTTATTAAGTACACCAAAAAGTTGCTAGATTCAAATGTTTAGCTACATTTGAATTACAACCCAAATACGACTTTCTGCTCAACCAACATAAAATATTGTATTTTATAGATCACTTACATAATCATTTTTATTATTTTATTCTTTACTACGTCTATTAATAATAAAAAAATTGTTTCACTTTTTATTTAACCCAACCTATTCTATCAAAACGTAAATAGTTAGATGATATATGATATTTACCCTGAAGCTGAAATCGAACGGTTTTTTATTTATTGGTTTTTGCGGTGGCATATCGGCATCACCAAGTACAATGTTCACCAAACAATATTCCATCAGAGCCATAAACACGAACCTAAAACATACAAATACAAATTATTTTTAAAAAATTGGTAATATATAGGCAAAATTTATTAAAAAAAAAGCAATTAAAACATTTAAAATCAAAAATAAATTGAGAAACACTTATTTATTTTCTAAAACCACCGTCAAAGAATGAAATTTAAAATTATTTTATAATATCCGATAATTTATTTTTTGTGCCCGTACATTACTTATTTTAACTGCGCTAAGACACCATAATAATATATAAGTTCATACGATACCTACATATTTTAATTAATAATTAAACTCAAGGATTATTTGTTATAGTCTACCTATATAGCCATATAGGACTCATTAAAATTTAAAGTGGGAGTATGAAAGGAGACTCCATCCCTTCTTATTTACGGTAAGATTATACGTCGTCTTTAATTTAACGTTTCGCAGAAAATGTATTTTAAATTTGCATTGTGTATTAATTTTAATACAACATAATTATTTTTATTATTAGTACCATATTTATTAGTTATTACCATTTAATATTAACCAATAACTATAACAATGTTTTATAGCAATTGGCGATTGTTTTATTTTCATTTTGTTACTGTTATAATTTTAAAGACTGTTTTGTGTATCAATAAGTAATAATTAATGAAGATTTAAGTTTGTAATAAGTGATATTATTATAACTAAAATAATCAAATTCATATGAATGAATGATGAACGTGATATTCAATATAAATTAGTTTTGAATTGTCTTTTTAATGAAATATCTTAAACTAAAACAACTTTAAAATTTAAATACATTTTTTTAATATTTCAAACTATAAGTTTCAATTTATTTTTATTAAGTAGGTATAATATGTGTAGGATAATTTTTCTGAAGAGAAAATTAATTTTTACATCCTATTTATATTAACTTTGGTCATAAACTTTGATTTTGAGTGTAGCGAAGAATGTATTGGTTTTACAAAGATGTATATTTTTTTTTTTTTTTTTTTTAAACGAACACTTTTTAACCAGAAAACTTACTTCGATGTATACGATGTATAACTCTAAAAGGAAATCTTCTTGGGATGATGAAATGTGATTCTTTGGGATGGTACTTTAGAGTAGTCATTTTTCGATTTTCCCAAGAGTTTTCCCAGCAAATGTTAAAAATGGGAAAATTGGTACAATATTATAAAAAATATTATTAAAGAAAATATATAATGCCTAGTTAATTAATTTACCATAATATTACTTATATATTGTTGACAAAGCATCACTAACAATTGAACTCCGCTCAGAATCGTTTTTTCGTTAGCAATTGGTTATCGTTGTTTGGAAATATATATATTACATTCCCTTCTGTATCCTACCTTCCCAACTTCCCCCCTACAACAGCGGCTACACTCATCGGGCGAAGTATGTCCGTCTTTTTATAAACAAAGTTGTGTGAAAGAAAAAAGTGAAGGAGGTTCCTCGTGGACTTCTTAAAATCGTTTGTTTATAATTAGATTTTGATAAGAACTCGGGAACACTCCTTAATTTGTAGTGACTTTATTCCCTCTTCAAATTTTTTCCCACTTTTACCACTGCATACAGTTTATAATATTCTTATATTATACGTAAAAGTATATGAGTCAAATATTATATTATTTTGATGGTTATGCGGTTAGCTGATTCTCGTACAAGTAAAATATGAACATAAATTATTTTCGATTCTCTATTACAGTATTACCTCATCTTTCTGATAAAATTAACATATAAATTAACATATAAATTAACATTATAATTGTTAAAATGTTTGGAACATCATCTGACACTGTCTAGCACCGATTTAGTGAAAAATAATGTCATCTATATTTATTTTAAGGTAGAATTTGCTACAAATCATATGATATAAATTATTTTTAGTTTCGGCTACATATGAATATGAATAGGGGATAACAAAAATTAGAAATAATTGCCTATTGTTTTTAATATACGGCCTTTATATAGTAAATCAGAGTATAACCCACTATCGAGTATTACTCATTTTGGAAACACTCAGCTGCAGACTGTGTGCCCTTTATAGAAAATAGTTGTATAATTACGAATCACCTATTATAATACCAACATATTTTATTATACCTATTGGTTTAAATAAATAAAAAAATGGCCTTTTCTGTTCATATATAAATTCGATATTTATACAAATATACTAAATAAGTAATGTAGGGTAACTGCGGCATGATTTGAATATTTTTAAATATATGAACATTTATTGAATACATACACGCCAAAGGACATAAGTATAGTTTTAATATGGTACATATAAATATTAAAACACATGATAATTACAATAATTATGAGTAATCTGATTTTGATTAAAAGTCAATGGAAAGTATATCAATAGTAAATTATAATCTATTATGATATAACCTATTGGTAATAAACTGAAAATAATAATATATTCAAAATAATTAGAATAGTAAAGTGCCGGTTTGTAATTTCATTTGAGAGATAAAAAAATATGTCCTAGGATAGGGACGGATGCAGCCCACTGTTATAGGTAATTTAATGTGTTTCTGTTAGCCATTGCTAATGAAAAAACGATGCTGAGCGGAATTCAGTTAACAGTGATGCTCTTTCAACAATAAATATATATCAAATTATAGTAAAATAATAAAATAGACATCATATATTATCTTTAATAATATTTATTTAATGTATCGATTTTCCTGTTTTTCCTAAGTTTTTCATGATTTTTAATTTTTTGCTGAGAAGATTCCTGAAAAATCGAAAAATGGCCTCCCTAAAGTACCTCCCCAGTCAAATTTACTTTTAAAAACACTGCTATCATTACAAATTGAAGCAAAATTTCTTATAGAAAAGCAGAAAAAAAAATCGTAATATTATACAAATATATTTCGTACACTTTCTCGTTTTTCCTCTGTTTTTCACTTTTGATGAGAAAACTCTTGAGAAAATCAAAAATGATCTCCTTAAGGCTTAAAGTACCTTCTCACATAGATTTACTTTCAGTAAAGGGGCTATACGTAAAAATCGGAGCAAGTTCTCTGGTATAAAAGTTGTCCACAGAAAATAAAAAACATTTTTGTAAAACTATAAGCTTCTTCACTCCACTCAGAATCTTAAAATGTTGGCCGGGTTCTTGAATTAAATGTTGGAACTGATATATCAATTACGTTAAGAGCAAAATTTACGCTGATTAAATGTATGTACGTCTTGAACCTAAGGTGTTGATATTTAACAAATACCTAAAAGGTTCGTAGTTATAGCCAGTGACTATATAACTAATTTGGAAAAGTTTAACATAAACTGGTCATTTCTCACGAATTACTTAACTTTGAATTGTAATGACTATAACAATATAATAATATGGAAGTACTTTACTTAAATCCACTATCAAAACTGTATACGAATGTTTTTTATAATAATTTTACAATTTAAAATGTTAAACAAATAAAATTTCGTTCTTATCTCTTAATAAATGAAATTGGAAGTGCAAAATCGACTGTTGAAAAATACTATTACCTCTATTATTTAATCGTGGGACAAGTGCCTAAAACTATACAGTTGTAGCAATAATATGTTTTCAATCGACTCCGATAACATGAAACTGGAAAAAGACGCACATACTTTACACGTGGGTGGGCCATTGTTGTAGGTTAGAAGTTGGGATGGTAGTAGAAGGGGAATTTAATGTGCATCTGTACGCAACGATAAACCATTTCTAATGAAAAACGATTGTGAGCAGAGTTCGGTTAATAGCGTTGTTTTGTCAACAATATAAATGTCATACTATGGTAAAATAATTGCATAGACATTATATACTCGCATTTTCTTTAATAATATTTGTTTAATATTGCACCTATTTTCCGGTTTCAATCGGAATCTTAAAAGTACAGCGTTTCAAATTATTATGAATTCCCACTTTGCTGTAGACAAATTTTTATTATTGATGCGAGAGATAATTTATATTTTTCTCACCGTTAAATCTGGACTCGCATTTACCCCGGTTAAGCACTTACCTAACTTCACATATATTTTAAATACGTAATTTTAGATCAATTCAAAATAAGAATTATTTACTGGGCAATTAATGACTTATGACTAAAGTCTAATTCTACTATAAGTTAAAATATATTATAATTTTAATTTTTTTTACTTACACTGTACACGCAGACATAAAAGTATCGACTGCTTTTAGATACGAAACTGGAGGTAATGCAGCTTGAGATTTAGCATGTTGTGTTGACAATGTTAGTAGCGATGTGACACCCAATGTTACTCGAGCCGGAGCTGCTTCAGGTTTTATCCAAAACGAAACCCACTTCAAGAAAAAAAAAACAAACGATTCGGGAAATGTTCATTCTCGTAGAATTTTAAACAATATACCTGAACTATATTAGAAATCCTTAAATTCAGTTTTATAAAATATTTTAGACATTATAATTTTCGGATACAAAAATTATTATATTTAAAGTAAATAAAACTCTCGATGGGGGGGGGCGATTGCTCCCATCGTCCCCCTTCAAAGCGCATCTGAGTTCCAATCAACAACAGTGTGTTAAATTGATTTGAGCTAGCATACATCTTGCTAATTAATCTTAATAATACGTATTATTAAGCCGTAGTTATAATTTTTTTTTGGGGGGGGGAGTGGTTTCAGCCTTTAAGACTATCTCGTACAACAAATTCTCCTCCGTCTCCCTCTATTCTCAGCTACTTCTCTCCAGTTAACTCTTGGGTCTATTGCTTTAACGTCTCTCTTCACATAGCCTTCCAACCTTCTACCAAGCTGTCTTTTTCATAACCGAGTCCTTTTTTTTTTGTCCTCCTTAATTACTGCATTTATCAATGCGCCATTTTTCCTCCGGGCATTCCCGGTTAACCTTCTTTCTGTGGCTTCCCTTGATATATTTGGTCTTTGAAACATACATTGGAACTCTTCGTTATTCCGTATTCTCTATTCCCCGGTTTTAGGGTAAAAAAAAGGGACATAGATTCATCTCAGAACTTATCTTTAAAAATGTCTAATCTTACTCCCTTTGTCTTTCTTATATATTCAAATTATGAATTTGAAATTTTTAAGTGTAGTTAAAGCCGATATTTTTGAATTCTTAGGTTTTTTACAATGTAATTTTTGATTTCTATCGGCTCATTAACGTGATATTTTACTTTTAAGTTTAGGTAGAGGGAGAGTAGTGGAGTACTAATAAAACTCCGTACACCGTACCGCTACACAAATTATATCCAACTACTTTCCCCCCACCTAAACTTAAAAGTGAAATATCTCGTTAATAGATTGAAGGAAATGAAAAATGTTGACACCAAAATGTATTTAAAGCAATACTCTATTTATTAATATAATTTTTATAAAGGTTCTCATTTGAAAAACCAAAGTTGGTATCACCACAAGATATGCCATAATTTTGAGAAAAATCGAAGTATTCGAAAATATCGGCTTAAAGTAGACTAAACAATTTCAAAAATCATAATTTGAAATGCAAAATTTAAACAAAAAAATGGGGTGAGTACGCTTAGTGAATCATTCTGTAGAATGATGGGACGAATTAATACCATATGATTTAAAATTTTAAAATTTATAATAATCAATCTGGATTTTAGAAGTGTACCAGCTCCAAAAAAACACTTGTTTTTCAATTGTATTCTTACATCAGATATGTCAGTTCTTAACTCATTGTTCTGAGTTAAAAGAACTCTTAAGTACCTACTTAAATTGTGATACTTAGTAATATGTACTTTTACTTCTATAAGAGGAAACTCTATACTCTCTCCTCCCTGTTGGTACATCCTATCTGTTCTGCTAAGTTTCATATATTTTGTTTTTTCGTAATTTATAATGAGACCAACTTTGCACGTGGCCTCCATTAGTTTCATTAGTTCCTTAAAATTGTCTTTCACTATGTCTATGTTTTATCCTAAGATGATATTAACATTCGCATACGCTAGCAAGCCTATTTTTGATTCACCTAATGATATAGTCATATCTCTAACTATTTTTCCCAGTACCAGATTGAAAAGAATCGGGTAGAGAGCATCTCTTGTCTCATCACCTTGTTTCAAGCCAGTGACTACCTTCAACGATTGAAATGTAAACTTGCTATTTTAATTTTGTTTTTATCTCTGAGATTTTCAAATTGGATGTAATGAGATTGATTAGTTTTTTTAGGAAATTGAACTCTTTAAATATACTTAATTAATTGACTTGACGTATATTTATATATATATATAATTGTATGCCTTCTTAAAGTCAATAAATAATTTATATACTATGTACCTCCTCATTTACTCCCACATTTTTAATAATAATATATTATCGATTATTAAACCATTCGAAAGTATTTAGTGGTGTAAATAGGAGGAAAGACCCCCCCCTTTAACAACCCAATATACTCCTAGCTTTATTTTCATCATAAATATGTGCCTTATATAAATTTTCAAAATCCCCCACCCCCATTATCTTGTTCCGGATTTGCCAAAATAAATAAAACCTATTAAAAATATATTTCATATAATCCAAGATATAATTGTTTTATTTTTTTGAAATTTAAAATAACAGATGAAAAGTAAAACTATGACGAAAAATAAACCAAAACAATTGTATAAAACCAAGCCACTTTTAATCAAGTCCATTTTTAGTCAAATATTTTGCTACTGATAGCTTCTCTTTTTGCCCCGTGTTAAACTCTTGTTTCATTTTCATTTTTTTTCCTTTTATAAAGAACTCTATTTATTCATTATAGTATGATTGATTATTACTTACCGACATAATGACAATAAGACATGTAGGAATATAAGTGTGAAACAAATAATATCCGAGTCTTCGTTTGAGAACGAAAATCACTTCTAGACATGTAAAATTTCCTGAAAAGTTTTAACGATACAAAATTTTATCATAAAACGTATATATCTTATATCATAATATTATATTAGAATACAATTCAATATAATATTGTTACAAATACAATATTATTCTCTGATATGAGATAAATTTATCTTTTTTAATCACATTTGGTTTTAATAAAAGAACAAAACATTATTACATTTTTATTATTCGGATAACATCGGTAACGTGTTAAAAATATGGGTTCTACAAATGCCTAAAAATGATTATGGGAATGCACAAAAATATATTATGCAATGTGGAATTTCGGGTTTTTTTTCATTTAAAAAATATGTGTAACTTGGTTATCTGCTATCGGTTGGGAACCTTAAAAATGTCTTCTGTACTATAACTCTCGGCCCTTAATAATACTGTGGAACCTCGTTATCTCGAACTCCAGTATCTCAAAATTACTGCATGTCGATTTTTTTTTTTTTCAGTCCAAGCATTCAGTAACTCGAAGATTTTTTTTTTGGTCCCTTGATACTTTGAGATATCGAGGTTCCACTGTAATATGATGTAGGTATAGTGTCTGTTGAAGGGTTTTGTAAGTGGTAATATCAATAAATCGGTGTACAGTTTCCGTCTACATGTTATAGTATATAGTCTATATGACTATATCTATATTGTTTGTTTAAGTAAATTTGTTTACTTTGTATATGATTACGTAAATGAAAAAATTATATGACGTAATCTAGTTCATAAGTAAGTAGGTAAGTAAATTATTATGTTTAACAATATTCGATTTACCAGTAGAATATACTTGAGTGCAATCTGCAGTTTGATTTTTAACCAATTGTAATTGGGGCAATTCGATATTTTCGTCAACCACCAACGGGACAGACGGATCCCATTGAAATATCATATCGTCGGTCGTATGTGACACTGAAATAAATTGGGTATTTCAAACAAAATTATTTATCAATATATAATATCTCACAGACAAACATAAAATTATTTTTATCTTACGGCTTTCCATCTGAAGTTTACATTCTTGAGTGTCGTGCGGATATATCATAAAGTTCATCGCGCACGAAAGTGTTAACGTAAGTCTTCAAAAATAATTTATGATCGATTATTTAGAACCTTTTACCTGGTTAAAATTATTGTTTATAATTAATATAATATCTTACTTGACCATATAAAGAATCGTTTTGTCTTTATAAAGCCACATGTAATGATTTGGAATAGTCATCGTTTGAAATGTTACTGCTTTAGCGTTTTTGAAAAACGAATCCGGTCTCCAAATATTTTTTAACCAATCCACTTCTATTAGTCTAAAAATTAAAATTATAGGTATAAAAAAAATGTGAATTATTTTATGTTTGAAAGTACTAACCTGTAATCAGAAGTCATATTTTCTGGTAAACGGAGTCTATGATCTTTCCACGTTTGGGCAAAAAAAATATCAGCAGCGTATGTCTCAAAACAAAAAATAAAATATAAATACAATTTCTAATATAATTCGATATTTAAATTAGATACCATTGCATTTTCGTCGATTGAATCCAAACCCATTACAGTAACATGAAAATATACTTTAGTCGCCATTCCGTCTTTCTTCGGCGGTCTCATTTTATCATAATGCTTTGCGTCTTCTGGCAGGATATCTCTGAATTCCAAGCATTTCGAATGCTTAATTTGAAAACTGATAATTCAAAGAAATATTAAAAACATTAGCAGTTACATGATTAATCAAGCAATTTTAAAAAGAGCTGATAATGGGTTCGGGTGCGACGACTAATGTAGATAGGTAGTGGGGAAGGTGAGATATATAACAAAAAGATAGGTAACAAAAAGTTATTTGATTTATACATGTAACCAACGATAAATCATTACTAATGAAAAACGATTCGGATACACGGTTTTAAAGTTAATATTTACGATCTCCGTCAAAATTTGATTTTAAAACTCTTATAAAAAATTTAAAAAAACTACATTAAAAGTTAAATTGATTTAAATTTATATTTGTATGCTCATATAAATAAATATATTATTATTATTATTGTTATCAATATATTATGAATATTTTAAAATATGAATTTTTATGAATGCCTGTTATTTCATACTGTTGTTGCCGGTTGAGAATTGTAAGTACTAGGTAGGTCATTATAGTAGGTAATAGACAATAAATTATGTACATTTTTTTTAAATTAATTTAACTTGTATTAAAAATTTAACTTTCGATTGACTTCTAACTTAGTTGAATTAATAGATTATTTTAAGTTAACTTTATTTAGATTCAAATTTAACTTAACTTAATTGATTTGAAAAATATCATTAACTTGCTCAGTCTTGCAGATATGTATTATTATGTACATAGTACATGTGTATATAAATAAATTATTGCGTTCATTTTATTAAAACTAAGCGAATACCGACAGTCAGCGAATTGAGTGTCGACAAACTGGATGTTGGTGAACTGGGAAATCATCAATGCTCCCAAAGCAAAACAAAATTACCACCACTACGTTATACCACATACGTTATACATATACTAACAAAACAAATAATTATATTATACTTACTTGACAACATACAGGAAAACTACCAGCTTAATAACGATATTCCCAGATAATGTATTCGATTTCATATTCTTCATTACTAAACCTAGAGCAATGGATAATATTAATATTTATTTATATACATTAGCTGTTGCTTTTACGTATACATATTTACGTACACCTTTAGAATCACCTATACAAATTATCGGGTAGAGCAAAAATATCGGCATTTAAACATATTTACATTAAAGTGGTCAAAAAAAAAAAGTTTTTAGACCTTCCGCTCTGACAAGATTGTGAGACTTTGGATGGTCCGATTTTAATCCTGTTAAAATAATAAAATTTCTTAATATCTCCTCTAGAGAACGATCGGAACACTTTTTTAAGGTTCAAAATTTTGACAATACTATAATATTATACAAATTTCAGTTTTTACAACATTTTTGTTCATGTCATATCTATTGAATATCAATTCATATTTCTAAAACTCTACCCGACCGGTCTCTAGAGGAGATGTTAAGAAATATTATTATTTGTACAGAATTAAAATCGCACCAGCCCAAGTCTCACAATTTTGTCATAGCCGATGCATGTTTCTATTCGAAAAATAACTGAATACATTTTTTTAAAATTTGTTTACTGTAGGCAGTGCGAGAACCCAATTACGTGACGAATATCCGACGGCGTTGCCACCGTCGTGCATATTACCAATTATTTAAAAATAAATCAGATAATAAGATAATAAGACCTAGGTAATATAATAATAAATAATACAATAATATTCTGAATAATAATAACCCCAAATCCCCAATGATAATGTTTTCTACAATATATCAAACCGTATATTGGACGACTAGTCCGTCACAGACCACAGTTATTTATTCATTGATGTGATTACCTCAAATCAGTCATCGTTTGTATTACATACATTTTTTTTTACCTTTTTACGATATTTAAAAATAAATGGTTGATCCACGCTATGATAGAAATTTACCATTGAAATATTATTTCAATGGTAAATAAATAATCAAATAATTTTTATTATTATATAAATTTCGTATTTTTTTTGACTACAAAGCACTAATATTTTCATTTTAATGAATATCTATTTAAAAGTGGTTTGCCTCTGCTCAAAATTTTTTTGTTTACAACATAAACTTTTAATGAACCTCCTGTTAAATTGTCAAACATTTTTATTTAGTCTAACAATTTTATCTACAAAGTACCTACCAAATAAAAATTACGTACAAATGTACGTACATGTTTTGAAAATGTTACCACGTCTAGAAAAAGCAAATTTAAGTTTTATATCTAAATTTCAAGCTCTACGAATAAAATTTAAAATTATAAAAGCATTATTTTTGTAAATTTTCTCGTACTTTCTACGTATTTTTTAGTTTTCTCAACTATTAAAAAATCTACAAAGAAAATCAAAAACCGACTTTCTTGGTCACCAATCAGATTAAAAATTAAACAAAAAATATTTCTATTGTTGTTTGTCTATTGGAGAAATATTTATAGTAAAAAGTTTAAAGCATAACAATTTTAAATAATCAAATCATAACGCCGTACATTGATAAAATTGATCTTTTATAAGTTTTCGATAAAAACAATGTTTCTGGTAGAAAACATAAGTTGCAAAAATTAAAAACTAGAAAATCAGTAACGCCACGCCGTGAATATTTGCCGTTTTACCTATAATTTCCTTTCGAGTTTTTACAATTATTTTGAAAACTTCTTGGAAAATCAAAAAATGATCTCCCAATGCACTAATTAAACAATATTACCTCTGTGAAAAAGTATAATACTCAGTACATTTAAGCAAAATTTCTTTTTGAAAAGTTGTTCACAGATAGAAAAAAAAAGCAGCACACATGATAGTAGAACCAATAAATCCCTCGTTATGCTCCGAATCTGATAAAAAGTGACTTAACCTATTATGTACATTGATTTGAATAATTTTTCAGTGACTTAATTCAATTTTATGCTATAGGTTCAGGAATTATATAATATGGATTAAGTAGACTTAACTTTTCGTACACGATGCTTTTGAAAAATCCATTATGTAGTTTAAGTCATGTGATATAATTTTAAACGTACGTAAAACGGAAAAATCATGATTTATCTTAAAACGATCATTCAAATAACGCGAGTTAATATTTAAAAAATAATCTTAATTCTATAAAAAAAATAATGATTTTTGGTATAGATAACTAATTTTTCACAATTAATTGACTAAACAGTGAACAACCTTTTCACATGTACCCGGGAATTAATTGATAAGTATCGAATCAGATTACCTCTTTTGTGTATAGGTTTTAGAAAACGAACTCTATAACAGTTTTTATTTTTTTGCTCGTAAAATATGGCTTTTTAAATTCCGATTTGGGTTTTATATCAATTGTTGAGATTATATTATTAAAAATCTACCCGTCTAAATTGTTCATTCCTGAGTGACCGGAAGGAGTGTTATTCCCTTCTTCAGACCCACTTTCGGAACGTCCCTGATGACTATTGCCTTTGTTAGGTGTCATTGCAGTCAGTTCACATTGACATAATGCACCATAATACATATAAAATATTTATAAGTTGGTCACTACTGTCTGCATTTCAATGATAGGTAATTGATATTGATGTATGTACAGTGTAAACAGACACTCTCGTGCACAAATCTAATATAAATTGTTCGAGTTTTACTGTCTTTGCACGTCATCCAGTTCTTCTTTATTTATATATTTTTTATTTAGGGACGTCTCACATCCGCTTTTCGAGCAACGAATTGACATTTTGAGTTTAAGTATAACAATTAGAATCACTCGGGTAGTATTGAATTTTGGAAAACATAATTTTGCACGATTTAAAGTACAATATTTTAAGTTATCTCTCAGAGAGTTTTTATTAATGCAAAATTCATTCAATTTTAAGTGTTATTAGTGTAATGATGTTTATGTAAATTTTTATAAAATTATATTATACATGTATAAAATCATAAAAATTAGAAATAAAAAAAGCAAATATAAGCTTTTTGTAAACATTTCAAGCCTCTACGAATATTTTTGACTGAATTAGAACAAAAATTCTACATAAGACTCATTTTTTTTTTTTACCACAATTAACGACTTATAATGAACCTCCTTTTAAATGTCCATATACTTCGGTTTTAACAATTTTATTCACAGAGTACTTATTAAATTAAAATTACGTAAAAACACGCAAAATTAAAACGTCTATAAAAAGATCGAAAATGTCTAAAATATTTTGAAAATTTGACCATGTCTAGAAGAGAAAAATAGTCCAAATTTTAAATCCTATTCGAGACAAGTATTATGAAAATTACTTTCTCTGTCAGTGGCATATTATAAGGAACAAAATCAATCATTTGTCATTTTTCGATTGAAGCAATATTTCTGGTAGAAAACATAAGTTACAAAAATTAAAAACTAGAAAATCGGTAACGCCGCACCGTGAATATTTGTCGTTTTACCGTTTTAGTTTTCTTTCGGGTTTTTCCAAATTATTTTGAAAACCCTTAAGAAAATCAAAAAATAACCACCTTAAAGTTCCACCAAGATTAAATTTTCTTTCAAAAAAGTATTACACTTTAAAATCAAAACAAGACTTCTGGTAAAAAAAGTTGTTTACAGATTAAAAAATAATAAAATGAACATCATTGTAAAACCAATACATCCCTCGCTTCACTCAGAATCTAAAAAAAAAACTTATCATAGTTAAACCCTAATATTTAGATCCCGCGCTACGTGCCGAATCTAAAAGTGAAGTGAACCTTCTTCAACACACAATTAATTTATCCAAAAGTAATAAAAGTAATGTAACGCATAGATAAGTTGATAAACTGAAATTGGCAATGGAAGTGAAACTATTTTTAATAATATATTAAAACCATTAAAAACATTTGTTACTATTCCAGTTACTAGTTGTTCATGTACACGAACGTTTTCAAAATTGAGTTTACCCACAACAAAGTAATGTAGGACAATGCAACAATACAGACTAAATGGACTACTAATAATCTTCATTGGCCAAAAATAAGCCTATAATATATTGATGATGGCATTCGATGCAACTTATTTGAACGTTATAATCTTTCTAAAATATTATGTTCAATCTTTATTATACAAAGGTCACGGGGTTTTATATGGATATTGTATATTTTTTTAGTACCTATAGTACCTAAGTAGTTTTATTAACTAGCGTTTTAAAAGTGTTCTAAAGTATTTGTCCAACTCCTCATAAAGTATACAAATTATAGTCGAGTGACAGTTTAGTAAATACAATGTATAAAAATTTAACTAAGTACATAATGCTTTATTAGGTACCATCATTCTCAATATCAATTAGCGACTATATACATATTTTATTGGTTAATTTAATATTTTTACTAGTTGTACCAACTAAAGATTTATTACAAATAAAATTCATTAAACTTTTATAAAATAAAATCGATACATATGTTTGTATTATTCTTTGTCCAGCAGTAGTTTATTTGGTGAAAATCCAAAGGGTGCGGTGAGGGGAATTCTACTATCCTTCCAAATTCCAAAAAATTACTTTTTAAAGCAAAATTATTTAATTCCGTGTTTAACAACTGCTGAACTGTTGCGGTAATATATATGTATAGTTATTCGTTTATTTAGTACTTTTACAACAATGGGCTAATAAATCAGATTACACATAAGTAATCGGTCATTCGCATTAAAAATTCAGATTGACTTCCCGATCTGATAACGGGTTGGAAATTAAAAATTTTAACGTTAAAATGCATTAAACTAAAACTTCATTTATCGAAAGAATTTGTAATACATGATGCACTTATTTTTGAAATTCAAAATTGGGTAGTGATTTCATTTTCGAAAATAAAAAAAAAATAACGATAATTTAACATTTTAAAGCTGTTTGTTTCTTCAATTTTCTAAAAAAAATCGAAATCCGAAAAAAAATGAATACCTATACATTCCGAGATAGTGTCTTACCGTAATGTTGATCACTCTGTACTTATATATTTTATATACCATAAATAATTTTGAAAAATGTAAGATAATACACACATAAAACTACAAATTTATTATTTTCACGGCGTTATATGAATGATGATTTCGACTTATTTTGATTTATTTTCAAATCACTGGTGTATTTATTTATTACAATTTTTAGAAATCGTTCATGAGAAAAAAAAATATCAAGCTTTGCATTAAATTAATAACGTACCTATAGTATGGTTCGACGATGACTACATAAGAACGTACGTACCTACCTATATATACTATAAGCCAGCAAACTATTGATAACTTCGAGAGCACGAGTCAGCCTCAAGTATGTACTCGTGGACAAAAGTTGCTACCTTTGCAAAAATCTCCCCGACCGTTATACACTTTTTATCGTTCGTTCACGCCAGATTTTTTTATTTTATTATTATTACTTTTTTTTTTTTAATTGCATCTTGTATTATTAAAGTGATGACGTAAAAGAGTTTTAAATGCCTGTGTGTGTCAAAGAGATTACGAACATTGATACTTGAATATCGGAACATCTAGGTATATATATATACCTATTATAATTTATATATATTATACACTGAACATATACATAATTATATATTACGGAGCGTATAATAAATAAAGAATATTTCATGAAGATAATGTATAGGTATATTAATATCCTTTATTATCAGTGTTAAGCTATACAATATTATAACTGTAAGGGATATTTTTTTTTTTTATTCTAAAACAAGGATTAGTAGATTAAACCTATAGTTTAATGAATGTACTTATAATTTTCAAAAACAAGTTTAAATACGCAATCTAGGTACCAAAACAAATAAATATAATAGCAGAGCTTGATTAAGACAAGTGTCCTAATGTTAAATTTTTTAAAAGAGGAAACAAATCGACTGCGATAATTTAGAGGTTTTTTTTGGTGAGGTCTCTTTTGTATTAAATTCCATCATTTATAATTCTCTAAATAGATAGATGAAAAATAAAATAAAAAATCAATATACATAATAATATAAAAATATATATATCAAGGTCCTTCAATATTACTTGTATAATATTAAATAAAGTAATACTTTTTAAGGTTATATCAAAAGGCACAAAACTATAACAAAATGTAATCGTTTAATCGGTATCACGTATTATTTCAATTCATAAAGACGCGTGCGATGTACATGAATGGGCACGATTTACGACAAAGATATTTTATGCTGGTTTAACAAACGTGTTTTATCTGTTATACCTATCTATCTAGATAATATTATGTACAATATATATATATATATATATATATATATATATATCGTTATATATTCCAAATAATATGAACACTTAAAATTTGTCAAGCTATTTTGAAAAAACGTTACCGCTAACTCCATTTATTATTATTGTTTATACTATGTAAATTCGTTTGATTCAAAGAGAACCACACTAAAGTATATTGATGACGATAATACATATGTATAAATATATGCGAGGAAATCAATTTTTAATAATATTTTTTTAACAAGTATATATTAATTATTGCCCAAATACATATAATTATTCATATAACATTTTTCGTAAGCCAATTTATTAACATTATAAACCGAATGTCTATTTTTAAATACCTAATATTATGTAAATTTTACCACCACAGTTTTTTTAGTATCTTCAATGCATTGACCATACCTGATTTATAATGCATAAATTGTTTTGTATACTAGAAGTTTTAAAAATAAATCGTAATTGTATAGCAGTATTATAATATTGAATACATATAATACATATAATATTGAATGGTACGAAATATCAATATTATATTTAGTGAATATAAATAGATAAGATATCTTAAATAATCTGTGATATAATATTTGACTTACTATTTTATTTTTTTATTGCCGGAAAAATATAAACTACGAGTTTTCGGGAATATTGCAAACATATCGATATATTATTGTTCAAAAATTTAAGTAAACCAAAAATCGAACAAATTGAGTAAGTTTGTTAGGCACTATTATAGTATAGGCCTATAATAAAGCTATTATGTATATCTATATTAATAATCATATATATATATAGAAATATATAATAATATGTTATTACTATTAACTACTATTTTTAGTCTCAGGGACGAATACATTCTTAAGTCAATTTTTGATATTATTTTTTATAATAAATTGTTGTCTTATAAAATGTGTTCCCTGTTATATACTTCGGGTTAATGACATAAGTGTATATATTTTAAAAATTTAATTAGCTTGTATTAAAAACTGTACAAAATAGACTTAATCCCTTATTCCCTGGAACCAATGATATTATAACAATTTAATATAGCAGTGCAATATCTTTAGTTATTTTCTAATACATTTTGTAAAATAAGTTTTGTAATACTTTATATTTCTATAATGTTTCTGTAATATATGTAAAATATATGTATTAATATATGTATATTAATGAATATGAGTAATGTCATAAATTTAGTATAATATTTTTATCGGATAAAATCATATAAAATAATGCCAAAATAAAATGGCATCATTTTTTATTAGACGCAAAAATTGTAATTTTTTTATGTACATATTTGTTTAATACTTGATTTATTATTATAATTTTGTATCAGTCTTTATATACGAATATGTATTAAGGTTCAACAACTTGATGGAAACGTATGAAATATGTAATTGCTAGAAGATGCTGTCGAAAACATCTTAATGTCTCTGGAATCAACGCAATATTCGTTGAAATAAAAATAGAATAAATATCAACAAATACATATAAATATGTAGGTAACTTTATATTTTTATCCGTAGTTAATAAGTATTTATAACATTTTCTAAAGCTGTATTCATCGACAGATAATAAATTATATAGATCGAGTTGTTTTATAATAACTATAATATATTTATTTTTTTTTCTTAACAGAAAACAGCGATAACTAAATTTCTCAGAAAAACTATATAAATCTACTTACGCGTGTAGGTGTATCGTTTGCAATTTATAAATTGTTTTTGGTGCTGCCCGAAGTCTTGTTTTAAACTCGATACATTGAATCAATCACGCGAACACATTTTTTTTTTACATAATGTCAAAGCCGTTAATCGCATCCCAGCCAGCGGCGAGTGTTCCGCGAGGGCGTTAGAGATTGATTGACTGCTCTCCTCTGCGTGGTGCGTGTCGTTCCTTTTCGCCCTTCAAACATTATGCCGCATCATACGTCATTGTGACCCATATAATTCGATCATCAGACACACAAATTGACTACACTGAATAAGTTGTAAGTATATAACAATGGCATTAAAATATGTATAAGAAAAAACCAATGGAATAATATACTCCAATTAGAAATATACCGAATTTAAAAAATAAAAATAAAAAAGCTGTCCTAGAATGGGAACGGATGCTGCTACTGTTGTCGATGGGAAGTTAGGTAGGTAGAATATAGAGAATAATTCAATGTATATCCTATGATTAACCTAATGATTAGGCTAACGAAAAAAACGATTCTGAGGAGAGTTCGGTTGATAGTGTTGCTTTGTCAACAATATATAATATACTATGGTACTATTATGGTAAAGGAATTATACATACTTCAAACATTTTCTTTAATAATATTTCATTAATATAATAATAATTATTTTCCCGTTTTTCCTATACTTTAGGTTCTGAGTGGAGTGGAAAAAGCTTATGGTTTTACAATGATGTTTTTTTAATTTGTTTTTTTTTTATTTTGGACAACTTTTCTACCAGAAATATTGTTCCTATTTTTAAGTGTAATACCATTTCTGAAAGGAAATCGGACTGGGAGGGTACTTTCAAGAGGTCGTTTTTCGATTTTCTCCGATATTTTCTTAACAAATATGAAAAACTTCACTCCACTCAGAATCTAAAAGAGCTGAAACTGGAGTCGGGTCCAGTCACTGTTGTAGGTGGGTAGTGGGAAATGTGGGATACATAAAGTTATTTAATTTATTTTTTATACATGTAACCAATGATGAATCTTTGATAACAAAAAACGATTCTGAGCGAAGTTCAGTTATCTATATTTTGAAAGGCGTAAGATTGACGATTTCGTCAAAATTTGATTATAAAATAAAATACGATTTATAATAAACCTTCTATCAAACCTCATATTCAAGAATTTCTGTTAAGTCTAACAATTTATCCACAGAAAACCTACCAAATAAAAGTAACGTAAAAACTCGCAAAATTAAAATATCTATAAATTGTTCAAAAATGACTCAAATACTCTGAAAGTTTTACCGCGTTTAAAAAATTAATATAAGTTTTCTATAAATATTTTAATTCTCTGTGAATATTTACTTAAATTACAAAGAAAAGACAAATTTAAAATAATATATGGAAAAAAATCAATCTCTTGGCATTTTACAGTTTAAGTAATACTTTTATTATGAATAAAACGGTAACGCCGTAAATACTTGCCGTTTTACCTATAATTTTCTTTCGGTTTTTCCCAATTATTTCGAAAACCCCTTAAAAAAATCGAAAATTGACCTGTTTAATGCACCAACGAGAGAAAATTACCTTTCAGAAAAGGTACCATAGTATATACCTCGGAGCAAGTTTTCTAGTAAAAACGTTTGCAAATACAAAAAATTAAAAAAATACACAAACATTATAGTAAAACCAATACTTTCTCGAATCATGTTGTTTTATATTCTGAGTGGAGCGAAGAATCTTATGATTTTACAAAGACGTTTTTTTAGATTTCGAGCGTAGCTTGTTTGTTTTTTTTCTTTGTTCTTTGTTCTAGTCTGTGGACACGTTTTTTCCTAGTAAACTTGCTCCGATTTTCCCGTGTAACAACTTTTTTGACAGCTTAAGTTGTCTAAATTGTACTTTACAAGTCGTTTTTCGATTTTCTATGCTTTACTCAACAAATGTGAAAAACAAAGAAAAAACATGAGAAAAACGTAGGAATAACGAGAAAATTAAACAAATATTTTTAAGGATAATATATAATACCCATTTAATTATTTTACAATAATATGGCATATATATTGTTGACAAAACATCACTATCAACTAAACTCCTCTCAGAATCTTTTTTCTTAAGCAATGGTTTATCGTTACTTACAGGTATACATTTAATTATCTCTAACAATACCTACACCCGTCCCCATTATCCTAGGATGTCATTTTTTTTAAAAAATTACAGAGTACACACATTTTCTGTAGAGATTTGATTCAAAAGTATATTATATTTTGTTATATTGCATAATATGCAATATAACACAGTATTAATGCAGCTATAATTTATTAAATTAATTATTATCGATTAATTCTTACTATAGGTGTATCAAAACTAAATATTTAAAAAAATAAAATTCATAAACATTTTCTTATTTCCGTCGTCGTCAGTTATTACGACTTGGCGAAATATTAAACCATACAAAATGATATAAACATACTTTTTAATTAACTTCCCGTGTGATATTATGCATGATTTAATAATAATTTTTATGCTGTTAAAATAAATTAAATTTGAAATAACCTATTTATTATATTTGTTTCATACAACAACCACAACAATGCCATACTTGCGCCTTATTGTTAATCAATACAGATGAAAAATTTTACTTAATCCCAATAATAACTACTGAAAAACGATTAAATAGTTATAATAATAAGCGAACCTTTGCAAGGAAGTATCTAATAAATGTACAAATTTATATTTAAAATAAACAAATTAAAAATATAATAGGTAATACCTAAGTAAACAAAAAATGGCATTATAATAAGAATAGCTGTGATATGTATTTGTTTTATTTTTTAATTACTAAATAATTAGTATTCAAATTTTTAAATCAAAATCGATTAATAATTTTTAAAAATACGCGTAATTGGATTTGTGTACTACTTTTTTTGCTAAACAAATTCCGTTATGTACTAACTTTATTTACTAACTGATATAGATAAGTACATGAAATAAAAGAGCCATCATACTATGAACCTGTTGAATGTGGGCAGTTAAAAAGATAGGATAATACCAATATACAGTGTGATTGAATTTATCTGTGTACGCATAAGTAATGGGAATCCGAAAATCCGGACATTCACAAAAAATAGCACTTAAAGCCATTTTAAAATCATACGTAAGTAAAATATTTTTTGTAAAAATGTAAAAGTAAAACACAATACCAACAAATTTAAGTGCTTTTGGATCTTTGTTAAAATCCGAAATCCAAAAGCATTTTATATTTAAATTTAAAAGTTTTTTTTTCGGATTTTTATCCGAACATTTAACTTAGGTACACAACTTTATATCGTAATATTTTTTAATATTTATAAGACTTTCAAGGGACTTTAATAGCATTTTTTTTGAAAAATCTGGATTTTCGGATTCCTATCAGTAGTACGCATCGATAAATCATTGCTTACGAAAAAACGATTCTGAGCGAAGTTCAATTAATAGTGATACTTTGTCAACAATATATATTTCATTTTATAATAAAATAGTCTTTATATATTTTCATTGTTAATATTTGTTTAGTTTTGTACCGATTTTACCAGTTTTCCTACGTTTTTCCCGGTTTTTCCATGTTTTATCCAGGTTTATCACATTTGCTGGAAAAAAACTTGAAAAAATCGAAATATGACCTCTTTAAAGTACTTTGCTAATGAAATATCCTTTTAGAAACATTCCTATCATTAAAAATCGGAAGAAAACTACTGGTAAAAAAGCTGTACACTGGAAAAAAAACTAAATATCTTTATAAAACCATAAGCTTTTTCGCTCCATTCAGAATTTAAAAAGGATTAAACTCAAATTAATTTTTTAAACCACTAAACACATTTTATAATGTACCTCGTATTAAATTTTCAAGCATTTCTCTCAAGTTATGTAATTAAAATAACAGGATACCCACAAATAAAAATGCACATAACGTGAAAATATAAAATACCTATAAATAGAATAATAAGAACTATGTTTTGGAAATTTGACCACGTCTACAAAAGGCCAATATAATTTTTTTTCAAAAACTATAGGTTTCTAAAAAAAATGTTTAACCGAAAAACAACAGAAAACCCAAATGCCGTAAACATTTCCGTATTTTCTACGTTTTACCCCGGTTTTCGTAATAAGGAAAACTATACTGAAACTCAAACAGCGACTTTTTTAGTCATAAACTAAACAACATTTTCTTTCAGAAAAATGCTATTTTAAAGAGATTGCGTTCTATTAGAGAAAATGATACAAATGCCAATGGGGAAACCAATAATTCACCACAGTCTTCTTGGCGGTGTAAAGAAATGTCCGCATTTAGGTACGACGCTTCAATCAATTATGCAGATGATTCCCATGTTTCTATTAGCAATATGACTACGATTTGTGAGTTTTGCCAGGCAATGAAATCGCCTCTTGAGCTCCCGGTCTTTACTGTGATGGAGGAAAAGTTCTTTTGAACGAAATCGCTGATCCGTCAAAACCATTAAATAGTCTGATTAATAACACTCATGATCACTCAAGTTTTTCTTGACAATATACGGTAATATAATTCTGCCTTTCAAATGTCGTCTTTTGGTTTCACTGAAATAAGACATGGAAATTACATGCCTACATTTAAAATTTAAGGTCAGCTATATCATGCAGTTGATTCACTATTACCAAGTACGAATGAAGAACCATCATTTTCACAAATTTATTTCATGAGACACGCACACAATCATTTTAATTTCACATTTATATAGTTAGATAGTCTTAACACAACAAAACACGTTTAGTCCGCCGAAGGTGGACTACCCACCTATTCTTTTCAATTTCCACCTATTTGTTTACATTCAATACTGATTACTGACACAGTCGAAACCAAAATGGAATATTTCAAAAAAAAAATAAAAATAAAAATGGCATGGGTAACGCCTGGTGAAATCAGCTATAGGTTTATAGGCAGTCATCGTAGTGCTCTATTCCTCTTTCAATCCTACATCCCCTCACACTCACATAACTTAGTTATTTTTTGTTTGACTACCAAAATATCCATTAGAAATCAAACTACTCATTTTTATATGACAAAACAACGTTTGCCGGGTCAGTTAGTATAATATATATGTCATATTATGGCAACATGATTACAAAAATGTGCGTATCCATGATAACAATGATTATTAAAAAAAGATTAAAATAATAAAACTTAATAATAACAAAAAATAAATAAAAGCTGTTGCCAATGACAACCGTTTATCTTTCAATATTTTTTGACCTTAGGGCATTGAACTGTATCATAATGGTCGGGTGAGTAGCGGGTAAGTAAGACCTTATACTGGGGACGGGTGTGAGCACTGTTGTATGTGTGTAGTTGGGAAGATGGAACATGTGTATAAAATTAATGTAACTGTAATAAACGATAAACTATTGCTAACGAAAAACGATTCGGCACGAAATTCGGTTATACATGTTTTGAAAAGCCATAACATTTACAATTTTCGTCAAAATTTGATTTTAAAACTATTATATATATATATATATATATATATAAATACTACTTTAAACTAAATTTTTTGACCACGCAGTATAACTTATAATGATATTCCTATCAAATTGTCTAGCATTTCTGTTGAGTCTAACAATTTATCTACAGAGTACCTACCAAATAATAATTATGTAAAAAACTAGCAAAATTAAATTTCTATAAAAAACTTAAAAATTGCTCAAATGCTCTGAATGTTTTACCGTGTCTAGAAAAATTAAATATAAGTTTTCTGTAAAAATTCTAAGTCTTAACGAATATTTTAACCTGAAAAACCATAAAACAAAATTAAAATAATAGAATTTTTTTCGTACATTTTCACGTTCGTTCTACGAATTTTTAATGATTAGAAATTGACTTTTTTTAGTCTAATTAGCGTTTTACTTAAGAGTTAAAAGAACATGTTTAGATATTTTGTTCTTCTCTTTAGATTCGGAGTGTAATGAAGGACCTATTAGTTTAACAATGATATTTTCTTTTATCTATGAGCAATTTTTCTACCAGCAATTTTACTCCGATTTACATTGATAGCACTTTTTCTGAAAGAAAATCTAACTGGGAAGGTACTTTGAAGAGGTCAGATTTACTCAAGAGTTTTCTCAACAAATGTGTAAACCAGGATAAAACTTAGGAAATATGGGAAAATCAGTATATTAAACAAATATTATTAAAGAAAATATATTATGCCTATTTAATTATTTTACCATAATGTGACATATATAATATATATTGAAAAAGCAACACTATAAACCGAACTCCGCTCAGAACCGTTTTTTTGTAAGCAATGGTTAATCGTTGCTTGCAGATACTCGTACATTAAATCACCTATAACAATGACTGCACCGGTCCCCATTATCCTAGAAAAACTTTTTTTTCTGTCTGTGAACAACTTTTCTACCAAAAATCTTGTTCCGAAGTATCAAGTGTAGTACCTTTTCTGAAAAGTCAATGACTAGGAATAGAACAGTACCTACTTATTAGAGAAAATTGTAATAACTCAAAAATAATTTTACGATAACAATTACGAGCTGGCGACATCGTCACAGTGACTAGACTACCTACTTTGTGTGTGTGCGGATGGTGGTGGTACATGTATTGAATAGCACTCACACTATCATTTATGACTAACTAAACATTGAGGGCGACTACGATTAAATTAGAAATTTACTAAAGTTTGACCCTTAAACAATGGCATTCGTGAGGCAATATTACGACTAAAATAACAGAACCATACATTTGCCTGTTTTTTCGATTATTTGCGGGTTTTTCCAATAATTAGAAAAACCATAAGAAAAATCAAATATGACCTCTTCAATACCTCACACAAAATAAATCTTATATGAAAAAAAAATGTTTCTAATCGTTTTTTGATTGGAACATTATTTCTGGTAGAAAAGTTATTTACAGACACAAGACAAAAATAGTTGATATTGCTGATGAATGTGACACTGGTATATGTAAGAAGTTGAAAAGGTAAGATATACAAAGTTATTTAATTTATTTCTGTACGCAACGATAATCATTGTTGACCAAACATAATTCTGTGCGAAGATCGATTAAACATTGTTTTGAAATGCCGACATATTTGAACTTATAAAACTTTTACATAATGCTCAACTTGTTTTTGAATACCAAGTACAAATTATAATGAATCTCGTGCTACATAAACAATTGTATCCATACAAAAAAAAAAAATAATAAAAACTAAAAGAAAACAAATTGAAAATGTCAAATGCCTACATTGCCAAACACCTATATTTTTTTTCAAAAATTGCATGCATAATAAAACCATTAAATACATTCATCGTTTCATTCAGAATGTAAAAGTAGACTACTAATAGAATGATGTACTTAAGAGTTAAGATGTCTTTGTTATAATATCACTAAACATTAAACATTTCAATAAACCTAAATGAATACGCTAAATTTCGAAATAATTGCTCGACAAATAATATTTGACTCCACAGTATAAAATATCATAGTTTTGTTGCATGTACACTTTAAACCATTTATTAGATAAATATTTTTAAAAATTGTTGAAATTGCACGTCTATATTATTTCAAATTAACTAAATGTACATTATATCTATGCATTCAAAATTAATTTTCATAATTTTAATATGAAAACATAAAATAAGAAAAATAATTTTGAATGAATTAAAGTTGTCGAATAACTTCAATTCTGTCAACTAAATGTGTATGAATTATAAAGTTGATGCGCCATATCATTTATGCATTTTCATTTATCAATGACCAGTGGTATAATTAGGGATCATAAAGGGTTGCACATACAACCCCAAATATAATACTGGTGTCACAAATGTATTAATTTTCAACCACTGAAATTTTTGTATTTATCGTTTTTTGTTGGTAATTAAAAATTAGGTAGGTAAATAATTATTTAATTAATTAATTAATTACGGAAAAAGCATTTTCGATTGAAATTTTATATTAAAAATACCAATGAAGATATAATTAGTTACAATTTACAAGTGACTTTTTCATTATTATAAATTATTATAAAAATTAATCTATTTTTAAATTTAAACTTTTCTGTCGTCGTGTTTTTAATAATAATAATTAATATTTGCTTTACTATTATTATATTTGTTGATAAAAGTTCTGGAATATTTTTGTTTTTAAGTATTAAAAAGTAAAAAAATTGAAAATAATCAAAAAATCATTACTTAAATTTAAATTAAATTAAATTATTGTAATAAAGAAAAAACAATGAAACAGTTACAATTTTGAAATCCTCAATTTTGTATTATAATTTTAAAATATTATATGATTTATTTGATAGCTTTTAATAATATGTATCTATATAAGAAGAGTTATAATGTATTTTATATTAATAATACATAATAATATGATCGTATTAAAATATTATATGTTTTTATAATATTGGGAGCATGGGGGCAAAGTCCCCGAAAGTCCTCATCGTGAGCATTTTTTTCCAACTCATGACATTATGCCCGAATTACGCCACTGCGAATTATGTACCTGTCGTTGATTATATCTACAATATTATGTATAATAAAATTCATGTGTAAAAAGTTCTTATATATCTAATAACAGATTCTCAATATTATAATATTATTATTACATATAATATTACATTCATATAATCGTGTTATATTTTTTTTAGATGTAGGTATCTTATAGATTTAAAGTTCAAGGACTTTCCATCGATGTGACGTCATACCTCGAGGGAGGAAAGTACCTACATTGGACTAATTAATCAATGGAAAATAATGAGAAATCTCTTCTTTGCTGCCGTCATCACTATAATAATATACGCTTCTCAAGAGTAATTCAGTATCATGATACATATGTATATTATATATATAGTAAGTTAAAATAGGTGGGCACACAAAAAGCTAGAGATCATTGAACCGTGAGCATGGCCATTCATGGACACGTTTTAATAAGTTACCTATCTATTGTAATATAACGTGAATGACGGTGTGTTCTTTAATGAAAATTTAATTATTTTTTGTCTGCATAATACGTTATATTAATTTATTAATATGAACGATTTTTTTTTTTTTTTTAAAAGACAACGCCTCCTTATTATACCTTTTTGCTTCGTTTTCACTTTTTTTTTTTTTTACATACAATAGTTATATTTATACATTTATTTTTAGAATGCCTTAAAGATATATTTTGCAGTGTTTGGTGACGCGCGTAAAGGATAACGCTTATATTATATAATGGCATTTTCTAAGCCAGCAGCAAGTTAATATTAATTGTTTCAATGTATAAAGATAAATTGGTGACACGTGGACATATATTATGAATGCTAATATTATATTCATTGTTATTTGTCTTAACTCTCGAACAACGAACATAACATTATATATATTGATTGTGTATCGTAAAAGGACTTTATTTGACCCATATAATATTTGGAAGCAGCCATAAAGGAAATTGATAGTCTGTATAACATATTATGCAAAGTAATTTGCTTTATTATTATTATGAACCGTTATAATCATTTTAGATTCTAAATGTAGCGAAGAATGTATTGATTTTACAAAGATGTTATTTTTTTTGTTTTTTATTTATACTGTGTACAAAAATTCTACCAGAAATCTTGCTTCGATGCATACGATGTAAAACCTTTTCTGAAAAAAATTGTCTTTGGGTGGTACTTTAAGGAGATCATTTTTTGATTTTCCCCGCAGTTTCCCCAATAAAAAAGAAAAATTGAGAATAAACGTATGAAAAACTGGAAATTTACGAAAATACTTCTTTTATACAATTTTTAATTTTGTTATTTGTTGCAATTCAGTTAAAAATATTCGTAAAGACTTAAAATTGGAACAGAATCCTTGTAATTGGCTTTTATTTATATGGTAAAATTTTCAAAAAATTTAATCCATTTTTGAGCTATTAATAAACATTTTAATTTTGCTAGTTTTGTATGTAATTTTTATTCGGTAGGTTTTTGTTCATGTACTCTGTGGTAAAATTGTTAGATATAATAGAAATGTTTGGAAATTTAACAGGGGGTTCATTAAAAAAAAGTTTGTGCTCTGTAAATATGGTAATGGTAACGTTGACATTTGTGAGTGGCGAAATCAAATACCTTTTGTATTATTTATTATTTAAAAATCTACTCACATTTTACGTTCGCTTTTTGTTTTTATATTTTTTTATATCGTTCATACTCCATATGCATGTATATCAAAAACGGACAGCATGTCAACACAAGTTGAAATTGACATGTCAGTTTTGTATACAAAAAAAAAATTAAAAAAACAATGCCAATAATACTATATTTAACACTGGAACTATATTTTAATTAAAAAATGATACAATAATATTATTGTAACACCTCATTATTTCAAACAACGCGAGTTATATTGTTTTATGTCAACGCGTATTTCTATATTAGATATAGATCTATAACCACTAATATAATGTAACTGGTTTTGTTAATAATTAGGTAATTCACCAGATCGTGATATTTTTTTATTATTGTTTAGTAGCAAAATACAAGACTAGTTTTGAACTAGAATAGAAAATTAATTGTGTCATCTCCGTCGTTGGCGCGGTATATTATTTAAAACGCTAAAACGAACAAAATGCCGCTACGCCTAAAAAATGAACGTATAGGCAATATAATAAACGGCCACACATTTTGTATACAAAAAAAGACAGCACGGAGGAAATATTCAATCACGAATCACAAAAGTCGGAAGTTTTATTGAAAATGTATTAAATGTAGCAAAATATTTATCATATACTCAAAAACTGTAAACGAAAAAAGTGAATTTAGGTATTAAAAATATTTTACTGTGCGATTTAAATAGTTATCCATAGAAAGTTGGAAGTTTTTTTAAAAAAAATGATTCTTAAACTTCTGTTAACAGCAAATAAACTTGAATAAAATAATATAAAATTATTCAAATATAATATAGTAACATAGAAGTTCCTAAATCTAGGTAGTAAGGTTTATTGAAGGTAATATTATATGGTTTAACAGTTTATTAAAGAAAATGTTAAAATAAAATTACTTATTTTAACATTTTAATCTTGAGCTCTAACTAGAATCGTTTTTTTTTTCTATATACCGTTCAAGCTATGTTTTGAAAACTTTTTAGATTCTCAGCAATGAATCTTGCTCCGGATTTCAATTGTAGCTTTTTTCCGAAAGGAAATTTTATCTGGGTACTTAAAAAGAGATAATTTTTTGATTTTCGAAAGGGTTTTCATAATAATTGGAAAAAGTGGGAAAATTTAATTATTTTCAAATTAGTTTTTTTGTTGTGATTCAATTAAAAATATTCAAGAGGACTTAATATTTGAACAGAAAAATATATTTACATTTTTTAGACGTGGTAAAATTTTCAAAAGATTTATGCCACATCTTGAGCTATTTATAGACACAGTAGCGCACCCAGGAAGAGGAGAGGTTTTGGAGGTAAAGCCCCCCCCCAAATTGTTTTTATATTATATAATATTATTATTATTGTTATCTGCAATAATAAAATATGGTTTTTCTTTTATTTGATTATCATTTATCATGTTTGATACACATTAATAGTTCAATAGTTCGAGATAAGGTTTGTGGATATCGTCGATCGATAATTTCGTTGACAATTATTTTAGATTTTGAGTGAACCAAAGAAGCTTATGGTTTTACTAAGATTTTTATTTTTTTTTTTCTGTGAACAACTTTTCTACCAGAGGACTTGCTCCAATATTTATGTTTAGCAACTTTTCTGAAAGGAAATCTGTGTGGAGAAGTACCTTAGAGAGGTCATTTTTTCATTTCTCACGGAGTTTTCCCAACAAATATGAAAAACTGGGAAAACCGGGAAAATCGATACAACATCAAACAAATATTATTAAAGACAATTTATAGAGCCTATTTAGTTATTTTACTATAATATGCCATATATATATTATTAATAAAGCATTACCATCAACTGAACTCCGCTCAGAATCGTTTTTTGTAAGCAATTATTTATACCATTGCTTACAGGTATACATTAAATTACCTCTAACAGTGGCTGCACCTGTCACCAATATCCTAGGACGTCTTTTAATATTTATACTAGCGATTACGTCAGATCGCCACCCGTCGTCTTAGATCGATAACGACAAAAACAATAATAATTTTGACCGTCGACTGTGTAACATTATACTGATAAGGTGCCTCGTTAGTCGTTAAAAAAATGTTTAAGCCCCCCCCCCCCCAATTAAAAATCCTGAGCGTCTGTATAGACATTTTAATTTTGTGAGTTTTTTACGTAATTTTTATTCGATAAGTTCTTTTTGCGGATACAATTATTAGACCAAACGGAAATATTTAAAAATTTTAAAGGAGGTTCCTTGTAAGTCGTATTTTGTAAAAAAAATTATAATTAATATTAAATATTGAACCAACGACGTTTTATTATTTTTGACGTTTTAAGCTTAGATAAGAGCTGCACGTAGAATGAGGTCTGAGGTGTAACAGTGTAATATAAATTATTTAGCACTCTCACTCGTATACATAAAACTTTAAGTGCTAATAAATATTAAACGTTATTGGTTGTTCAACGTTTATGCGTTCACGTTTTCAGAAAACTAATCTACGTCGGAAAATGAAGTTAGGTAAGTATATAATAAAAAGCCACATAGGTCGTTTTTATTAAAATTTAAAAAGTAAAAAAAAAAAAAGGAAGTTAAACTTGATGTCTATAAAATATTAAATTCATAATATAAAAACAGAAATCACTATTGTGTTCGTTTATTCTTCTTTCTTTGAAAATTATACAAAGTTATTTAGATTAATGAAAAAAAATCGTAGTTTTTACCAATTATTTATTATGTGTTGATTAGATAACGAATTATTATAAATTTATAAATAATCTATATTTATATAGATTGAATTTTAATTGAAACTTATTTTACAAACTATGTAATACAATTAAATTATAGGTAGTGTTTTTTTTCTTCTACTGCATACAATATAATATATATATATATATATGCATACTATAATAGGTACTACTTATTTAGATTGTATTTTAGATTCATAGTGGATCGAAGAAGCTTATGGTTTTACAAAAGATTTTTATTATTATTCTTTTTTATTTTAGATTTTGAGGGAAACGAGAAATGCATTGGTTTAACAAAGATGTTTTTTAAGTTTTTTTTATGTGAATACTTTCGACTAGAAAATATACTCCGATTATCAAGTATAGCACCTTTACTGAAATGAAATATTCTCTGGGTGGTACTTTATAGAGGTCATTTTTTTCAATTCTTATTAATATTCGAGATAATAAGAAAAACCTCAATATTTAGGTTAAAAAAGATTGAAAAATTAAAAATAAGGTTGTCATTGGCAACCGTTTTTATTTATTTTTTGTTTTTATTTTTTTAACCATTTTTAAAGAATCGTTGTTGTCATGGAAACACACATAGTTGTAATCATTTACCATAATATAACATAAACCATATATTGTATTGTTGACATAGTAACACTATCAACTGAATTCCGCTCAGAATAGTTTTTTAATAGCAATGATTCATCATTGCTTACATATATACATTAAATTCCCGTCTATATCCTACCTTCCAAACTTCCCACCTACAACAGTGGCTGCACCCACATGCGAAGTATGTCTTTTTTAAATTTATTATTATATTATTCGTTAACAGTGATTTATCATTGCTTCTACATTAAATTACCCATAACAGTGGCTGCACCTATCCCCATTTTCGTAGGACAGCTTTTTAAATTTTAGAATATTCAATATTTTGTATTAATGTGTACCCTAGTATACGAGTATACTAGTAAAACTGTAGGTATAGGTATCTAATTTTTTTTAAATACTGAGTGTGTAGTGAAGAAATTTTCCTAAAATGTTTTTTTTTCTTGATGAATATTTTTTTGATTAATACAAAAATGCTCAGAGTTTTTTATGTCATACTATAAACCTGAGTATTTTCCGCGTTTTTGTGAAAAATCTATGTATTTAAAAATATTATCTTTCACTACATTTAAAAATTCTAAAAATCAGAATTTAAATTTATGTATAATTTAACCATTAAAATGAGGTGAACACTGAGCATGCTTAAAAAAACACTCTGTGTAGTATGATAAATATTTTAGAAAAATTATTTCGTGGTGGGGATATGCCTCTCATTCCCCCGGTTGACTACCCCTGTGTGAATTATACTCCTCGCTCCAATGTGCATGTTTCAAATTCAAAGATAAATCATTATACCTATTGCTTTGAAACTTGAACTTGTAATATTATTAACAAAACAATACAATAATACTATAAATAATAGCTTGTGCCAAGGTGAACGAGACAGTACAAGTGTTCAACAACCGAATGTCAGTAAAATCATTTTATTTTATATGTCGTTACTGTATTACCGTTTCTAGTTCATAACCGCGCGGTGACAATGTTTGAAATTTCAATAACGTTTTTATAGTGTAAGTACATCAAGTACATATTATATTTTCGAATGAAAAGGTTTGAAAATGATTTTCGATGAAGGGTTTGCAATGATCGTTTTTTTTTTTTTTTTTGCTCTTCATAAAGATATTTTTTGAAAATTCCCAAAATAATATCATTTAAAAATTTAAAATAAATACAAGTGATAACTGCAGAATTATATATTAATATACGTAGTCACTCGTTCGTATAATATACTATGTAATATAATGATTTAATATAAAGTAGATAAATAATCGGTTTTTTTTCTCCGGGTGAGTGGGAACGCCTCCTATGCCTGTTACTGTTCTGATTTTATGAACTTTTATAATAAAAAAGAAATAATAATAACAATATTAAATGATAATAACACAAACATATTATATCATCAAAATAATATGCATTAATCATAATATTTAACATCACACAGTCATTTATTTACGCGTCGTAGCTTTATGGACGGTTAAAAACACTACAAATGAAGAACACGAATTTTATAATTTATAAAAATTATTTTTATTCCTCGCAATAATATTTTGTTCGTAACACACCACGCCAGTTGATTTTTATACATGAAAAATCCATCAGAGTTGGTTAAATGTGAATTTTTGAAATTTGAAAAATAATATTTCAAAATATGATAAAATGTTTTTATTTTACGCAAATTTGAATTATCACTATCCATATAGAATATAAATACTGTTGGCCTGAAGTGTCGGCCTGGCCACATACGGGGCCGGAGTCCTCAGTCGAATTTGTGTCTGGAGACTTCTTATGCCCAAAGATAAAATATCATTTGACTACTGACCATCATCTTTTGTGCATAAATTAAAATATATAAATAGTATTGTTTAACATTTTAGCCGACTATTGCCGATTGCAGTAAAATAATAAAATATAACCATTTATCATTAATAATTATTAATTATAGTAAATAAATGTATAAATAAAAAATGTACGTATAAAAATAAAATAAATAAATAAATGAATGAATGAATGCGTCGCCTGGAGTATTATAGTAAGTGTATTATTTTTATGTATACATTTTTTATTTGTATATTTATTTACGAGTTATTTACCATTTTAATAATTTGTTTTTACTCTGTTATTTTATTAATTATTAATTGTGTGGGCAAGTAAATTTATAGACAAATTACTGGATGGGAGCCATCAAAACAAATGTTCCAGGGGCTTTAGGCACGCCAGGCTGACACTGATACTGATGTATTTAAAATTAAACTATATACAAATTTCATTAACAAAATCAACACTTTTCATAGGAAATTAAATGTTCCACCCACGAGCAAAACTTTTTACTAAAATGTATTATGCATTAACTACAGCGTGTTTGATTGCACGTCGTACACGTCATTGTTGTTTCTGTGAAAATATAATCGGAATAATATTCAATAGAAACTTTAATAAATAAAATATCTTTGTCGGTGTCGAATAATCAAACAGTCTTTGTGTTACAACAATCTATATTTATAAAAGCAATTTCGACGAGACTTTGTTTAGTTCGACGACGGCAAGGAGTTGTTTTGTTAGATTTTCAAACGCCTCCATAGTAGAAGAAAAAATAAAAATGAAAAAAAAAAATGAAAAGTTCAATAATGTAGGTACGTGCATTGTATATATAATATATACCAGGGGTGGCCAAACGGTCGTTCGCGATTGACCAATAAATAGCAGACAGATGATTTAAATGTCGATAATAGAATTTTTTTTTACGTAATTAGTAGATATATAACAATTGCTGATCATATTTATCTTAATATTTTATCTTTATTTTGTTGTAAATTTATCAAGTAATACAATTCAATAGAGTTTATCCTGGCAATTGTAGTTACAATAACATATATTAGTCTTAATAATAGTGTGATGAAAAACATTATTCAACTATACATTTTAGTTTTATTATTTTGTACGTGTATGTTTGTTATTATTACCTATTAGTTTATTTATAATTGTACATTTTTGTTAAAAAGTCGATGCACAAAGGAAGAATATACTATTTTAGTAGATCTATAACAAAACAAGTTTGGCCACCCCTGAATTATATACGGCTAGTGGACTTTTCTTGCGTTTTTATTTTCTTCTATACAATATTATATTTAAAGATATAAACGATTTTTAATTTCGAGAAAAGAAATATTAATTTAAATTGCTTTCTACAAAAAAAAAAAAAAAAAACGATAATAACTCGTTTATGCATTATTTAAATGTAATTTTTTATAATCAAAAGTTCAGAAAAAAAAATGATTATATATTATCTCTTTTATTCATATAAGATATTATATTGTATGTTTTAGACATTTTTCATTTTAACAAACAACATGGACGTCATTTTCATATTATGAGGTCAATTCTCCTCCTTCCCCCATCAAGCGTCAGGCCAATTATTGTTTAATAGAAGACTGTTGAAATGTAGATAATTTAATAGTACACAATTCCAATTTCAGTAAATAAAAAATTTAAATTTTTAGCCTGAATGTTACGGCCTGCAAAGTATAATCGATCAACGCACTTACGATACGGCAAATATTGGTCAATAATTGTAAGTAAAAACTAATACACATATGTTTCCCTCAAATGGAACCCCCAATAAAATATCATTATCTTATAATGAAATTTGGTAGAAAAAAAAAATCAAAATATGCGAAATAGTTTCGACGCAGTTTCCATTTATTAGGTAGGTTACTTTCTCTTAAATACGGATTTTCGCGAGTCAGATGATGCAGAAAACGTATAAAACATGATATAAATTATGCAATAACGTAGTCTGCAGGATTTCTAAAACGACATAGGATCGATCGAAAAATGAATGACCATCAATACTTAAAAGGTAAATATGTATGGGAAAATATCAAAATGTTCTACAAATGGAATCGTGAGAAACGACAGCTGCTGTTGAAGTACGAAGACGTTCGTTTCAATATTAATACTTATAGTTATTGTTTTATATCTGTCACAGCCGGATCAACAAAAACATAACGACGGTCTAGACTTCAGATCTCATCGGTTCTGAGAGTAGTAAGAGCTCTAATTTCAAGAAAAAAAAAAACAACTCCGATAAATACACTGTATATAGAAGCTACATGTATTTGGAAAATACGATACTCTTAAATAGATTTTTGTTTTACTATGTGTTTTTTTTGATCTAAAAACAACTCTTCTAACAGAAATTTTGCTCAGATTTCCGAGTGTAGAATCTTTTATCAAAACAACATTTATCAAATCATTAGTCTTTTGAGAAGAGGATTTTTCAGCTTCTTTGTAGTTTTCTTAAAAATTTTGAAAATCAGAGAAAAACGTATTTTTAAATAACTATATCGACATTATTACCTCATTAATTTCACTTTTTTTTTTTTTTTGTAATCCAGTTAAAAATAATTATAAAGATCTGTAATTTTCACAGAATACCTATATTTGTCTTTATTGTATTTGGTAAAATGTTTAAAATATTCTGGTAATTTTGGACTTTCAAAATATTTGAGCAATTTTTAAGCTATTTATAGATATTTTAATTTTACGAGTTTTTTACGCAATTTTTATTTTGTAAGTACTCTGTAATTAAATGGTTAGACTTAATAGAAATGCTTGAAAATTTGATGGTTGGATCATTATAAGTTGTACTTAGTGATCAAAAAAAATATTTAGTTTAATGAAGTTTTTTTTTTTAATAAGAATTTTAAAATCGAATTTTGACGAAAATCGTAAATATTACGGCCTTTCAAAACATGTATAACCGAACTTCAAATTGTTTTTCGTTAGTAGTGGTTTATCGTTAGTTACAGGTATAAATAACAGAAAGTTTTGTAATTTGCTCCAAAATAAATGTAACTTGCATCACTACGGGTAGTCGAAAATAGTGTTTTTAATCAATCACGACGAAAAAACGTTCACATTTATAAATTGTGTAAAACAAAGGCACAAGAAACTCTATACGAAAAAATATTTTAAGAAATGCGCTACAAAATTCAACAGTTTCCAATGTTTGTACCACCAAGAAAATGTCTGATATATAAGACCGGGCACGTATACAAGGGGGGGTTAGGGTTCAACCACCCCTGAAAATTAATAGTTTTATGACTTTTTTTATATAAATTTAATATTTTTAGATTCTAAGTGGAGCGAAGAAGCTTATGGTTTTTACAAAGGTGTTTATTATTTATTTTTTTATCTGTTAACAACTTTTTTAACCGGAAGACTTAATCAAATTTCTAAGTGTAGCACCTTTTCTAAAAAGATAGATACTTTTTAGAGATCATTTTTCGATTTTCTTAAAATTGTTCTCATCAAATTTGAAAAACCGAAAACAAAACGATAAAATATAAGAAATGTAGGTATTAGGTAAAATATATTACGGCCTTCTTTTTTTCTGTTCATAACTTTTCTACTAGTAATTTTGCTTCAACTTTGATACTAATTTTTCAAAAAGGAAATTTCACTAGGGAGGTACTTTAAAGAGGTCATTTTTCGATTTTCTCAGTTCTTTTCCCAGCAATTATGAAAAACCGGGGAAAATGTGGGGAAACTGGGAAAATCGGTACAACATTAAACAAATATTAAAGAAAATATATAAAGCCTTTTAAATTATTTTACTATAATATGGCATATATGTATATTGTTGACAAAGCATCACTGTCAACTGAACTCCACTCAGAATCGTTTTTTTTGTAAGCAATGGTAAATCACTGCTTACAAGTATACATTAAAATACTTATACTTTTGGCTGCACCCATCCCCATTATCCTAGGACGTCTTTTTTTAAATATTGATTATTGTAAATTTGTTATGACCCCCCCCTCCCCCCCGAATTTGTTTTTTTGTTTACGTGCCTGTATAAGACGTAATATATCTATAATAATAAAAGGAAAATATTGCCAAAATATCCAGTATCACTAAATGATAAAGCCATACAATTTTGTTGCCATTGGATATTAAAACACTTAAAGGTGAACCATTTATTTTATCAAATAATTCTGATAAAAATATAATTATATTTTCTTGCCACACAAATATTGATTTCTTATGTAATGATGAAACAATATATTATCTTGATTCGATTATTGTCCGAATTTATTTTCTCGACTTTTTACTTTACACGGATATTTTAATGATACGAGTAATGTAAAACAAAAGTACACACATTATTCCGATATCTTGATTCATAAATGTCAAAATGTTGATCTGATATTAAAACCTACAACAATTATATGCAATTTTGAAGAATCGATTCATGTCGCATTACGAGAAGTTTGGAATACTGTTAATATTTGTTGATATCGCATTAGTTTAACTAGTCAATTTCAAATGTTTGCTGACTATTTGACTAACAATTTTAATATGGAAAATAATTCATTGTTTCCGCCACGTATTTGGGCAGCTGCATCATCATCGTCTATACTTACAACGAATACCTGTGGGTCATTTCACAATAGATTTAATTCAGTTTTATCATCCACATCCTCAAATTTTCGGCTTCAATAAAGTTCTCATCAATTTTCAAACAGATACGTACATAAGACTATCAAGTAAAGGTACATATACCTCACCGAATAACTTCTGAAACAAGTCAACGAACAAATCAAATTCGTGTTGCTTTGGTCCAGTATAATAATAAATCGATATCAAAAACTTCATTCATTGAATTATTAATTGCATACAAAAACAAAAAAAAAACGTGTAAATATTAAAACAGTGAATTATAACAAACTTTTAAAAAGGGTGAAACTAATCTAATCAATAATTATCGACCAATCTCAATGATTTCAAACATTGCAATAATATTTGAAAAAATTATTAAAAATAGACTAGTAACATTTCTAGATAACTGCAATATTATACATCAATTCTAATATGATGTCCGAAAAAGTAAAAGCACAGATCAAGCCATCGCTATTATGACACAGTTCGTTTATAAATCTTCAGATGATAGTAAAAACTGTGCTACTGTCTATTTAAATATTTCAAAAGCATTTCATACTATTGATCATAATATATTATTACACAAATTAAAAGAGTTAAAAGAAAAAAAGCTTACGCGATAAAGCCTTACAGTTGTTTTCTGCATACTTGAAAAATAGCAAACAATGCAAAACAATTTATATACTTATACTTTTTCAATTAACATTTTTTTATTTCATTATTTGAATTCACTAACTTTGTTTTTAATAAGAATTTTTAATTGTAGCACAAAAATTCTAAATTGTATTCTTGTCTAAAATAATGCAATAACTATTATAATATTAGGTAGACGTATAATATATATCAGCAAGGGCGGATAGGCCCGCCGGGACACCGGGATTTTCCCGGTGGGCCGTTACTAATTATATCGGCGGAAATGTGCCGATGAAAAATACTGCTATTGTATAATGCAGGTCCGGCCAACCGGTCGATCGCAGATGATTTAAACGCCGTTCTCCATTTTATTAGAATTTATTTGTATGCAATTGACCGGCAAATAAAAATTGCTGATCGTTTTTATCTTAATATATCATCTTTATACTTTGTTGTAAATTTATCAAGTAATACGATTACGACTATGCATTTCAGTTTTATTATTTTGTACGCGCGTGTGCACTATTGATTGTGTACTATTATCTATTAGGTAATTTATAATAATACATTTTTGTTAGGAAGTCGATCATCAGAGGACAAATACATTCTTAATAGGTTTCTCTACGAAAAAAAGTTTGGACACCACCGGTATAAATGTACAATGGACATATAAGCAAATATTCAAAGTTAATCAAAAAAAAAAAACAAACAAGAATATAAAAATACCGTAATCTATGTTTAAGTCCAGTTTGAATCGAAATAAATTATCATTGTATGACTGACTGACTGAGCAATGGGGAATTCCACCTTCAATTCACAAGCTGCGTCGCGCGGCCGCGTTATCGACTGACCGCAATCACTAGTGTTAATCTTGGGATTTTAATATTATTTTTTGTGTTTTACACACGGATTATGAAGAAATTTCAATTCGTCGTTTCACACCAACTTCTATAATGAAAAGGACCTACCTACACGTTTAACGTACTCGATAATCGAACACAGACTTGTTACAGTCGACTTTTTGTTTAAACTAGTGACTGCGTTCGGTTTTTGGCTTTCCGTTGTCACTTGGCTTATAGGTACAATAATAGGTTCATAGTTAGGGTGCCCATATTATAAGGGAAAAAAAACGGACCAAACAATGAAAGGTTTACTCTGAAAAAACACAATCAAGATCATTTATAAATAGTTAATTATTTTAAAAAAATATTTGTTTGTGTTCGGTTTTATTGTGAGTTTGAAAAAATTTTCAAAATATTCTTATTTTTATCGGGTTTATGTCGAATGCTCTTGGTTTTTTTTTTTTTTTTTTTTTGTATGTGAATTAATTGCATTTAGTAATTATTTTGGTTGTGCAAAAAAAAATCATAAAAATCACTACGAGAATATTTTTTAGAATCATAATTTCTTTGATAATATAGGTAGGTAGGTAAAATAATGCGAATTGTTTAACCGTCCATAATCACACTGGAACATATTTTGTCAACCGCATTAGTTCCAGACATAACTAGAGAATATTCTGTCAACAATTGTTGATAAATATATAAATATATATTTTTTTTTCTGAAACTGTATAGACGCCACACCATTTTTATTTTTATTTTTTTCGTTTTCTTTATACATTAAAGAACACAATTATTCTGTAATTCTTTTAAATTGTCAATAATTTATCATTTATTACGACATTGACAAAATTATACACGATTCTACTCATTGTAAAGATTATCTTCAATTCGCATTCCCGTTAATTTGTTTTTTATTATTTTTTAAAACTAATGTTAAATTTTCAAACTTTCTTGAATGCACTACCGTAGTGTATTTTTTCATATACCGGTTTTTCGTTTACACGCACACACAATGAAATAAAGGGATTAAAAAGGGACAATCCCGTTTTAAACGGGATGTATGGTCAGTGGTCACCGCTGATTGGAAACAGTTTTCCCTAGTAACCCTAATAATACGATTTTCCACTCATCTACTATCCGATACCCATTTAACGGGTGTGGCCAAAGAATATTCTGAATATATTATATTATTAATAACGAATTTTTAAATGATATTATAGATATATTATTATTAGATTATTATAAACGAATTGTTGAATTGATATTTTGAATATATTAATCACATGACATCATTGGTGCAGTAATAAAATAAAATTCTGAATATATGATCATAATATTGTTGACCGTGGTCCGCGACGGTTCGACATTAACGCATTAAATGATACCAGTCGTTTACTTTACATCTCCATACATAAAATATCATATGCCAAAAACATATAATTTGTAATGTGGTTGGCAGTTAAATTGAATTCGTATTATTATTGTAATTGGTCATTACATTATATTATACAGTACCGTAACCAATTTTTTTTTTCTCGGGGGGACATTTATTATTTTTATGTAAGTTGCCATACTTTGTTGAACGATAAAATACACCAAAATAACCAATAAACAAAAAACGGGAGGGGGCACGCCCGCTCACCACCCCGTCCGCAATCCCCCTGGCACTGGTGTCCACTATTTAGAGGAGGTTAAAGTTCTTGTTTCCAAAAGGCCGCAATTTCGAGACGTCACTGTACAAGCAAGACTATTATAATATTTTGAAATTGATTTATAACTTACATAGTCATAAAATCGGCTAATCAGCAACCAGGTAAAGTAATGTAGTGGTTAGGGCGTTAGATTAGATAAGACAGGGTCTCGGGTTCAATGCCCGACCGTGTGGCAGTTACAAGATTTTTTTTTTTCTTTTAGTAAACTTCACGAATCTTGTCTTATTGACAATATTTGTCATAGTAAAGATAAAATATTACCAACCAGCGCTATAATAATTATATATTGTCAATTCGATGAGATTGCCTTTTCGGCTGAATAGCAAAAATCATATTTATCAAGTCTACCTAGTTTATTGTTATTGTTATAACGTCGTTTTTCTTTCAGTATATACTGAGTGCAGCGAAGAAACTATTCGTTTTACTAAAATGTGTTTTGTGTTGGTTTTTTTTTTTTTTTTTTATGTGTAAAAAGTTTTTTCGGTTTGTACAAATGCGTTCATGCTACACTACAAAATATGAGGATTTTCGCAGACCGTATTTAAAAAATAAATGAAATTTAAATTTTTTCCGAAATTCCCAATCGCACTTTTTTTAGTGAGTGAACTTTTTCACGCATTAGGTACATTAAATGATGTGGAATTTTTACTCGGTGGTACTTTAATTAACACTCTTTATTAAATGTCCAACTAGGTCCTCTTTTTGGGTTTTTTTTTTCTCGGAAAATACTTTTTCGGCCAGTAAAAATAATGCTCTGAATAGTCTAAATTATTCGTATTGTACACGAAAAGATTAAAAGATGCATATTTTTGACCGGTGGTACTTTATTTGAAAACAATTTCTAGATTTCCCACAGTTTTTCTATAAAATTTAAAAACTGACGAACAATATTGTCGGTACATAGTTCTCAGTTATGTTGATTTCTGGGATGCCTTAGCTCGAAAAGAGGAAAACAAGACTGATACTACTCCGCTCAGAATCGATTTTTCATTGCAAACGGGCATACTACAGCTTATATAACATAAACGAATGACCTATACGTAGTGCGGCGATCTATCCTTATCATATCCCCCCCTTTCCCATAACTACGCCACTGCTTTCAACCGCCTTAAAGTTTTTGGAAAAAAAAGTACGAATAATTTCTAATAGGCAGGTACGTATAATATGTAATCCCGACTTTCTCGTGTTCATCATTATGATTTGTCGGTAATTTGCCGGTGCCCGTTTTTTCTTCTTCGGCCCCCTCCTCTCTCCATATAATCCGTTTGTGATTTTTTCACTCCGAGATCGTTATTGTTATTGTATCTTTTTTTTTTTTTTTTTCCGTAGGTACACATCACCGAAAAAATTATACCTACACGGCTTTCTCTTGAGGTTTTTTTTTTTTTCTACGTCTCATCGATAAAATATAGTACCGTCTACGTGGCTACGTATGTATTGATACTATGTGTCGGAATATCGGTGATTTTTTTATTATTATTTCGCCGGAAAACCTATAGAACACAGATTGCCAATAATAGTGCACGTGCATTATTCCCCACCCCCCACCTCGCGCCCATTTGAAAATGACGGCCCTGGTGCAACGTACGGCGGCGACTGCTGCTGTCACGGTGGACTGCATAGCGAACGAAAGCCAAATTATAACCCGTCGTCGTTGTCGCCGCCGCGGCGGAGGAGGTGAAGTAGAAGGCGGCGTTGGCGTACCTACGTCCTACTGCTGCGGCAGCCGACGCCGTCGCCGCCGCCGCCGCCGCCACCGCTGCAGCGTACTCGTGCGATAGCGTCGGCGATCGTTGTCGGTAGTTATAGCGTCGGCTGTTGACTGTGCGTCTCGTCTGTCGTCCGTTCCGAGCGAGAAATCCGCATAACGTCAGCGTTTGTGCTACGGCCGAACAGTGGACCGACAGTCGTAACGAAACCGTCAGCAGGTACCGCCGCCGCAACATCAGCAGTTTTCCGAGAACAATCCTCGACGGACATTGTCGTCGTCGTCGTTCACCGTCAACACTGTTCACTACTAAATAGGTACGTGCGCATAACACAATATTATACCTGCGTTAACATGCAATTTTTCGTCGCCGCGGTCAATTATGTATTATCGCCGTCGTCGTCGTCATCGTTGTTGTTATTATTGTTGTTGTATCCATCCGCTGTTGTTATTTTGACGACGATAACTCCGAACGCGGGTACGCACGCGCGGGCGCGATACACACGCTATGCACGCACGCACGTACGCAGACGATCGCGTCTTGGAAATATTTTGGCATGTGTAAGCCGATAGCGCGCTGCACGGTAAACGCATCGTCTCTGCAGTCTTGACAGTCTTGTACGGCCGTAGACGTCGCGAACGCAATTATCTCGATACTCGTATTCTTATCCCAGAGATATACGTAGGCTTGCGACCCGGTGTGTACCTAATTGTATTTGTCTTCGAGAATAATTATAAACCGTCGTATCCAATATAGTCGCCGGCCGTCGTGTCCGTCTGGTAGAAAAACGAAACCGTTACAAATAATCGTTTGCAGTCTGTTCTGTGAGTATATTATTCGCCGCGATAATATTCGTCGTTCTTGCGCGGCGGTGACCGATGACGTCGTGTGCGCCAGCGATGTTTAGATCAGGTTTCTCCTTGGTGGTTTGTTTTTCGTTTCAAGTCGACAGGTGAGAGAAAAAAAAAAGCCGGAGACAGACAGAGCCGTATAGAACAATGAAAACGCTTCGCAAGCTTGTTAGAGGCGAGCGGTGTGGCGTGGACGAGTAAATGAGGCGAAGTAGAACCCGATTTTGCCGCTGCGGCCCGTGACCATCGATTTGGTTTTGAGAATGCGTTTTACAAGCTCCCTCTGTTTCAAATATCCGCACGGTAATTGGTCTTGGCAATCCGGATTAACTTAGAGCCCAGTAAATTCATACGATTTGTCTTGACTGATTAGTGCACTTTTTTTTTGTTTACAATATTGTGATAAGGAAACAATGGATTCTCGTTGAATAAAACGAAAAAAATCAAAATAATAATAGTTGAAATTATTAAAAAAACGGATTTAATGGAATGTTAAAGTAAACTGTAGCAGCGAGAGTAGTCGGGCCGAACAGCTCGCGTGAAATAAAAGGCGAACCAGAATATAAAAATATCATGATATGTAATGCTGATCAATTATAATATTATTTTGATACAAAGTTTAAATATTGAGATTAGATACCTACCTACCTATAGAACCTATTTAATACCTACCTATTTAATTATATTAAATATCATTCTACTGATACTGTTGTTGTACGCATTTAATAAGACCTTAATTTATTACCTACTTTGTTTCTAAAAACCTAAAACTTGTTATAATTATAGTCTACAAATTTGGTTGTCTGTGACATTCAACTTGCAGTTATAATTTAATAGAACGGATATTATAATACAATATATTTTTACATTTAAATACCTAGGTACTTAATTAAACAATTAAACACAAAGTATTATCATTCCAAGACTTTGCAATAATAATATGTTTTGTATGCTTTATTGTATTGATCTTTATTTTTGGATTCTTTTGCTCTGTAATAAATGGTTGTATAATAATCGTTAAGCAATTCAATGTGAGTGTAGTAACTTTTTTGTCTGTTTATAAGTAAATTTATTGGATCATTTCCAATATGTTCGTTTCTATTATTTGGTTAGTTGTTTATTGTAGGTAGGTACTTCAATACAATATTATATACACCTATATAAAAAAAAATGCCCGTTGTATACAAACATCATAAGTAAATATTTTTTTTTTTTGTTTTTAAATAAAAACATACCATCTTCATTGAATCTATTATTTGTATTAATTGTTCCCATGTTTTATACTTATATACCTACTTTTAGATAACTATTTACAGGTGTATAACTATATTAGTATAGTATTGTGTTCCATAATATTAAAAGAAAGATAACGTTAAAATAAACGATTAGGTGTTTTCTAAACTCTTATCTTAATTATGTATAGATATAAATGCATATTATAATTATTTGCTTGAATACATTGTTTTATAGAAATAAGATATTATTACTATTAACATTTCTTTTAAATATTATAATATATAGTTCCTAAAAGAGAGATAAAATGATGAGTTTTATGTATTCGTGTTTTAAATAAGTCAGTACATTATTGACCACCTATGAATTCTGATTGGTGATGGTCAAATGGTATATTTTAAAGAAAAATAATTGTATTACTCAATATGAATCCTATTATATATTTTAGAAACATGCCATTATTCGGGAAATCACAGAAAAACCCAGTGGAGGTTGTAAAACAAATAAAAGAAGCCGTTGTAGCTTTAGAAAAAGGAGATAAAAAATTGGAAAAAGTAAGTATAGAATTAAATACTGATTTAAAGAAAAAAATAAAAACATTAACTGATACTTATATAATATTTTATCTGTAAGGTAAATTATTTTATCGTTTCAAACATAATTTTAGATAACACAAATAGTTACCAAATTCATGTATAGGTATTTTCAGAGGTATTTTTTAAATTTGTTTATTATATTTAATTTTATAATACATATATTCTATTTAAGTACTTTAGTTATTATATCGATACAATATTCGTATAAAAAAAAAAAAAAAACTGTGTAATTTGAATAAAAGAATATCTGATAAGATCAATTAAACTTAATATAATACTGACCGTTTTAATAGAGATCAAAGTGATTAACTTTTGTACATTCATAGCTAATAATACTGCAGTTGACTGATGGATATTATTCTCAACCTAGTTTTAACAAATATTAATGGACAGTTAATAAATAGTCAATTTATTTGTTACATTATTTTTGCATTTGTATCAATTATTATTATTATTATATATTATTTCAGGCACAGGAAGACGTGAGTAAAAATCTTTTGGTCATTAAGAATTTGTTATATGGAACCGCTGACACTGAGCCTTTGTCTGATATTGTTGTTGCCCAACTAGCGCAAGAAATGTACAATAACAACTTATTACTCATGCTGGTACAAAATTTAACGAAAATAGACTTTGAAGTAAATATTTTAAGTTAACTAGTAGAATTTGAATGTTCATTTAATATTTAAAATACATACAATATTACAGGGCAAAAAGGATGTTGCTCAAGTATTTAACAATGTTCTTCGGCGACAACTCGGTAGCAGATCGCCTACTGTTGAACACATCTGTGCTAAATCAGAAATCTTGTTTACTCTTATTGCAGGGTAAGGTATATAGTCAATATATATAATATTATATTTAGTTTTTTTTAATCTAAGGCGAGAATTATTATATTGTTCTGTTAGTATTTTCAAAATGTATACTATTAGAGTTACTTATAGTTATATCTAGGGTCAGGATTCCAGTCCAAAATGTAATCTAAGGCAATGCTTTTCAAATACATAATTTGATTTATGTAAGATACCTACTTGAAAAGTGAACATTCTATTTTAAAACTTGATTGGTAATTTTGTTAGTTTTAAGTACATATTCGTATATTTTAAATTTAAGTCATTCAAAATGAAAAGATGTAATGTCAAAAAATGTTGTTTTTGTGGAATTTGCTTTACCGATTAGATTTAAGATATTCTTCATTAATACACATTGTCGATCCTTTTATTTTGATAATTTAATATACACAATATTATATTTTCCCCTATTTTACATTTTTATAACAGGTTTTAGCTTTTTGTATCATTCTTTAAGGGCATTATTTTGATAAAAGGCAATGTTTAGGATAATTTTAACTTTTTTTTGGACCATTTTTCAATAGTTTTAGGGATCCAAGCCTTAGGGAACTTCTAAACAATAATAAATTAAATAACACATAATCAATTTTAAAGGAATTTGGCAATGTTGTAAATTATCTTTTATTTATTTTATGCAAATTATTATTTCACCTACTTTCTATTAAATGAAAATAAGAGTTGTGTCTAAATATTTTTCTTAACCAGAATTCAATAAATTATTGAAAATTAAAAAAAACTATTTATAATTAAAGGTATGAACATCAGGAAATTGCACTGAACTGTGGCACAATGTTACGTGAATGCGCTAGATATGAAGCGTTGGCCAAGATCATGCTTTACTCAAAAGAATTCTTTAATTTCTTCCGTTATGTGGAAGTGTCTACTTTTGATATTGCTTCAGACGCATTTTCCACATTTAAAGTGTGCACTTCTATAATAATATTAATTAAGTATTTTTATTTTATTATTTATAATATAATAATGATTATGTAAAAACAGGAATTGTTGACTCGACACAAACCACTATGCGCAGAATTTCTTGAAATTAACTATGATAAAGTATTTACTCATTACCAACAGTTACTAAACTCCGAAAATTATGTGACTCGTCGTCAAAGTCTTAAATTGCTTGGGGAACTTTTGTTGGATCGTCATAATTTCACTGTATGTTTTTTGTTAATGAACACTGTTCTTGCTAATTATTAATTACATTTTATTATTGTCACAGGTGATGACCCGTTATATATCAAATCCAGACAATTTAAAACTGATGATGAACATGTTGAAAGAAAAATCTAGAAACATCCAGTTTGAAGCATTCCATGTTTTCAAGGTAAAATTTTTTGTTGGCTTTTAATGTATAAAATGTAAAAAATAATATTATTTTATTTTGTTTATAGGTATTTGTTGCTAACCCTAACAAACCCAAGCCTATACTTGACATTTTGCTTCGTAATCAAGACAAGCTTGTCGAGTTTTTGACTAGATTTCACACTGAAAGATCTGAAGATGAACAATTCAATGACGAGAAGGCCTATTTGATTAAACAAATCAAAGAGCTAAAACCTACTGCAAGCGATCAATGATTTACAGTTTATGCAACCCGACTTCATGACTTTTCGGGTTGTTAAAAACAGTTTTTGCTTGTCATGATTTTATAATCAGATTGATTATATTTTTAGGGTTAATAATAGTTATATATTTGGTTTTTTTCGAAGGGGCATTTCAAATTTTTACATAAGATATAATATAAAAGTATTTATTTAATGATAATTTTATAAACAGGTGTTTAAAAAATTGAAAATATAAACCCTTAAATAATATGTTTAAATAAAATAGCAATTAAAAATGGTTTGAAAGTGAAATATTGATACAATCATATTGTATTAAGTCTTACTTTTTATTAACTTCTATTATTAAACATATTTTACTTATGCCTATATTTTATCTATGTGTATTTATATTTGATCAAGTGTTTGTATGGATATTTTAATTTAGATATTAGGAAACAAGTTTCTATATTAAAATGGTGTCTTATATGGACATTTTGTATTTTGTAAAACTATCTTTTATATAGTTATTATTTTTGAAAACTATCTATATATATATATACTAATCGTATACTGTTTATATAATTTATTATATATATATGATAATAATTATATAATCAGTTTTTTTTTTAGAATTAATGTTTGTAACTTATGGGTGAATAATACACTGAATGTGGTTCAATACTGAATTTTATTTTTAAGCTAAAATTCATTACATTTTAGTGTTTGTGTGTGTGTGTGTGTGTGTGTTATAATATTTAATTAATTTATAAAATATTATTCCTACAGATATTATAATAACATTAATTGTGTGTTCTCCTTATTATTCAAAATTTTTTTTTATATAATTAAGTAGTAATTTTGTATTCTAATATTTTGTATAGCTTTAATCATAATAATAATAATAAGATAAATATTATATCTATTCTAGTTAAAATATTTTTTTTCCGAGTGTAACTAATAATATAACCCTTCTGCATTAGTAACAATAATAATGGTTTTTTTCTTCTTTCTTTTTTTAAAGCATAATATTGTATTCCATTTTTTTTTCTCACAATAATAAAACAATTTTATTTAACATGTTTTTACCTTCATTTTATAACCACACCCCATGCCTATAACAAAGCACTATAATTGATTGTTAATTTCCAAGTCTGTAGTAATTTATAATACTATGATTATTATTAACTTTCTACTGATTACGCAGTTTATTTTTCATATACTAAATATGAGAGTATGGAGTAAACATTTTCCAAAATTTCCTATATTTTTTTTTTTTTAAGTTACATATTATAGTATCTTCAGTATATTTAACTATTTTGTGTACAAATTTTTTTTTTTTTTTTTTATTGACTCATAAATTTAGATAAACATGTTATATGTAGTATTAATGTCTATACTTAAACTTAGAGATTATTTACCTCGCACCATTGGTAGAAGGTTAATAACTGACAATTAGATACTATTAATTGCTTACCTTACTTTAGTTAGATACATTTTTAATTCACTAAAATTAAAATCTGGTCAATTTGGCAACAAATTATCACCAATCTTAGTGAACATGTACCTTTAATCTTTTACTCACATTCCATATTTTAAAATAAAAATAAAAATCAGACATAGTTCCCACAATGACAACATTTCCGTTGTACCTACTTAAGTATTTGGGTATATCTATTTGATACTAAACAAATGTCAACAAACTGATAGTAAACATATTGAGTGTTAAATAATTTATTGGATTTATATGCAATACAAATCTATAAAAAAAAAAGCAGATTCATATTATAAACATGTAAAAATATGCAAAATTATTTTTTTTTATGTACAAACAAATGTATTAAAAAAAATTCAAAATATTTATTTTAAAATTCAGAATAACATTATTTTTATGGAATTGTGTTTAAAATTATAATACTATTTATATTCAATTATTATTATAAGACGAGTACCAGCATGAAGTAACAAAAATCAATTTCAAGTTTTCGATTTGAAAACTTCTATAATTATCTCGAAGCAAACTTTTGTTTTTGGAAAAACTTCTTTCCACATCACAAGATACAATAGGTGGATATTTAAAACTAGATAAATCTTCAACTGACAGTTCCTCATCACATTCCCTTACCTTTATTACACTGTCAATTTTTTTTAATGTAAATACCCACAATTTTTTGACAAAATATTTGTAAGTTTAGATCTAGCGAAATCTATCCCTGGCTCTCCTTCAAATTCAATTTTAATATTTTCTATGAGCAATAGACTATCCCTAAAAATAACATTCGATTTCTCTAGTTTTGTTATTGTCTATTAAACACTGAAAGTGTATTGTTATAACGACAAGCTCATTTTTTAACTCTTTATTATGAAATAAACTATGTGCGTTTTCAATAAACTTCGGTTCATTTTGGTTAAAAATGTTGATAAAATATTTTACCTCATTGAAATATTCCCCATAGTAACTAATTACCTCAAGCCGTGTATCACAACGAGTTAATATTGGTTGTGGAGGTAAACTCAAATTGGGATACATTTTTTTGAAAATATTTACACGTGAAGGTGCTTTTAAAAATATCTTTTTAATTTATGAAACTAATCTATTGAAATGTTGATATTTATCTCTTATGACTTCAGTTACTCTGTGTAGTCCATGAGCCATGCATGTCACATTAATTATTTTGGTGTAAAATACTTTAAAAGCTTCGGCATATTTAACCATGTATGGAGCAGCATCGGTTACATACAACAATACTCTTTCATGTAATATTTTTTCGGGCCATACAATGCTCATGAAGTCATATTAAATAATTTAGAAATTGTTTGAAAATTTTCCTTTTGTAATTGCTCAACTGTTTAAACGATTGGTTTTATACATTTTTTTAGATGGTAATTCCCCAATAATGACATTAGCGACATATTATCGTCCTTGTACATCGATCGAAACCCAAATTGGACTGTTCCCTATCTCATTCCTAATCTTATATAAAACATAGCATAATGGTGAACAGTTCTTTCGGTGGTTTAATTCATCTGATAATTTGAGTTTTAAATATTTTTCAAAAAACAATATAAACTGTGGATTGTTTAATTTAAAAAGTGAAATATCGTTTGTATTTTAATTATTAGTTCTGACCTGATTAAATGTCTTTTTTTATAAAAGGTTGAGTGTTCTTCTTTTCTTTCAATCTGCAATTCGATGTATGTTTTGCAGTATCTAAATGTTGTGCTACTTGAAATGTTCCGTTACATGACACATTTATACAATAAAAGTTGCAAAATAAAATATTTCCGTCCGTTTTAAATATGTTTGAATATTCATTTACACACCGAGAAACATTATTTACTTTAAGCATTATATAAAAATACAAGGGCGAGTTAAATTTTCAAACAAAATATACCGTACACCGTACACTACACATGATAAATGGACTGACCAAACTAAAACTAAGTTCTGTATTCCCAATAGGTATTGTACGGTATGTGTATATATACTGTTATCTAATGTAAATTTACCACTAGAAAATCCAATATTTTTCGTCATTTGTCGTTAACTTATCGATGTACGTTACAATGGGTTATTTACGATCAATAACAGCAGGTATTTGTACAAACGTAATTGATGAATAAAAATAGAATTATAATGATAAATTATTATTATTATTGTAGAATATGTAACATTTATGCAACTATCCAGAAATATGCAATTGATATGCATTTTCATTCAAATTTATATAAAAATATGAGAAAAAAAAAAAATAATTAACCATAGAATCTACGCGTCACGAAACGTCGACGTTTATAATCAAAATTATTTTATAATTACCTTTGAAATTATAAGAACCAAAGAAAAACTTTTTTTTATTAGCTTTTAGTCGGTGACTATGACAGTTCGACATTTTAAGCACTTAATACAAAACTATGACAGTAAGAAAAAAACAAATACAAACACTAAATAACGAAATCAGCTTCCAATACAAAAATAATTATCTCATTGATGATTACTTCAAGATTTAATGTTGATCATAGAGCAGCGGTTGGGAGATTTCGGGCAACTGAGCAAAATTATACGTTTGGTGTTGTAATGAGAAACGGCCTACGAGTAAAAGCGAGAAATCGCAGACGTTTTCATTTAAGTGTAGTGCGCAAAGAGGAATCATTTAGAAAAAAACTTAATTTGTTCACTTTTCGACATTTTTTAAAATAACCGATTTATCTATAAATTATGCTGAAAAATCCGATGAATAGGTACATAGTTTCTTAGTAATAGCCGTTTTAATTTCTAGAGAAAAGGCGCGGAAAAGTTGTGTTCAATAAACTTTCGCGTTTCGCAATAGGTATGAGAAATAATTTTATTCCAATCGTAGTACAGGTAAGTACACAACTGCGAATAACTATGTTTTAAATAATCGGGTTTCCATTATATTCAGTGCCCATTAGTCAATACAAATTATTTAGGTACCTAGTATAATAGGTATTGCGTTAGAAATAAAAACGACTATTAGTAAGGAATGACTGATAGGATATCAATGTATGGTAAATTAAAATGTTTCATAATAATATCTTTTACATACAAAATGGATATTTTGAAAATTTTGAAAAATGAACAAATGAAAAAAGAAGTTCCTGTTAATATTTCTCCGCATAATATGCGTCCTCTTAACATAAAAATTCGATTGACAAAAAAAAAAAAAAAATTAAAAATTAAAATGTTCACATCCGGATACCGTTGTAGAACGCTTTGTACATAGGACGTACAGAGTAAATTTATTGTAATATTAATTGCAGTTTATACAACAGTGGGAACCCACTGAAAAGCGAATTAACAATAGGCAAATCATTGCCACCGCGCACATTTTTTCCGCACCCACATGTGGGCTATAACTCTAGAAGTTGTAACAGCTATTACAATATTTGAACATTTATCTTCTGTGTGTACCTATTATCTAGGTAGGTGCCTTATACTCGTTTCTCTACCTCCACCGCGTGCACTGTGCATCACGGTGCCTATTGTTACTGATAATATTATTACCTACCTATATCGATATTTCATAATTTTACCAATGATTTGAAATTTAAAAATCTGATGTTCAGTAAAAAATATAGGTACATTTCAAAATTGTATTCAATTTTGGTTCAAATCAAACGTAATGCGCCGAGTGGTACTTGAGTGGTTCTGTTTATGACATCACCCGAAACATTTTTTCGTACCTACATGCATAGGAGGGATGATACCAGTAGCGTGTTGACTTGGTATGCCCGGGCCCTACCCCGGGTTTTTTTGTGCCCCGCTTTTCAGCGAAAAATTATTGGTTTTTATTAATATGATAAAGCGTAAAAGTTAAATATGTCGTGGGTAGGTAGGTATGCATAATAGCCAGGGGCGTGTCCGGGATTTTGTTTCGGGGGTGGTTTTAATTGTTTAACGTTAGTATCAAATTTACAATCACATTATTACAACATCTGTGTAAGTGTATGCATACGAAACCGTTAAATATTTGATATTGTAAACACATTTTAAGAGTTGACCTTATAACGCTATAACTGTAAATAATAAAAAATATTTTTACGTAATGTTCGTCATAATTTATACTAGCCAGTGTGTATATTATGTATATGAAAAAAAATTATAAAATAAAGTCCATACTGTTTGAAGATGATGTAAATTTTGAAACTACTCTATCCAGGTCTACTGGTGTGTCATTATGGATTGATAGAAGAACCAATTCTGTGAGTCGGTTTTCACTGGTACCTAGTCGATCTCATAAACGTCGTTATGCTGTTCAGTGGCGTGCTTAGCTTTTTCCTACGAGAAGGGGGGGGGAAATGCATTTTGTTTTGTTGATAGTCATACACAAATTTACAAAATGTACTTATTGTTGTATACATTTGATATTTTAGGAGTGGGTAGTTGGGTACAAATTACAATGTTATTATACATGTATATACATTGTATACATAGGTATTGGATACCCATTTCAGATTCTGAGTGGAACCAGGAATGTATTGGTTTCACAAAGATGTTTATTTATTTTAAATTTTATTTTTATGTGAACACTTTTTCTACCAGAAAGCATACTTCGATTATATCAAGTGTAGTACTTATTCTAAATGGAAATGTTCTCTGGGTGGTACTGAATAAAGATCAATTTTTGAAATTTTTATTAATATATTCGGGATAATGAGGAAAACCTCGGTCTTTAGGTTAAAAAAGATCGAAAGATTAAAAATATGGTTGTCATTGATAACCGTTTTTATTTATTTTTTGGTATTATTTTAATCTTCGTTAAACAACCATTATTGTAATCATTTCACCATAATATGACATATACCATATATTGTATAGTTGACAGAGCAACACTATCAACTGAACTCCGCTCAGAATCGTTTTTTCGTTGGCAATGGTTTATCGTTGCTTACAGGTGTACATTAAATTCCCGTCTGTATCTTATCATCCCAACTTCCCACCTACAACAGTCGCTGCACCCGCGTGCGAAGTATGTCCGTTCTTTTTTTAATATTAATATTTTAAATCTATTTTTTCATTTAAAGGAAACTTAAATGTTGGCAATGGTAACCAAACGTTTTTGAGTGCCTAAACAGTAAAAGACAAAAGTTATGTACACTAGGTTGTAAGAACTGATTTTTTTTTTTTTTTTTTATTTGAAACAAGTCTAAACTTGCAGTAAATTTATCAAAAAAATTGTTTGGATTTTTTGCCGATAACGAAAAAAAAAAAAATATAATATACATATAGGTATATTGTATAATTTTTCCACAACCGTAGCTAAAGACAAAACCTCGGACAAAAGCTCAGAGTTTGTACACACACGTACCGTGTCGTAACATTATGTTTGTGGTGCACTGCTGCATTTATTCAATGTTTTTGGAACTCGCGTTGGGATACGAATACGAGCTGATCGCTGACCAACGAGCGCATTTCACGTAGGCAGGTAAACAAACGTACGTTGTTATCGGTGTTGTGTGTGTGTGTTTGTGTGACGTGGTTTTTGACATCGCGTGTAGTCGCGAGGCGAAAACAAACAACAACTGCGTTGTTCTCGTTTTGTTTGCTCTTTTCTCGGTCGAACGCCAAACACCATTCGCTCGTCTCCGCTACACAAAAACTGTCTGTAATGCGTATTCTGTTCTACGGGCATTGATATTATGTACATGTAGGTACACGGTTCTCTGCAAGCGGTCCGCGTCGTTCGTTATCACGTCTGGACGTCCAACGGATCCGTTCCGCTATCAGTAATTTGTTTTCGCCGTTCGTATTTCCAATTGGTAACTTCTGAACGCACGGCAATTATTTACACAAGTCACGAACTCGGAACACGGTCCCCGGAACACCGGCATGACAACGGCGGTAACATTTTTTTAAATAATTTTTACGAGCTCTGACAATCTCGCCATTATCACCGCGGCTGTTATTTCGACACCGCCGACACTGGTGCCTATCGATAAAACATCTCCAGGCTCCTGTAGATCGCCGCCGTCTACAATGATGTCCAAAAAGTTTTTCAAGTACGTCGCCTGGACGCTATTGTTCGTGTTCGTTCTTCTCGCGCTGCCCAAACTGTGTACTGGCCACGGTCATCATGACCACGACCATCATCACCACGACCATCATCATGACCACCACAGCCACAGCCACACGCACGACTCGCCGAAAACGGTGCCTTTCGATTCGATGATATGGATCAAAGCGTTGTCCTCTACTGTAGCAATTAGCGTGCTGCCGTTTCTGGTGCTCTTCTTCATACCCATTAACAGCAAAGACCAGCACCAACAGTTCCTCAAGGTACTCTTGAGCTTCGCTTCCGGCGGACTGCTGGGCGACGCTTTTTTGCACCTGATCCCTCACGCGTTGGCCCCACATGACCATCACGAGCACGATCACGATCACGGACACGACCATCAGTGCAGTGTCCATCCGCATTCAACGGAAAGCCATAGTCATGACCATGACCACGAGACCAGAGTGGGATTATGGATCCTGGCCGGTATACTAATGTTCTTGTTTATCGAAAAAATGGTTAGAGTCATTAGAGATGGCCACAGTCATTCGCATTCGGCTGCAACGACTTCGAAAGAAAAGTTAAGCGATGACGAGGACGATGCTGATAACAGTACAAACGTTAGTTGTCCAAGTAAGTTTGACACCTATTTGGTTAAGTATTACTATTAACATGTTTGCCAAATCAAGTTTCTGGGTATTTTATGTTTATACATATATTTCTTTTTTTTAAATGTTTCTTAACATTTACATTGTAGGTATTTAATTTGACTAATTCACATAGATTTAAATTTTTAAGTAATAATTGTGATAATTTTTAGAATCCAAACCTCAACTATCAGTAGCTGGATGGTTAAACATTGTTGCCGATTTCACCCACAACTTCACTGATGGATTGGCTATTGGAGCCGCATATTTGGCTGGTCAAAACATTGGTCTAGTCACAACAGTAACAGTATTACTTCACGAAGTACCCCATGAGATTGGAGACTATGCAATTTTAATCAAAGAAGGCAGTACTAAGGCATATGTAAGTATTAAGTGCCTAATCTATAAATTGTATAAATCCCAAAAACAAACTCTTTATTTATATTTAGTATTAAATACAATATTTATACAATATTGACGAAAGTTATTTTAACGTAAATATTAAATTAACATTTTCAGTATCTTATTGCTGAAAATGTTTTAAAGATTAAAATCATTTTTTTCAATGTTAATCTATTATTGTTAAAATTTGAGTAAAATATTTACTAGTAGATGAATGTATAATACATAACAGTGTTATCGAAAGTAATAATTAAATAAACAAATATTTAAACAAGATACATCTGATTGAATATGTGTACGATTTCCAAAGTATTTATTATTTTGTAATAAATTGCATATTTTTCAATTAAGTATTATAATAATGATTAAACATTAAATGTATTTAATGTAATTTTAAATTAATGTTATCAATCAATTTAAATTATTAAAAAGAAAATTATATATTATTTCTGTTTTTTTTTTTTTTTTTTATTTATTTCTATTATTTCTATTAAATGAAAAATTTGTCTAAATAGGTTATCCATAACGAAATACCATTTTCTATAGATAAACTGTTGACTGTAAAATCGTATAATAATGATAATAATATTTATCTTTGTATTACTTATGTTTTAAATAATTGCGATTACATTGTTGACATACTTACTTAAAGAAAAAGAGATAATATTTATTATCTAATTATTTAGTTAATTCTATTGTGGAGTAGTGATTATTAAGCTAAATTGTTTACATTTACAGGCTATGAAATGTCAGTTATTAACTGCGTTTGGAGCTGTTTGCGGTACATTGGTGTCATTGACTTTTGGGAAAGATAGTAAGTTCAATGAATCATAACTTATCACATTTATTTTATCTTTAAGACGATTCTAGTATAAAATGTATTGTCTGTCTGTTGCAAATGTGTGCATTATGCTAATATGTTTATCACTTATCCTGTTTCATGGATGTTTAATTAAAGATTATATTAATTGTTCAATTACATAATATTATCTATTCTATTGTTTAATATTTTAATTTCCAAATGCACTTACAAATTATCCAAAGCTTGGTAATTTAAATACTCATATATAATAAAAAAAAATTCTTATCTACTACAAATAAAATAAATAATATTTTTAATTTATAAAACTAAAAAGTTTTTAAGTGCAGTTAAAAATATTCAAATAAAACTTAAATTAATTTTTGACTTAATGTTATCTGAAATGAACTAGTAATAATGGAGATACTGATTTTGAATTTCAAATAAATACTAAATATTTACAATTTTTAAAAGATTTCAGTAACCAAAATATATTTATATTATACTGGGTATCTTACCATGTTGGACGGATTTTTTGGAGCTGTTAATATTCAATTTTTTTTAAAATATTTCCGCTTTTCTTTTAGGGGGAAATTTATTTAGAGAAAAGTTAAATTTTTATTTTCATCTCTTAATTTCTAAAAAATAAACTTATTAATTCACTTTACAAAATGTTGTAAAATACATTAGGTATTCTGAAAATTTGAATGTATCATGCATTTATATTTGACGAATTGTTTCTTAGTAACAGCAGTTTTAATTTCTTCACGAATGAACAATGAGAAAATAAATAATACCCTGTATTACTAGATTAATTGTATGATAGATTAAAACGTTTAGAATAATATTTTTCATTAAATGGCTTTTTTAAAAATCTTATTAAATTAATAAATTAAGTTATTTTTCTTAGTGATATACAATTAGTTCTTAGTTCATACAATGGGTGGGTTTTAGGTCACTGTTGTTGGTGAACAGTTAGGAAAGTAAAAGGGAAATTAAATGTATATCTGTACTTAACGATTAATTATTGCTTACAAAAAATGATTTTGAACAGAGTTTGGTTATAGATGTTTTGAAAGGCCATAATATTTATGATTTGAAAATAATACATTTGGTAAATTTTCCTGGTTTTCCCCATTTATTATTAAAACTCCTCGAAAAATTTAATTATGATCTTAGAGGATCACCTTAGTCAGATTTCCTTAAAATAAATTGCTACACTTGCAAATCAGAGCAATATTTCTGGTTGAAAAATGGTTCACTATTTAAAAAAATAAACATCATTGAAAAATCAAGAGATTCCTCCTAACTCCGATCAGAATCTCAAAATTAGAACAAATTAAATATTCTAACAGCTTAAGAACAATTTGTCGAGAAGAACAATGTGAGACACCTATACATTTTACTGGAAACTTGTCATATTAAAAATTGCATTTTTGTAGCTTAAAAAATGATTAGATAATTTTAATGTCAACATATCTAGAGTACTTTTTAATCAGTATTAAAAGTATTTCAAAAACAAAATATATTATAAACCAATTGATCCTTTACTCTTGTTAAAAATGATTAAATAAATTTAGTATTTTATTATAGAATTGAGTTTTATAAAATTAAATTCCAATATATCTCTAGTAAAAGTTCTAGTTTTAAATGGATTTATCAGGAAAAAGTAATAAATGCATAATAACTTATAAATAGTATACTTAAAAAAAAGAGAATTTTGTTTTGTATAAAAAATATTAACCCCATCTTCGCAACTTTTGGCCTTAAATACCAGACACTACAGATTTATAATTGGGATATTTAGTTAAAATGTTTAATTTTATTAATGTATATAATCTATAGTTTTTATTTTATTAATGTTTTTTCTTTTAGGTGAAGCTGCTAATTCATGGGTATTGCCATTCACAGCTGGTGGTTTCATTTACATAGCTACAGTTAATGTGATTCCAAGTCTTCTAGAACATACTAGTTTTAAACAATCAATCAAAGAAATTGTAGCTCTACTTGTTGGGGTTTATTTAATGGTTCTTGTTGCTTATTATGAATGAACATTATAATGTTTATGTCCTTTACAAAATAACAAATTATCCACAAGTGGATACATAATATAATTGTTTATAATAATTGATGAAATTACCGCAAATTCCTTTCTTATATTGTTATACATTTAATTTTGTTTAAAATAACTCAAAAAAATATAACAAAAACCATTACTTTAAAATATTAAAAGTTATTTTACAATAAATTTATGTTTAGTATTATAATCATGAACTGATTTGTGATATATATATTTTTTTTATATATTATATATAAATATTCCATTGTTGTTGATATCAAAATAATGATAAAAGCAATCAATTTATACAATTATTTTCAATGGATATAACATCCTTTTAAATTAAAATCCGTTGTTTAATATTGTTGTCAGGAAATTAACCAATATTATCTGATTATCTGATTATAAATCAATGTAAAAACATATGTATTTTTATTTTTATTCTGTACGCACACATTTTATGTATTACAATTTATCAGTGGTGTTGTGAAATTTTGAAAAAAAAATATATGTAATATGTATACTTTGCAACACTACTGAAGCCATTTTTTTTAAACAATTATATGAAGCTTTAATTTTATGATTATAAGCTAGTTTGTTCTATATGCCTTGTTAAATATTATTTAAATATTTTATTTTTATTACTGAAATATCAATGTATTATTTAAATTATTAATTTAATTTTGTACCTTTATGAATTTATGGTTATAACTGGGATGTCAAGATGAAATGTCAATAAAGCTATGTAAGTTACAGTTTTATTTTTCAAATAAAAGTGAAATATAGTGAAAATATTTTATTTAACTACAGAAAAAAACTTAAATGTTTTTCCCATAAGTAGATTATTGGATTTGAAAATTGACAAAAATTATTAAGATTTAGATTATTCTCAGAATTTTTTTTTCGATTTCATAATGGATAATACTATTAAAGGACCACAAAAGGAACAAAAATAACAAATTCTTAAAAAATATTTCTTAATTAAAGAAAAACAGAAGCCCACACTAAACTTGTATACAAATTTCATTAGTGAGTTATAGTCATTTAAATAATAAAATTGTAAACTAAAAACAAAATTATTAAAATGGTTCATACTTGTAAATAAATATATAAATAAAAAATTTATATATAAAAATTAAATAAATGAATCAATGAGTGGCCTGGAGTATTACAATAAGTTTATTAAACAACTGGTTTTGAATTAAAAATTCATCATCAGGCATATCACAGCCAAAATGTAAAACAGGACGCATTGATTCATTTATTTATATTATTTACTTAAGTCATTTAAAGTTTGTGACTGTAGAATCTAATCTCGTGGTGGCTCGTTATAATATATATTACATATTATTTTGAATTTCTAATTTTTGTGTACAAAAATAATTATGTGCTAGATACTATTTATTTTTACTTTAGTTCTTACTAAAACTGGTTTTGGTCTTTTTCTTCTAGAATTGGATTTACTATTTTAGTATTGTTTCGTGTTTCTTTGAGTGTACTTGAAAATAAATTATAGTTGTAGTTAATTTATCAATATGACTTCACCATATCAATTTAACAGATAAAATTAGATCTTTGCGATAACTATGATTCTTTTAATAGTAACTATGATTTTAGCCAATACTTCATATAAATAATTAGTGTGGTTATAAAATAATAAATAATCTGAATGACTGAATTATCATGATTGTGTGCAATAGTAAAAAAAAAATATATTTGTAATATTGGTACGGGAGTAGGAACTGGGAATATCAACAATTACAATAATAGAGTATAGACTATATACAGTTGATATTGACTGTATCATACTGTGACTATGGCACTATAATTGTTATTATTATAGTTCATTATATAATATTATAATAACATTAAATTATATAGAAAATTATGAACTTTAAAAATACCACTAAGACTCAACCTAGTATACTGAATATTACGCTCATTATAATGGGTAAATCTTGTGAAGATGTAATATTTATATGTATAAACACCACAAAAATAGATTCTACATCAACTTCAAATGATTGTATATCACCAACAAAACTTCGTAAACATTTTTAGTTTGGACTATTATTTTTTTAACATATAAAAAATAATAATAATTTTTTGCTTCAATGGTCCTTTTAAATAACAAACACAACCCAATAAAATCAAGGAAACCAATTTATTAATTTAATTTAATACAATTTCTATAAAACTTATAATATATTGATCATAATATAATTCATAAAATATTTTAATGTATTAAGAATATAATATTATCTATAAAATATTTAAATCAGGGACATATATTAATATACTATTGTTGACTCTAACAATTGTATGAACGTAATATTAGTGTACAATTATTTGTTGAGCTAATAGTAAAAACTGTTTATACTATCAATTAAAAAAAGAAAAATATAGGAAATTAAGGAACTTTGGGTAAAGAATTAAAAATGAGTCATAATTTACAATAAGTCATATTTTATAAAATATATGTCCGCGATTCAAATTAAATTTTATATAAATATACTAACCTATATTATTAAGTATAGAACTTTAACAACTCAAAAAAAAAAAAAAAAAATTTCATGTTAAATAGTATATATTTTTAACAACTTAAAACCTTGTTGATTAGTTCGAGTTATTAAAGTTCTATAATAGGTATTTGAATACAACCCGCCCCTTAAGAAAAATAGGTATTCAAATGTGTATAAGTAAACAATAAATAAAAATGTGTTATGTGTTAATAAAAGAGCACCATAGAATTTTCAGATTGGTCATCTAACTAGTATGACTATATGCTGTGTTTGTGTATGGTCCACTGTAAATTGAACTACCGCTAGAAGAAATAGATTTTTTCTGTCTTCTCATCAACAATATAAGAGCTGTTATTACTGTTAACAGCATAAGGATAAGTCCAGCAATAGCAATACTTATGGCAAAATTTCGCTGAGAAATACAAATACTGTCTGGATCATCCAAAAGCTATAACAAAATATTATGATTTTTTAAAATTATTAATTCATTCTCATAATTCAAATTATTCTTAAGGACTATAATTATTAATTAAATCAATAAATTACATTAATTAATAACAACACAATATATTCATCATAGTTTTTTCAAATATTATAGATATACTTTATACAGAGAATATGTGAATTAAGTACAAAAAAAACTTTAAATTAATACAAAATTATAATTTTATTTGTATTAAATATAGTTTTTTTGTTTAATATAATAAATATTTATAAATTAGTTTCCTTCTTTAAATATTTGCCTGCAGTGTTATGCTCTTTTAATAATTACCAGTGATTGGGTATTTTGTTTTAAAAAGTCAATTAAAATACTTACATTTCGTGCAACTTGATCCATTTGCTCGGGATTACCAGAATCCGAACCTTCGTCCACATGAAGGCCACTGTATACTTCTATTGTAGCTGGAATTCCATCTTTACTTGGTTGGTCTTCTCGCCGAACTCGTTTAGTATTACCACATTTTGGTGGCTGTAAAATAAATAAACAATACAATATTAAATCTTGGTTATCAAACCACAATCATAATATCAACAAAACAGTTAAATATATTTCAAGAGATTTACCGTATTTGCACAACCTCCATTAGCTTTCAAACACAAATTAACATGACACTGATAATACACTGATGTAGTGTATGGGAATTTATGAGCTTGGAAGTTGACCAAAGCTGTGGTTTTATTAGCACTGTATTGGAATTGTCCCATAATATCGTTGTCAATTGAACATCTAAAAAAGTTACAATTACAAAGATTTTTGAACAATTTTATTAAACAAATTTCAAAATATTTTCTATCTATTTAATATATTATGCAAAATTACTTACCCATAGTTATCGATAAGTCGTTGATCACCCCAACCCAAACCATCTCGGACCAAACAGTCAGTTATGAACAATCCAAAAGTGTCTTCGCTATTAATGGATATTACCATTGTCAGAGGATCTCCTATTTTAACATTTTCAGCAACATCATGCTTTACAGTTTTTCCAGAAAATATTTTCATAGTACATGTTGGTAATTTGGAGGCTTCGATCAATGAAGCATCACCAGTTGTACTAGAAAATAACAATAATTGTGTACTTGATTAATTAAAAAAAGTCAATAATTATGGAGAATATAAAAGTACGTTATTAACTATAGGTAATATCATTTATATAACATCTATTTTAAATGTATGCAAATAGAATTTTTTTGTAATATTAATTTTGTTACTTATTGAAATAACTTGTAATTTTTATGCATTTTTTAATCATAAAACAAAATCCAATGAAAATTAAATAAAACATACCTCATATTTAAAACATTGGTTAATAATTGGTTATTTGTTTGATATTTGCAACGGATATGAAAACCTTTTCCTTGATTTGTCACCAATTTTCTATGAGGTTGTAGAACTATGGTATTGAAATACTCAACTAAACCATCATTCTGAAATTGTTACAGGTAATATTTTTTAATACATCATTAATATATTAGATATCTTATTTGATAAACCTACTAAGTATGTACTCATGGTGTTACAGGATCTCAACGGGAGTTTATAAACCACTGGACTTTTTTCATAATCAAACTCAGCCATACAGCTTGAATTTTTGGATAAACCCTTCGGGTAAATTATTCCAGTGAATGATCTTGATTTTGTATCAATGGTTACGCTTATTTCCTTGTTGTTACATTCTATAGTTATATCTTTTGACATGTCATTGTTCAAATCTGAAAAAATACATTTAGCAATTTAATTATTACAATGAAAGTATTAGTCTTTAAATCTATTGTGCAAATTTAAATAATACATGTATAACCTAACTAAATTAGTTAGTAAAAACTTTAGAATTCTAATAAGATATTGGTAATCAATTGAAGAACTCGATCAAGTGCTTAACCATTTTAAACAATAATTAAAAAAAGAGAATAAAATATTAGATACAATTTGGGATATTAAAACACTAAAAAAACTTTTAAACGTTTTTAATAATTAGATAGGTTAATGTTTTCAAATCGAATGCAGAAATTATAATATAGATTGTGACGTGTGCGGTTATTTAGAGATTGAGTCGAGTTGCGTACACTGTTTGTTTTTTAATTTTAGATCCTATAAAAACTTCTCTCTTAGAAATACCCTTATTTTTTAATTTTACAATAGAGTTTTTATACATAAATGGGAAAAAGTGAAAGATGCAACATATAAATAAAAACAGATATACCTATATACAAGTACGTATATAAAGAATTTTGCATTATATAGATAATACTATCTACACTGAATAAAATTTACATTAATATACAGAGATTTCAAAACATATTACAAATTTCAGTTAAAACTTTGATAAATTTTTGGCTATACAAATTTAAAAATTCCAAATAACTATAATGGTATATATATGAAAAAAACATTAAACTGGTAAGTTTTTGTACCTATACCAACTTTTCTATGTACTCTAAACGGGTTATAAATTTACATTTATACAGACACATAATTCTATGAATATAATTTGATTTGAACTAAGCGTTTTGATGTAAACATCAGTTTGTACATTTTTTAAAACTTCCAAAAATTGATAAGTACTGTGATATAAAAAATAAAACATTTGCAAGTATTAGTGGTAGGTATGCATTAAACTGTTCGAAAACTCAGCCTATATTGATGATGGGAAATTACAGCTTTGTAAAATCGAATTTATTTTAAAAAAGTTTAAACAATCTTGTATTTGCTGATTATTTGATTTTATAGCCATGTGATCATCAGAAAAACATTCTTGAACTTCCTCAGACTTTGAAAAAGATAATCCAAAGAATAATTTAAACAATTTACCAATTTCTGATTTATTTTTAAAATTCATCCTTTTTTTTTTTAGTTGTCATGGTTTAAAACACGTAAAAATTATTTCACTATTTTCACTTAATTTAAAATAAGATTTACACATTATTTTTATGCTTGCCAATCTCTCAGTATTATTATTTTAAAATGTATATTTTTTTATATTTTCACTGTACATGACATCCATTCTATTTTTTTGTCGTATATATTTGAAATAGTTTCAATGCCTAACTATACACAGTTTACTTATCTAATCGTCATTCACTAATCTAGTCTAGGAGAAGACCCACAAAATAGTATATCAAATCTATTAGCTATACAGAACGGTGAAAATCAGTTGTCTGTCCAAATGTTGTGGGGCATGAACCTGTTACACAATGTATGTGCGCACGACTCGACACTAGTACAGAAAATCTGCATACCAACATTGTCGACCAATATCGCTGTTTTTTTGTCATGCAATTCGGATACGACTGGATAGATAGGTATTTAGTAATTTACCTGAAAAGGCATCATTTGATATTGGATGATCAGCGTTTACAGAGCACAATGCGAGCTGAAAAAAAAAAAAAAAGAATTTATATAAGTATTAGTATTTTACAACAAGCATTTGTGAACTGACAATGTACACGTAATACGTAATATACGTAATATTATTATCGTTCAAACAAAAATTAAGAAATGCGTTCTTATGAAGGTATTTCTTAAAATTTATTAAGACATATGGTGTACGTATAAATGTGCACTAACTAGAGTTTTTATGAACATTGTTAACTTGATTAATCTACTATTTATTTATTTTTTTTATTTTTTTTTTTAATTTAGAAAAACAATAAAAGCCCAATATTGTATGAGAAACATATTTGTTATCATGCTAATGAAATTTAACGAATTGTTAATGGGGAAATTGGATTTTTGGAATACTCTTATTCTAAAGAATACAACTGAAAACTTATAGCAAAGTGCACGACCGAAATTAATGTCTACTTTAAAAATGAAATATAAATTACATACTGATTATTAAAAATCGAATAATACTTACTGCACAAAACAAAATGCACTTCAGTGCCATTCTATGACCCTGAAAATTAAAATTACATTTAATTATTAGAAAACATTGTTTAGGCGAATACAACGGACAAACCATATTACTGGGGAACAAGGTGCCTATTTGTAAACGCATATTCATTGACCAGATGGTTAAAACATATTTTTTCCCCCCGTCATCTTCGGGTGGGAAGGGGCGAAATAATTTATATTAAACGGGTATTTATATTTTACAAAAACGAATATATTATAATACATGTTTGAGTACATACCTACCCGGTATAGGAAAATCACGAAAACAAAAATTCAATGAGAAAAAGAAAGAAAAAAAACCGGGTGGGTGGGGAGAAATCAAAACGTCCCTGTTGACCCGTCCGCTACGCCAACTCGGGTGGGTATGTCACAGACCGCAACGAAAAGCCGCGGGGGCCGCACGGTGATCTGTTGCGATTACTATTGGTTATTATGAACACCTATTATATATGATTAGGCGGACGCGGTCCGGCAAAACTCATCCGAACGCCCGACCCAAATACGGATAGCCGACCCGGGAAATGCGTGTGCCCGCGCGGAAAACGTGTCGCCAAGGCCCGTTCCGAGAGAAGAGGAAAAAAAAAACACAGTTTTTTCGAACAGTATCGTGTAGGTAGGTAGGTAGGTATCGACCTGTTGAGGTACGCGAACGGGTGACTTTAATAATGAATGGTTTACAGGACGGACGCGATTTGTTATTATATGCCTGGCGTGGTGTCGGCACTATTATTGTCAAAACACTTACGGTTCGGACGGCTCGACGACGCGACGGTGCGGGCCGTGGAAAACCCGACGGAAAATCGACGGAACGCGGACGGAAACACCGGAGACGGCCGTGACTCGTAATGGCGGCGACTGTAGTGAACGACGGAATTATTGTTCTTTGCGTGTCGGCGGCGGGGAAAGGTTTCGCGTTGCGCAATCCGCTCGAACGAGCCTGCACGACAGCAAAAACGATAATATGTTATGCACAACGCGTCATACCTGTGGCGCGGTGTCCCACTCGGTGGCCCGCGCCGCCGCGCACGAAAAGACGACGACCGAGAACGAGAACCGGTTGCCGGCGGGCGGCGGCCCGCGGGCACCGCGAGTCTGTTGTTTCCGCCCCCGCGACTTCCCGCGACCTCGCCGGCTGTTCCGCCGCCGGGTATACGCTCACTGCGCTTGTCTGCCGTACCGATCGGTTAGGACGCGCGCGCGTTCACCGTTCTTTTATTTATTTACTTATTCCCACCTCCCCTCCCCCCCCCAGGCACCTGTTGTTGAATTCTCGACCGGCGGACCGGGCACGGGATTATACTGTCGGGCAGCGGCGTGCCCAGGAGTTTTCGACGGGACGGGTAACGTAACCGGTGCGAATCGTGACGAAAGAGTGTAAAATCGTCTTCGCTGTCCAACCCGACCGTGGGAATCGGCGGTTTAAAAGCCGGCCGTTGAGAACAAAAAAAAAAAAAACCAATTTCCAATCAACGCATTAAGCGTTTCCGCGGAAATCGGCCGAAATGTCGATATTAGATTACCCGTGCTTATACGTCTACGGGCGGGGGGGGGTGTATATAACCCCCATCCCCTCGCTGGGTGCGCCACTGCCGTCGAGTGGCCGATTGAATTTCGTTTTGGGGACGAAAACACGAAAATCAATTGCGAATAATATGGGGGAAAAAAAAAAAAAAAAAAAACTATACGAGTTAGCTTGGCGAGCGGGCAACGACCTCGCCATAACAGACGCGTAGGTACCCGAACAACAATGGCGCGGCCGGGAGGGGGCAGTGGCTATTTTTTCAGACTTTTCGCGGTGCGCGTAGTACACCGTGCACTCGTTTTGGGTTCGGTGCATTGACGGAAATTCGAAATTTCAACGGATACCGTAACGTGTGTTTAACTAAAAACGTCGTCTGATTTATGGAATTGCATTCAGTGCAGGGCGCTGTCTAAAAATCAAAAATAATTATTGCGCTCATCAAAATAAGAATGCCAATATACAACGATAATGGAACATTCCGGGGCTATTTGTTTGGGGAAGTCGTACGGCACACGGTGAAAAACAAAAAAATGCCCGAAAAGTAAATAATATTTTCCGAAATACTGAGCGTCTCGTCGAGGATTGATTACCTAACACTCTAAACATTACGTCTGCGGAACGCAGTGGCCCGTCTATGAAAATGAGGATACGGCAGGCGCACACATTTCAATTGTCTGCAGTGCACACAAAAAAAAAAAAAAAACCACCGGGAGAGGTCTATGAAGTTACGAATCGAATTCCCGGACGGGTTTTCGGGATTGCCGCAAACACAACCGGACACAGGCGAGTTGAACACGTCAATCGTATCGTACCGTAATTATTTCATATTGGGTGGCGTTTAATTTGAATTGTAAAGCGTGGCGATTATTTTCATCCGCTGTCACCCGTGGTTTCCCCGTCGGTTGTCGGCAAAATAAAATTAAAAATAATCCTTCGTGTTTTATTTTTTTTTCCCCCGTAAAAGTTTGGGAAACCTCGATTGTTGACGATCGTACCGGTATTCCGCGTTTATAAAGACCGTACCAGTTGTCCGTTCACCATACTAATTATTGGGATTTTCGAAAGTCCAATTTAGTATTCAGATAAAAACAAACAATTTGTAATTTTTTTTTAAAAAAAAAAATACAAACATATTTCGCACGTGGGCGCAGTCACCGGTGTAGGCGGGAAGCTGGGAATGTATGATATAAAAGGGGGAAATTGATTTTCATCTGTAAACAGCAATAAACCATTGACGCTTTGTCAACAATATTTATGTAATATTATGATAAAATAATCAAATGGATATCATTACGTATTTTCTTTAATAATATTTGTTTAAAATTGTACCGATTTTCTCGTTTTTTTTTTTTTTACGTGTTTCCCGGTTTTTCATATTCGCTGAGAAGACTTTTGGAAAAATTAGTCGGAAAAAAGTGGAATATCTGGTCAACGAAAATCAAAAACCTAAACACCAACATTTATTTGAACTAATACTCCATCTGTTTATGTAATTTGTAATATAGGTTGCCATTCATAAAAATCGAAAGTACATAATGGTTTAAGCCCCAAAACCGAGGGTAATAAAAAAAAAAAAAAAAAAACAAAAACATAAATATAGTAGGTTTAGAGCAGCTTATTTCGTAAATGCCGTATGCAACGAATTCCGAAAAAAGTTAATGCTTTCCGAGATAACGAGTCTCATGTGTGATAGATTTTGATCGCCCCACGTATAAAATATACGACAATAGTCCCACCACCCCCCCTATCCCCCGGCTATTGTCCCCCTGCGCGAACCGTCCCTTAAATACGGCCCCGGGCATGACACAAGCCGTGTGACAAGCCGTTTGCCCGTCCCACCCCACCCGTGAGACATTTCATAATGACGCCACTGACCGCACGCACAGAATATTATGCGTAGACGTCGTGGCGGACGGGCGGAGGAACAAAACGGCGGCGGCGGCGGCGGCTGCGAAACTGTACAATACCGGCGGACCGCGCGGCGTTGGATTCTGTTTCCCTCTCGGCTACGCGACACCGTCACTGGTGGCGCGTCACGGGCGGAGTGGCGACGGGCGACGGCGAGAAACGACCGCCGTTTTATCGTAACACGTGCGGTCCGAACGTCCGGGGCGCCGTAATTTCTAATGGCAACGCGACAAATATTGTCGCGCGGCCAAACGAACGCGCCGTATTCGGACGCGGCGGCCGTCGCCGTTGCGCAAACAGACGGGCGAGGGCCGCCGGCGGCGACCCGCGGGGTTTTTCGGTTTCGGCGGCGGTGTGAAGCTGCGTCCGGACCGGGGCGATTTTAACCGCACACGACTGTACCGGGTCGGTCGGTCGGCGATGGCCGCCGTCATCACATCGCGCACGCGAAATCCACGGAAAACCCGGGGGGGAAAAAAAAAAGGTAGAGAGAGTTTTAAAATTCCCACACATCCCTCCCCTCGCTCTCACTCTCTCTCGCTCTCTCTCTCTCTCTCTCTCTCTCTCTAGCGACTTTAACGTGTGCAATATTATTTCCCAACATTATTATCCGAAAACACTCCGTTAATCATGTTGTTGTAGAGTCCGGACAATATTTCATATTTTATACGTTTAATTAGATTAGATCATGGTGGGGGGGGCGACTTAAAATCCCTCCGCCTGCATTGTATAAATATTTCTGTCGGGGTTTCAAGCGATTTGTTTGTGGACCAGAAGCGCGTACCACATAAATCCGGTGTCTGTATGTATCGTTATCGGTAACAGGTTTCCGTTTCCGAAATTTCGTTCCACGTCGGAATCGGTAAATATCAAATCGAAAGTTTGCGCGACGGTTGCGTTTTTATGATTCCCCTCCCCCCTCAACCCTTCTCGCTCCCGCCTACGGTTTTGTCGACACCGACGTTTTAGATTACCGCAATAACTCGCGCGCGTCCTCGTCGGCTACAACTCTAACGCTCACGAAACGTGGACAATAAAACGTCTCTCTGGTCTCTGGACGCGCCTGCGGCACCGTACGCACGGACGCATCAGAGACCCGCGGGGGAATATGCCCTCCCTCCCCCCCTCCCCTACATACCGCTTTACACGGCTCTTACACGCACGTTTAATTTACAATTCCGCGTGTACAAGTTCATCACGACTGTTTCAAATATCATTCTTCATGCGCGTACAGGCGCTGCCTGTACAATCGGATATCTGCGTGTTTTGTTCTGTCCGTCGGTTATGAAGCGCACGCGCGAAACATTTATTCGTGATCAGAAAAAAAGTCGATCGGGTTTTCGCGGAACGCGCCAGTTTCGAACTGGGGGGCCGCTAAAGACACCCGGGCGCCCCCGTCGTTCGCGCCTATGCGGTACGCGTCGTCGCGTTATCGGCGGCTTTGCCGGAGGCGCCAGGCATCGCCTAACCGAACGCCGTCGACGGCCATCGCCCGCGAAACATCACAAACGGTGCGGACGCGGCTTACGACGCCCACTCGCGCCACTCACTGTCCGCTGCCGCGCGGCTCGTGGGCGGTATTCAACGATTCGGCCATGCAAAATAACGGCGCAACAATACTTTCGCGCCCGCGACCGAAAACGCGGGCGTAACCACGCGATCCGATCGCATGATGCAACGGTGCGGATAATACGCAAACATAATGGACGGGAATGACATCCGCATGTAAATTATTATTTCGCCGTGCTAGAAATCCGTTCGGTTATACCGGGCTATAGATTTCCCATTAAAAACAATACCGGAGTGATGGGCGAACCGTGATGGCCCGGAACAACCGCGACCCCCGGGTACGATTGTACCAGGACTATCATACCCCGCCGATGGCCATTTGGGTACGAATTAAGGAATGCCAGGGTACGTATACATATCCGCTGAATTTTCGTTTGCCGGGGGTAACGTTATCCTGGAATTATCATGCCCCTCGGTACCACGGCTCTGGCGTTTATGCACCCCTCTCCAAATTTACCATGCGTTCCAGGCAGCATTTAAGCACAACGACTCGGTAATTTTTCATCGTACCCGTGTGGGATCTCCGCTGATATGTATTCGGTATTCGGACGATTCTTGTTTGGGCAATGGCGGAAGTTCTTTTTGGACACCCCCTAATTTTGTTCTAAAAACCAAAATAAAAATGCTGAGCCCTATTTGGGCTTCCCGGGACGATTCTTTCGTCCTCTTGTAACGAGGTGGAGTTTCCCATTTTCTGGTAAAAAAACGAAATCGAAAAAATTTAAAATTATGAAATCGTTAACACCGTAAATTTGTCAGATTTTTTTCCGCATTTTCCCCCGTTATTCTCAATTGTTATGAAAACCGCTGGGAAAATCTAAAAACGACTTTCTGCACTATAATTAGGTCGAAAATACAATAAAAAAAGCATTTTGTAATCTGTTGATCGAAGCGAGATTTCTCGTAAATATGTTGTTCACAGTCAGAAAAAACGCACACACAAAAAAAAAAAAAAAAACCATTAATATGACATCTATACCTACTCGTATATTGTTGACAAAGCAACACTATAAACCGAACTCCGTTCAGAATCGTTTTGTTTTTCGTTAGCAATTATTAATCGTTGCGTACAGATATACATTAAATTTCCCAACTTCCCACCTACAACAATGGCACATTCGTCCCCAGTATCAGCTCGTATTTGTATTCAGTCTGTATGCCGGGGAGTGACTGGACACATAATGTACTTGTATGGCATTCGTATTATGGCAAAAAAAAAAAAAAAACAAACCGGACGTCCTTGGTTCGTTTTATGGGCATGCGTTGGATATTTTTTAAGTATAAAATTTAGTACAGTCCAAATGTCCAAATGTCCAAAACGAGTAAGCCGCTATTATGGGAGCTTCTATTTGATTGTCGCATTTTTAATACTAATATACTTCTTACATCTATAGCCAACGATAGGCACCTAATGGCTACAAGACGAACATAAATTGATTGTAACTGCCCAATACGGTAACAATGGTAATTGCGTGTAAATTACCTGGGTATACGCGTAGGTATCTTGATCTATTTCAATTCGATATATTTCTGAAATTACAATTTGTTGCATTATTATTACTATAATGATTATATAACATTGATGGGAAAAATAATTAATACATTATTATTATTTAGAATTTTATTATCACCCACTTATTTTCACGTGATTTACTTGAATGGAACTTAGAATCGCAAAGTCTATTTGCTTTTTAACGCTCGCATTTATTAGCTTTACGAAGCTGTGTACAGGTGTTTCGGTCGTATCCTTGTCCTCATAAATTTGAGAAAGCACGGAATGCTTCTCGCAATGAAATTGAATAAGGTGCGTTGTCGATCTAATACAAAATTTTCTTTCGTAATCGTAAATTCGCGTTGAATTAATACTGTACGCGTACAAACTACGAAGTGTTGTAAAGCACGGGAACTCGACTGTCTGTCTCTCAACTGTACTGTTGATTGATTAATTTTGCCAACATAACTATTATATTTTTAACATCCGGTATGGCTAACGGATATAATATTATACCTATTTAGCTGTATCGGATATAAAAATCTGATTTAAGAATAATATGGAGATATTACAACGTTTACACGACGTCTTTGTTTGTATAGTAATAACTTTATTATAAAATCCATTCAGAATCTAAAATATAAAAAGTAGTGGAGGTGGGCCCCCCCTATTCAAGTACTGCATATACTGTATAATAAATACTTATACGTTGGTGTCAAATTATGTACAAATTTCACCTTGCACTGTACATCCACGCGGCCATGGTCCGTGTAATTCATCACGTGTCAAGGAACTGAATAACTAGATAGGTATATAAATAATTTGTATTATAAAATTTACATCATCCTTATAAATAATAGAACATTTTTATCAGTTTTAATGAATGGAGTTATAAACACAATATGTTTAACCTTCAGTTGATTCCCTATGACTCATTAAATCTGAAATATATGTAGGTATCTGGTATACCTATAAGTAGGTACCTGAATCTGTTATTGGTATGAGTGTAGTCATTATAAATGAAATCTTTAAAATGATTTCGTATATGGCCTTTAAAATATATTTTTAATATATCATATCCAATGGGCAATGGCCAGCAAGCCAGGAAGTTATTTATTTACCATATTATAGTTTTGAAACGATTTGTAATTTTGTTTCTGGAAAACGGTTTTTAAATTTAAGTAAAAAAAAACCAAACGGACATACTTCACACGATGGGTGCAGGGCGGGCCACTGTTGTAGGTAAGAAGTTAGAAAGGTAGAGAGGAAATTTAATGTATATTTGTACGCAATGATTAACCATTGTTAAAGAAAAACGATTCTGAGCAGAGTTAGATTATATAGATGTTTTGAAAGACCGTAATATTTTACGATTTGAAAATAATACATTTTGTAAATTTTCCCGTTTTCCCTATATTATTATGAAAACCCCTGAGAAAATCAGAAAATGACCTACACAATTTTGGAAGTCACATTTTCCAAAAATGGAATTCACTTCTTTTTTTATTTAATAAAAGCTATATTTACAACCTATACAATATGAATGTTGCATTATAAGTAAATTGGATAATAAATAAACGCGATTTAATGACTTGGATGACTTAAAGAGGGAGGACCTGTTCAGCATCAGTAGCTCCTTTTGCATTTGATGGGTTCAAGGAGGAGAACCCTTTTATTTTTTTTTTAAATTAAGGAAATAGCGTCTTTTGGTCATTTTCTATTTAGTCTTTGCTGAGGGTTACTGGGAATGGTGACTGTTAACATAAGAGTGGGTTCTTGTTTGAGTAGAGTTTGGAATAGAATTTTTTGTATAGTCGGATTGCTAATTCGTTAATTGGAGGAATTTGTAGAGTATTGTTTATCATATACTTGGGGGCTCCAGTTATTTGATTAAGGCACATAGATTGAAAAACCTGTACCGGTCTAATATTAGAGGGCTGAACTTGGCTCCAAGTTAAGATTTTAAAATCAGTTTATACATTTAAAACATTAATACAATTATTTTTCTTTATTTCATTGTATGTAATTTTCTTTTTACTTTATTTTATTAATATTATATAGATACCTACATAAAATGTTATATTAAATTGTATACACCATTATTTTTAATTAATAATATTCAAAGGAAATATGTAGTAGTTGTAGGTACATTATTATATTATAATATATTAAAATATTATGGGGCAGTCCTCACCTCAACTCATATTTTTATAGATGCTATTTCTAAAAAGTTGCTTACACCTAGATATTAAAAAACATATAAAAACCATACTCTTGAGTCCTGGTAAAACAAATGGTTAAAATAATTCATCACAATGAATAAATCAAAAGATCAATCTTTTTACACCGATCTCTTCAAAATATAGGAGCCTATTATTAATTGTTAAAGAACAGGATACATAACACTCACTCACCAGTATCTTATGTTAGTGGAAGATTCTACCATCTGCAACACCTGTGTCATACAAATTACAGTAAAACAAATACTAAACTTAATTTTTAGTAAGACCCAGAAGAAAACCTCTAATTTACTCACCTTCAAGTAATCCTCTGTCTGGACCTTATTGCTACAATTAACCTATTCAAATATCTTAAAATATTCAATATTTTTGATGAAATAATATAAAATCTTTATATAATGTAATTAATTTTAAACTTAATACTGTAAACTGTATTATTTTAGATTCAATTACCATGGCTGCATTTTAATAATAATAAAATACAGTACCCAAATGCCTAGTTATATCACATTCACAGTATTAAATTCACTTACCATACAATTATCCTACAGTTGTAATAATGTTATTCACTAAATGTAATTTGAATCAATTTCTGACAAATAAGTATTGAAAGCATCTTTATTGTTTTAATTTGTAAAACTACATACTGTTTAGTAATATCTTTCAGCCCACATGCTGGATTACAGGATTTTAAAATTAATTTATACACAAATTATAAGACTAAGTAAATATATTGAATTAGACAAATATTTTTATTAATATTAATTTAATTAAATATGATAATAATTTAACTTTTTTTTTGAAGACTAAGAAAATAATGGCAATACATCAATACATGTTACTAAATAATAATATTGTTTAGGTTAATTATAAAATATAAAAAACTTATTAAACTTTAAGTTTTTTAGGAATCCCAATCAAAAGATTTTCAAGACTTTCTCTTCTCATTAATAAGTCTTTATTTGATCCAAACACAGCATTTTGTTGTAACCACCTAACTTGTGTAGCTGGTCCATATCCTTTTGCATTTTTTGCAGCAATTCGAAATACAATAGCAGGCGCTTTAGTTCTATCAATCAGAGCTGCACCAAGTGTTTCATTACTAGCTACAGCTGTATTATCAGGTCCACTATATATCCGAACAAAATAATAATTTGTTGTAGTTGATTTTCGATTGTTTACTGTCCCTTCCTTGGGGCTTTTGATTGCCATACAAACAGAATATTCTAAAATCTTCCCAGAATTCATAGGAGCATCCCATGTTATAGTGGCACCATTTGGTGTTTTTGCAACTTTAATAGAAACTGGAGCGCCTGGAAAACCTGGTGTACAGGTTTTAAATATGGATACATCACTCCATTCTCCACGGCCACAAGCATTTATGGCAGCTACACGGAATTTATAGGCTGTACCCGGTTCCAGATTAATTTTTAATTTATTTGTATAGTCTGTTAAATTATCCAAGGTAGTACTTTCATGTTCATCAGTGATGAATGCAGAGTGAAACTGTTTCACTTTACATGTAGTACCCTTAATTATACCAACATCACACCAAACAGGTTCATCTGCCTTTTTTACTACAGGTTTGGTGGGTTTTACCATTACACTATTTACAGACTCATCATCAGCAGTTTCATTTTTGGATTTGTTCATATCTTTTTGATCTGTATTATTCACAATTAAAGTATTTTCAAGATTTTTAATTTGGTTTTCTTCTATTGTATATTTTAAATTAACACCAGATGGTCCAACATGTTGTGAAGGTCCTTCTTCTTCAGTTGAAACTTCAGAGAATTCTTTTATAATCAAGTTATTTAATTCAGAAGTTTTTGTACATAAAACTGAATGCTGATCTGAAGCAGAGTTTTCAGATTTTACCACAATATTTGGAACAGATTCTATAACAAGAATATCTTGTTGTTGAGTTTCATAAATCAAATTGCTATGACCAATTGGTACAATTTCATCTTTAGTTTCTTGAATTAGACTTTCTTGTTTAAGAACAGCAGATTCCACTAAGGTTTCTGCTTTGACAAAGTTCTCAGGTGCTGGTTCATCTACAGGGTCTTGTTGTGCTGACTCAATTCCTTCAGAAGTATTTACTTCTACAATATTAAAATGAAAAGTGTTATTAGCTTCAGAATCTATCTGTATTGATATATCAATGAAGTTGTTGTCATCCATGGTTACCAAGAATAAATGAGACCAAGAAATATCTGTTAATTAAAAAAAAAAAATTAGCAACAATTTAGTGTAAATTTTTAATGTTGTTCAAATTGATTAAAAATAAAAGCTATATAGAATTCATTAATTCCTCGAAGATTTATCAAAACATATTTGGAAAAAAATAATTATTATATTCTATTCAGGTTAAGAAAGCCATGTTTTTTAAAAACAATTTCACTGCATTTTCACAATAAGTGCTGTTATTTGGACACCACAATAGTGCTTACTGTTGGTAATGAATGGGAATAGTTATTTACAAATATCAAATCTTTAAAATAGAAAATTTAGTATTCTTAATTTGAATAGAGTGGTGTATAATATGTATGTAAATGAAAATATTATATAGATACCTATAATATACAGTTTGATCATACCAATTACCTTACATAATTGATAATAATCATATATTAAGTTTGGTATTGTAATAAATTATTGTTGAAATTTAAAAAAAATCTATAATATATAGATGGGTAACCAAAAAAAATTGCAATTAATTAATAATTTATACTTTGTATAAGTTTTTATACCCAACTTCTCAGTGTTTACCTTAAATGATGTTTTTTCTAAGTAATTTAAGAAAACATAACACTGTAAAAATTATGGAGGAATATTAATTACTTATACCAAATAAATTCGTGTTACCTGAGACAAATCATTCAAATTTAATAATTCATTAATACATGGTACAAAAAGAAAATTATATGAATAATGAACATTAGAAGAAAATCAATTGAATAGGTAATGAATAATCATTAACGAACAGTAATTATTGTATTTCTACCTAACCTAACCATGTGCGAGTAAAGCCGTAAAGTACATTAAACATATAAAAAATAATAATTGATTTTTACCTTTGTTCTTTTTTATGTCTAAATAAAAATAGTCAATTAAATATAAAGTATATGTTATAAAAAGAAAGGCAATAAATTACAAAAATACACACTTAAAGATTTAACAAAACACAAATTTAAAAAATGACGATTTATGATGAACAGTGTAAATACTACAGTAATGGAGACACCGACAATGATGACTATAAACAGTAAACAGTGGTAAATGGTAAATAAATAAACAATTCTTATCACGGAATATATTTTGTTTCACTCTCCATGAAAACTGTGAAAAATGAATAAAAAATAAATTTCTCTATGTTTCATGTATTTCGTTGGTCATGATTTAGTTATAGGGTGGACCGTGCAATTAACGATAATGTAGATGAGTAATAGATATGAATATTAATTAATTAGTATTGGAATTTCTAAAGAAGTAAAGGTCACAGTAACCGTAATTTGGTTACCATCCGGGAGAGATCCACGAGATAAAAACCTGAAAATACCAAAACACCAGCGTACCCAACTTTAAGAAAAACATATATTTCACGACCGTCATGACGTAACCACGTAAATGAAAATTTTTTTGAATACGACTGGTATCACTGTATAAAACAAACTGTATGGCGGGTGCAGCCAATGTAGGTGGGAAGTTTGAAAAGTAGAATATCGACATAAATTTATTTAATTTATAGATGAATTTCACAGAAAATTAAAAAGGACCTTCTTATTCACGAAGAAGATTAAAAATGCAACTAAAAAGGTCTCTTGTCGTTTTATATTGGATTAATATTTATGGTAGAAAACAAGAGCTGTAAAAATTTAAAATAATGATCGCTGCAGCGTAATTTGAAAAAAATGAATTTTCCATTTTTTAAGGATTTTTCCAATTATTATAAAAAATGCTTTAGAAATCAAAACACGATTTTATTTGTCAGTGGCTGTATATTAAAAGAAACAAAATCGGTCTCTTGTTATTTCTCGATTGGAGAAGTATTTCTTGTAGAAAATATAATCACATATATAAATTTAAAAAATAATGATATCGGTAACACCTTGGTATTTTCATAAACATACCATTTTATCAATAATTCTCTTTCGGGTTTTTTCCATTTAGCTTGAAAACACCTTAAAATCCCGACTTATACACCAACTAAATATAATTACCTTTCAGAAAAGGTGCTACTCACTTAACATCTCTATACAGTTATTTAATTTATATCTTGTAAAACATAAAAAAAATTGAGGTTGGTTGGACTGAGGTGAAATGTTTGATTGTAATCTGTCGATCTGTTGATCAGTGAACAACTTTTCTACCAGGTAATCTTGTTTTGAAGCATCAAGTATACCTAGTACCTATTTTAAAAGAAATTTTATATGGGTTGTACTCAAAGGAAATCACTTTTTGCTATAAATGCAATCCAACACTTTATTAAACAAAAAATAGTATACATATATAGGACAATTTATAGGACTGTTTTAAATTTTAAAAACATTCATGTACAACTAACAATATTAGATCTTTGTTAAAAACCATAAATGAAATTAATATATACATGCTATTAATATTAGTATAAAAGAAACATGCAATAAGTATAAAATTATGAAGTGTCACTAAATAGTTAAATTAGATGCAAGTGTATGAATTTGACATGATTTCAATTTGTTTTAAGAAAAGTTGTTCAACATGAAAGATAATGTGGGTATTATTTATGTATAACTACAAAACCGAATTCACCTTAATCAAAGTAGTCACTAATGTAAAACAATTAATCAATTCAAAACATAATATCTTCTCACATAAATAATAACAATAACAATGTATTATACACAATTATTCAATTAGTGAGGGTAATATTAAAAAAATCATAATAAAAATACAATTTTTTTTTTTAAATCTTTCAATGTTTTTTAACCTAAAGAACCAGGTAAACAATATTAGATTATTAGTGCATACAGAACATAAATAATAAACTAATATGGACATGGTTAATTAATAAATAAATGTGTTCAATTCGAAAAGATTGCAAAGTAATTTTGAGTATTTATTTATTAATCAATTAATTTATATTAATTCTGTTATAAAAACAACAGTGTACTATAGTAGAATATAAATGTACTAAATCACAAAGTGTCACTAAATAATCACCAAATAATTGATTTATAATATGTATGAATTGAATGAATATTATTGTATTTACACTTTTGTAAGTGGATAATATTTAGATCAGTAATACATAAAATACACTTCAATTAAACATACATACATATATGTATATTATACATACACACACATATATGTAGTTAAACTGTAATACTGATTTATCATTATTGTGAAGCATTACTCAATACTCATTAAACTATTGAGTATTTAAGATATAATATCTGTTCCACTTTGTACAAACTGTGGAAACATTCTGTTGTTTGGTATGGTTAAAAATTATATACATAAAAAAAAAAAAAAATTGTTTTTAGTTAACACAAGAGAAATTTAAATCAATGAATAGACAAGTTGAATAAATATAATTGTATTCAATCTGTATAACTAGGCCTATACAACCAAATTAAATGTCTATCATTATAATTCAGTTGTAAAATAAAAACTAAATAGTACACTCAAAACACAAACACTGAACAATCAGTAAACTTTCATTTTCTATAGAACTTTTCCCCTTACATACATCGTATAATTTATAACTGGGTATATAATTTGCCAAGCCATGCCAATTGAGAGAAAAGTTATTTTTGCACTTAAGTAACAGTTTTTATTAATAATAATAATACAAATAATTTGTTAAATATATCTTAAATGGCATTCCTAAAAGAAAAGAAGAGTTCATTATTTTGCAAGACATATAGGTAAATCAGCGTAAGATATGGTATCAGAATATGTGAATTCAAAATTCCTAAAATTAAAATGTCTATAAATAGGTCAAAAATACTTCCCTTCACCCAAAACTATAATTTTAGTTGACAAATATCTCTATACCACTTGCTATCTTCCTATTATAAAATCATAAATGATTCATATATGAATCAAAATGGTTATACTAATGGAAGTTATTAATTTTTAGATATATTTTACTCAAATTATGTAAGTTCAAAAATGTTCCATGTATTTTTTTTTATTAAAACTGTCCAAAAATATAAAGAAAAAATATCTTAATTTTAATCTTATTCTACCACTGTAATCATTGAACATTGTAATCTTAATTTTTTTTTTAAAAAAATATTGTTTATTTATTGTTATAATTATAAAAAAGTAATGTTTAGTTAATGTATACAAAATTATAATTTATAAAATAATAAAGATACCTACTTAATAAAAATTAAGTTAAATAATAATTCTGTTTTTATAAAGTCGGAGATGAATAATAATGTGGAGCTACTTCTAACAATAATGAAGGTGTTACTACCATCATATTTTTAATGTATAATTTAGTTGTTTCCAAGAGTTCGTCATATAATACCCTGTAAAATAAAACGAATAATTATTATTACTGGTTTATACACAAAATTAAAAATATATTATTAAATAAATAAAATATAATTATCATGGTAAAATTTTAATTGTAAAAAATACTTTATCTGGCTTGCTTTACTATTGAATAGATTGTATAATCAATGATGATTGTATATTTAATTTGGTAATTAAACAAATAATTTAAGATAATTGTATAATCAATGATGATTGTATATTTAATTTAGTAATTAAACATATAATTTAAGATATAACTTCACTTAATTACAGGTAAATAGAATAATTTAAAGTATTTATTTATTTATTAATTTATTATATTAAATTTTGCAGAACATAATATTGATTGTACATATTTTTAAATTGTTATCATTTTAAAAACGCTATAAATAAGTAAATAAATAAAATAAATACATAAATAAAAAATGTATACATCAAAATAAAATACATAAATGAATCAATGGAGTATTATGATAAGTGTATTATATGATTGGTATGAATTAAGAATTCATCAGCAAAATGTAAACAGAGTGTTACATTTTGACTGTGATATACCTGATGATTAATTTGAAAATGGTTGTATAATACACTTATCATAATACTCGAGGCGCATTCAATAATTTAATTATTTTATTTTTATAAATTTATTTTTTATTGATATATGTATATACTTTATTTATTTACGAGTATTAACTATTTAATTTTGTTTTATTATTTTATTACTATAGAGTATTTATGATTTATATTTATAAGTTCATCATTTTTTAAATGTAAAATTATAAAATGTAGTTTACCATTGTGGTTGGTTTACATAGTGCAAAAGAGATTTTGGATGAAAGTAAAGATCCTCTTCAATACCAACAGATCTATAAACTCCCGTATAGTGTAAATAAGCAGCATTTTTGAAAAGACCTGAAGCAATACACTTTACAACTATTCTTGTATCACCTAAATGATAAATGGAAATCATTATTATAAATGTTTAATTAAAAAACTAAGAATTAATCATATTAATACCTTTACAAGATTTAATTTCAATCTTTGTTTTCTTCATTAAATCTAATAAATGTGTACGAATTTTCTGTGCTCTGCATAATTCATTATAATTTAAAAAAAACCGATTGCACCATTGTTTTCTGTTATGACTTTTTTGAAATCCATTGAATATATTTAATAACGTCAATATATCTCCTTCTGAAACTTCAAAATTTCTATGCATCTTTTTAGCTTTATATATTGTATTACCAAATTTTGGAAATATAAATGGTTCTTGAAGTTGTAGCATTGCTAATACACACACTATTTCTGATGAACAACCCATTTCACCAGATTTTATTAACATTCTTGAATGTCTTGCTGGCAATGGCAATTCTGCCATTATCGTTCCAAAATCCTTTGTAAGATTTCCATATTTATCAATAGCATCTAAAGCTTTTACCATCTCCATGGCATATAGAAGATTTTTGGCAGGTGGTGGACTAAGGAATGGAAATCTTAAAATATTATCAATATAAATGGCTTTAAGCTGCAAAACTACATCAGTTAAATTAGATCTCATTATTTCAGGAGGTGTGGCATTTGTTAAATTATTGTATGCTTCTTCTGTGTATAATCTAAAAAGAAAATATTAAAAAAATCAAGGTAATATTAAAATTATTAATATCTATTATTAATTTTGCATATAAGTACCTATATACTTTTCCAGGTTGGTCTCTTCCTGCACGGCCAGCTCTTTGAATTGCTGATGCTTTAGATATAGGGACAGTAATCAATGAATCAGCTCCAAATTTGTAATTAAACCACTTTAGTTTAACAAATCCACAATCAATAACTATAAATGGATTAAATTAATAAAGTTAAAATATAATATTGATATTTTGTACAATAATGCTTGAGAAATTATAATAAATAATTATTGAGAATTTTAGTTTTTGAAGTTAGTAGTCAGGTGAATACTTGAAATCTAATTTATTTAAACTATGTGAATTGAGAGTAATTTTTCTAAATATTTGATTAAAGTATTCAAAACTAGATTCTCTACTAAATCAATTATAAACTGCTTACTATATGACTATTACATTTAATAAAATTATCAATTATATAACCATAACTCATAATTAATTAATTTTTTAATATTTAGGCATTTACTTTTTATATTATTTTTGTTTATTGTTATGGAATTTAATTATGTCTGTTAATGTTTTAAATTTAAAGGATATTTATATATCAAGTGGAACAATATTGAGGCACAGTAAAACATTTTAATTATTTAATGAATGATATCAATAACTGAACAATAGGAATTTTTTTTAGACTTTTCTAAATATAAAACATATGATGAATAGAATTGAATAAACTTCCCAAAATTTTAAAAGCAACAAAATAGACCAAAAATATAATTCACTCATCATTTCTGCATTAACATTAGCCCTTTCATCAATTTCTTTCAATATAACTTTTTAATTTATAGATTATATATTCAATATCAAGTTTCTAAAATTATTTCTCTGGAGTTATTAATAATTTATGATCAAGGACAAATAAATTTGCATTCAATTCTAAAATATATGTAGTCGGAGAAACAATTTATCATACAATATAATCATTTTTATAATTATGATTTATGAATTTACCATGAACAATTCCAGAAATTGTAACTGAAGTCTCTGCAACATTCGTTGCAAAAACAACTTTTCTATATCCTCTAGGTGTTGGTCGAAATGCTTTCAGTTGATCATCATTCGTTAACATTCCATGCATAGGCACAGGAAGTAATTTTATTCTATATTAAAAAAAAAAAAAAAAATTATATAACTTAAATTTGTATTAAGTTAAAAAGAAATTTTAATATTCTTTAAAGACTAAAATATTTATCGGATATTATACATTAGTAAAATATTCAATTAAAATTAAAATAAGGCCAGACGTTCTAAGATAATTTAAAATTTAAAACTAGCTTTTGTACTATAACAAGAAAAATTTAGAAATGCTTGATAATTTAAAATTTAAGATGGAATAATTCATCAAAATCATACTTATCATCTGTGTGTTTAATGTTGTAATCATCTATAGAATTAACTGCTAGCATTATTTCTTCTTTTCCAGTCAAAAATACTAAAATATCACCTGGTTTTCTACTTTGGTGAATTTTTAATACTGTATTAATTGATTCATCTACATAATTTGGTGTTGGTTCTAAACATATTTTTACAAAATATATTCAATATACAGAGTAATTAATTAAATATAAAACTGTATTTTTTTTTTAAATTACAGAAACAAGCAACTCTAAGATTATGTCAAGCTTATTTTTGAGAGTGAAATGACTACCTATTTTTGATAACAAAAAAAAAATAGAATTATGTAACATTTTAGAGCTGCATGTTCTCAAACATTTTCAAAACAAATTATTTCAGTCAATACTTTAATAAAACATGAAAGTGTGAATAGTTTTTAAAAAAGTAATTTTTCTAGAGCTGTTAGATTCAATTTTTTAGTTTCTGAAGCAAGAAATGTACTTGTTTAACAGTGATGTTTATTTTTTTTTATCTGTAAACAACTTTTTTACCAGAAGTATTGCTATGATATTCAAGTGTAGTATATTTTCTGAGAGTTAATTGTATGTGGGTGGAACTTTAAGGTTACTTGTGATTTTCTAAAGGGATTTTATAATAAATAAGAAAAACGGGAGAATTAATAAAATGTATTTTTTTATAATTTAGGTAAAAATATTCATGGAGACTTGATATTTGGACAGAAAAATTATATTTTCCATTTCTAGATGTTGTAAAATATTCAAACTATTTTATTTATTTACTTTTAATTTTGAGAATTTTTATTTAATAGGTATTCTATGGACATAAAATACACGGGAGGCAATATAGAATTGTTTTTCATTGACAATGATAAAATTGTTGTGTGCAGATAATATATATACATACAATTCTCTTTATATCCTACTTTTCCAACTTTTTAATTACAACAGTGCCCACCAACTCTGCCAACTCACCAACCTTCTCCCCCCATTAAATAAAATAAGAATATTAGAGTTTTTTAATGAGCTGCTAATTTTATAAAATAACTATTTGTTATATACATTATAAAATTAAAATTAATTTATTGTTTTCAATTTTATCAATTTTATATTGTAAAATGGCATAAATATTTTAACAATAAAATGCTTGTTATTTCATCACTATATTCGCTCCCATGCAGTTTTTAAATTTCCTTCGGTTGAGGAAATCCCCCCCCCCATTAGGAATCACTGCTAGAAGCAAATGGAGGGATCTAGTTTATCTATGAAGTATTTTTTTTCTAATTACTAAAAAAAAAAAATAAAACTTTATTTATTCACTTAATACAATTTTGTAAAACATATTATTTTATTATTCTAAAAATTATAATGTATCACATTCATATCTAAGCAATAGTTTCTTAGTATAAGATAGTTCAACTTAATTTATTGTTTTATAAATTTAAATGATAGAAATTGAAACTGATGTTACTAAAAAACTATTGATCAGATATGATTGTATAATACATTAATATTTTTAGAATAATAATAAAATATTTTTTACATTATTTTAAAAATTTTATAAAGTAAATAAATAGTTATTTTTTTTTTTAAGTGATTAGGGCATTGATAAATAAATTAAATTTTTTCAATATAAAAATTTCTCTTAAAAAAAAAGCAGATTCAGGGTTGTCATCAATGTGTTGTATTTAAAATAGTGGATAAAGTGAGTGAAATTTATAAAAAAAAATTTCTAAAAAGAAACATATGCATCAATAAACCAAGTTTCATAAGATTTAGCTTAATTTATAAATATGTTATTATAATTTTGCAAAAGATACATTGCATAATTTGTATTGGACATAAACATGAAATTATAGTAAGATGAAAACATACCCAATTTAAATGTAGGTAGAATGAATAGATACTTATAATTATTAAATTGCAAACAGGTGCAATGTACCAACTCAAAGAATTGATTTTTTTAAATACAATAGAATCCACTTAATGGGGACAAATTGACATAGTCCCGAATATGAATGTATTCGTTTAAGGCAATTTAACTTTGTTTATTGGGGACAAACCATGGGTTAACCATAAGGGACAAAAATAAAAGCGTCTAACTAGGTATTCTGACCTAAATTATCTAATCTTTATGGCTCTATTATATTTTATATATATGTACAAATGTAATGTACGTTTATCTTCTACTACCACGATCAGAGTCAACTAGCCTACAAAATCGAAAACCTTTAGTTCACATTCTTTTGTCTCTGTGTATTAATGTATGTGTGTTTATTAAAGTTTTTATTGATCCCAGTTTGTGTTAATGCGTAACAATTATGACTCGTAAAGATTTGACGTTGGTTGAAAAAATTTCCATTTTGGACAAAATTAAGGCTCAACATCATAGTCTTCGTGAGTNGCAATAGTGCACCTGTAAACAGAAAAAGAAAGCGGGAAGGCAAAGATCCCGAAGTAGACAAAGCTATGAACGAATGGTTTTCTGCTGTTACAGAACGTGGTGTTCATATTTCGGGCCCCGTGTTACAGCAGAAAGCTGAATTTTTTACTGAAAAAATTGGACATGGTAATTTTAAGGCCACAGAAGGTTGGATGAGTCGTTGGAAGGATCGGAATAATATTAAATTCAAGCGATTTCACAGAGAAAAATCAAGTGCTGATTCAAACGGAGCTGATGAATGGTCTCTAACTAAATTACCGGAAATTCTTAAAAAATTTTCCTCTCAGGACATTTATAATGCATTTATAAACTGGTTTGTTCTACCGAGCGACTTCGGATGGTTCTTTGTGCTATAAACGTGAAACACTCGAAGGATCAAAAAAGGCTATGGATTGTATAACAGTTTTGTGTTGTTGTAATATGGCAGGCACAGATAAAAAAAAGCTGTTGATAATCAGAAAGTCCACGAAGCCAAGATGTTTCAAAAATATAAAAATAACAAACTTGCCTGTTTCTTATTTAGCGAATAAAAATGCATGAATGACAGCAGTAATATTTACATCATGATTGAAAGACTGGGACAAAGAGCTTGGAAAACAATCAAGGAAAATTGTATTAATTGTTGATAATGTTGGACCACATCCCCACTTGATAGATTTAAAAAATATCACACTTGAGTTTCTGCCTCCAAATACTACTTCTCTCATTCAACCACTCGATATGGGGATCATTAAGAATTTAAAAACTCATTACCGTGGACTGCNCTGTAAACAGAAAAAGAAAGCGGGAAGGCAAAGATCCCGAAGTAGACAAAGCTATGAACGAATGGTTTTCTGCTGTTACAGAACGTGGTGTTCATATTTCGGGCTCCATGTTACAGCAGAAAGCTGAATTTTTTGCTGAAAAAATTGGACATGGTAATTTTAAGGCCACAGAAGGTTGGATGAGTCGTTGGAAGGATAGGAATAATATTAAATTCAAGCGATTTCACGGAGAAAAATCAAGTGCTAATTCAAACGGAGCTGATGAATGGTCTTTAACTAAATTACTGGAAATTCTTAAAAAATTTCATGAAAATGATGACGTTCAACCCGTCAAAATTACAACAAGAGAAGCAGAAAAGTGCATTGATCAGCTGAGACTATATTTCATGCAAAATGGAAACGAAAATGCCCCAACAACTTCACTNTTCTTGACGAAATTGCTGAGAGAAGTCTGCAAAATGAAGAAAGTGATGAAAATGACGACGTTCAACCCGTCAAAATTACAACAAGAGAAGCAGAAAAGTGCATTGATCAGCTGAGACTATTTTTCATGCAAAATGGAAACGAAAATATCCCAATAACTTCACTAGATGTTTGTGCAGATTTTATCAATAAGCGAAGTCTTGATAAATTACAGCAAAGAAGAATGGACGATTTTCTGCAGCCTAACAAAATATGAATTAAGTATGTACATAATGTATTAAATAAATTTACGATATAATTATACTAAATAGTAAATATAATGTACAACTGCTAATAATAATAANAGCTGAGACTATATTTCATGCAAAATGGAAACGAAAATGTCCCAACAACTTCACTAGATGTTTGTGCAGATTTTATCAATAAGCAAATTCTTGATAAATTACAGCAAAGAAGAATGGACGATTTTCTGCAGCTTAACAAAATATGAATTAAGTATCTACGTAATGTATTAAATAAATTTACAATATAATTATACTAAATAGTAAATATAATGTACAACTACTAATAATAATAATAATAATTATATGTAATTTTTAAATAAAGTATGAATAGTAAGTATGTATATATTTTTTAAATAAAGTTTTTTAGTTTTTTTAAAGTTGTTTTTTTCGTCAGTTCGGCTAATCGGGACAGTCGGATAATGGGACAAATAGGTTACCGCCCGATGTGTCCCCATTAAGCGGATATCATTTGATAAAATTGAAAAAATGGATTTAAAACACAAATTTCTATAGAAACCTATTATTAATACTTGGTAACATAATGTTTTAATATAATATGTTAATTATTTAAATAACGAAAAAGAGTATAGTTTACATTCGGTTGATTAACCAGCATTTATAGCAATGCTACAATTAAGATTTAAGATATTTATTAACTTAGACAACTAAAATATAATATAACTCAGTCTTTATGCAGAGAAAAATTTAAAATTATATCACTTTTAGTATAACAATAAATCTCAAAATATTTGGAAATAATTATTATATATTGTTCGAAAAAAATGTACGACAAATAAAAATAAAAAGTGGCATTTAGATGAAAAAGTGACCAACTAGCAACTCTACAAATTGAAAAAAAATTTAAATATTAACATCTAGAAAAATTTATCTAACACAATGGGTTACTCTGTATATTAGTTTTATTTTCTCCTCACCTTCTTCCCAATTATCTGAGGTCCGCAACTCTCAATGTAAACTTCCAGTTGACCCAAGATCCCACCTACCATACACTGGTTTTTTTCATATCATTATCAAACACATTCATTCAATCACCACTTTTTCGGCCTTCTTCTCTCACCTCTTTCTTTTTATGTTAGTATGTAAGTTTTATAATTATTTAATTGTTAAAATAAAACTTAACAAATATTACCATTTAAATAATAGATTGAAACAGGATAACATTTTCCTTCAACACCTAACACAGCTGCAGTATCATCATCTGGATTATTCCCAGGGTTAAGATTGAAATATGATTTAAGCTGTGTGAAATCCATAGTAGCTGATAATATTATAAGTCGTAAAGTAGGTCGTTTCTGAAAAATTTGCTTAATTATAATAAAATAATTTAAAAGTTAAAATAATTATAAAATACTAACCTTTAAAATTTTTTTAATTAGTCCCATTAAAATATCAGTCATCAAACTTCTTTCATGTATTTCATCCAATATTATTACTGAATAGTTAACCAGCAATGGATTATACATCATTTCATTTAAAAGAATACCTTCCGTAATGTACTATTTACAATATATATATACATTTTGTTAAAAAATACAGTTTAAAAATATACCTAATTACTAACTTTAAACATGCGATAAGATAAAAGCATTTTATTCCAGATGAAATCGCAAAAGAAATTGATATGAATATCAACCCAAAAAAGGCGCTTGGATACGACCAGATTAACCCAAATATTCTGAAAGAGTTATCTAAAAAAGCTATAATTCATCTAACACACATATTCAATGCCATTCTATGTATGGAATACATTTCTAAACAATGAAAACGAGCCCAAGTGATCATGGCACTTAAATCAGGAAAACCACCAGAACAAGTAACTTCATTTAGACCAATTTCGCTTCTTCCAAGCATCTCAAAATTATTTGAAAAACTACTGCTAAAACACTTAAAACCATTAATAGAAGAAAGACAGCTTATACTAGAACATCAGTTTGGATTTTGAAATAAACACTCAACAATCGACCAGGTCCATCATGTCACCAAAATAATAAGCAAAGCGCTTGAAGAGAAAAAGTATTGCTGCGGAGTATTCCTTGACAAGTTTGGCACAAATGATTACTTATAAAACTATGTGAACAGCTGTCACACACCAGGTGTGCACATTTCGAATCCTACCTTCAATTCAGGGTCATTCATGCAGAAGCATTAACTGATTGGAAAAAGATACTGGTGTGTGTACCACAGGAAAGCGTCCTTGGACCAATCCTGAACTGAATCTACACAGCGGACATTCCAACCGATAACTGTTCAATGACAGCCATGTTTGCTGATGACACGGCAATAATGACAACAAATGAAGACCAGCATATTGCGACTGATTGGCTTCAAAGGTCCATCAACAATGTTTCCAACTGGACGAATTGGAAGATTTAAATTAACAGTGAAAAATCGGTGCACTTAAATTACACCTTGCGTAAAACCCTCTATAAACCGTTATTACTAGATCAGCAGAGCATCCCACAGTGTGACTCAGCAAAATATCTAGGAATGCACCTGGACTCTCGGCTCAACTGGAAGCATCACTTTAGACAGAAAAAAATGTGACAACTATATTGGCTGGTTGAAAAACATTCTGAACTAGAGCAATCTCACAAGCAAACGCCTCTTGTATGTAATGATAATTAAACCAATATGGACTTATGGAATTCAACTGTGGGATTGTACCAGCAAGTCCAATATTGAGATTATACAATGTTGGCAGAACATCGCTCTCCGTACCATTTTCGCAGCTAACTGGTATTACAGAACCGACATTATCTAGTAATATACATTGTCCATATCTTTCTTTACCCCATCAAAAAACTGTCAACAATGTATATTTCATATTGTGGTAAATTAATGAAATAGGTATTATATATTTTCTTTAATAATATTGTTTATAATATTATACAGATTTATCTAACATTCTCTTCTTTTCCAGCTAACCGGTATGACAGAAACGAAATTATCCACCGAGATATGATGATCGCCTTTGTCGCAAACATGAGATAAGATTGGATCAACACACTAATTCAGCAGCAATTCAACTACTAGACAACTCTCTAGACATTAGGCGTCTCAAAGACCATATGACTTAGTAAAAGATTATTAAACTAAGACCGGGCCACTCCACTGGGAGTGAGATTCCACACATGTTTATTTCATTTTTTATTTTTGTATATAAATAAATCACAAGTATTTATGTACACCTGTAATAATATATTGTTAAAGATTTATTTTGATCTTTACAATAAAAGCTTTCGGGCGGTTTAAAAAAAAAAAATCTGTAACCTTTCACACTATATAAAAAGATATTCATGCAAAAAATGATAGGAATAATGAGAACTCATAAATAGCCTGGGAAAATAATTTCCATTAACTTCATTATTTTATTATTGTATAGATAATTAACACTGCTAAAATTAATTTAAAGTCTTTTATATTAATTAATATATATAATATATTTATATTACATACATCACAAGTATTTATGTAGACCTGTGATAATGCATTGTTAAAGATTTATTATGATCGTTACAATAAAAGCTTTTCGGGCGGTTTATAAAAAAAAAAAAAAAAATGACTAACTTTAATCTTTGTATCTGGTTGACAGCAATTATCAAATCTAACTGAATAGCCTACTGTATGACCGACATTTGTGTTTTGCTCCTCTGCAACACGAGTAGCTAATGTTATGGCACTGAGTTTCCTAGGTTCAGTGATAACAATTGATTTATTAAATTTGCATAAACCACAATCTAAAAGCATCTGAAAAAATGTTAATATTTATAGTAAACATATATTACCTAATATACATATTAAAATTACTTCTATTAATTAAACAATTTTCATAATTATTATAAAATTAATGTAAAATAATTTTATAAAAGTAATGAAGTTGATAAAACAATGAGAATTGATTTAAATAGGATAAACCTATCAGAAATAAAAGCAGGTACATTAAAAAATAATTATTTTAACTGGACATTGTATAATAGACTACAACTGTATAATTTGTTAGATAATAAAATAAAATGTATAGGTACTATGTAAAACATACTTGTGATACTTGAGTACTTTTTCCACTCCCAGTCGATCCGACCAATATTAGAGTTTGAAACTTTTCACAGAGATATAAAACTTCATTGCGGTACTTTGTAATAGGTAATTTATTTCTTTGCGTTTGTAAGTCTAAGAACATGTATGGATTATACACAAACGATGAAGAAATAGTACCTTCAAATTTTGATTTCTCCTCTCCATATTCCAGTTTCTCATCTACAATTTTCATCATTACATTAAATATACAAAACAAATAAATTGATCTAATATATTTATTTCATAAAAGTTATACAATTTTATGTAACAGCTTAAAAAAATGTGATCCTTTAAATTTAAATGGACTCGATTTACAATATTTTAATTACAATCATTAAAACATAGATACATTGTGGATTATTGTTGGAAATATATACTTTTAACTTACCGGGATTTACGAATCGGTAAAGAGTCATCTTAAACAATATAGAAATCAACACATTAATGACTATCTAATACGTATAATTTGTCAGTACTATCATTCATATTTCAGTTAACTAGTTATGATACGATTAAATAGGATATATGTTAGTAAAATGTTTATGATTATGCCATATATGAAATATTTCAAATATGGAGAAAATCAATCAAAAGTTTATTTTAATTAACACAAAGCGTCAGTACATTGTTTACATTAAACAAAAAACATCGGAAATTATTTCAGCGTTATCCACGGCTGTAGTCGGGAGAACGAAAAGTGGCCGCTGATGCGCACGCTCCAGGTGGTGTATTTCTATCATGATTTTGCAAAATTATGAAAAAAAAGCGCGCGTATTTTGAATTATTAATGTAATAGCGAAGCCACGACCATCAATTGTACTGGTTGACCGCAGTTCGCGCACCGCCCAGATGTTGTATATCGATCGAGCTACGCGAAACTCAGTTTGATAACCTCTGTTTATCGAAAAAAAACTCGTTGCTACCATATTTGCCAGCGACCAGTTTTAGTTCTTCCGACTTTATAGATTATCTATAGCCTTAGATCATATACTAGGAGCATGAACTAGTAGAAGGGCGTATTTAAACACAGACAATTAAGTTGGTAATGTCGACTAAAAGATATCCAGGCGCCCTTTTAAAATATAATTAATTCAGAAACGAATGTTCCATTTTTCTAAGGGAGAGGGGGTCCTGAAAAATCATATGTATTTAAAAGATATCTCTATTAATAGAGATAATCCTTTTTTGAAGGCTATTTTATTGAAATTAAATTGGTGTGTGTGGGGAATCCAGAGACCTTTGAGCCCCCCCCCACCGCAAACCCGTCACTGAATTGAATAAACACCGATTTGTTAAAATCAAATCTGGTATACCACATTAAATGCATAATGTATATACTTGTGTACAAGGAATTATGTGTTACGAGTAATTTTATTGTTTTTCATAATAAAAATAATTATATACTATTTTTATATTTTTTTTGCATAACAGTTGTTTTTGCTTCCTGAAAAAAGTGTTAGTAGTATACGCCCTTTTAACAAAACACCATCGATATCAAATTATTATGAGAATGCGGCAATACACTCTTCTTATGAACAAGGACCATTATAAGTGCAATGCAAAAAAGAAAAAGTTACTACTACTTTTATTTTTGTTTCTTTATCTTGAATCGGGGAAAACTGCCTATGCTCTACTTTCCCACCGGGCCGCGATCGTTTATTAACATCATACATGATTACGATAACAGCAAGACAGAAAAATTAAACGGTAATAATTAATAACGATTAATAAATAGTAACGGTTGCGCTCAGCGCTTTGGCAACGATCTGCCATTGGTTCGCATGCTATGGCTATCCCCCTCCCCATCTTGTTCGCTTTGCCACTGCTGTTCCTCCTTTGACTACTACTACTGCTACTTATTTTTCTAAGTAATTAAACTAATGTGAATTAATAATTCAATATGAACTTTGTCAATGTAAATAATAGGTACCTCGTGGATAGTATTAAACTTATCTCGTACTATAACTTTATTCTAAATTCAACAAAATAATATTTATATATTATAGTACTTTATAATGGTCGACTCCTCAATATTCTGTTGTACTCGTAGCACGATTAAAGATATAAATATATCTTATAAGATATAAGATAAATATATATATAAAGATATAAGATATAAATATATCTTTAATCGTGCTCGTAGTTCATATTCATTATTTGTCACAATCCCTACACACCTGATTCCATTCCATATTTAATAAGTACAAAACAGACGAGACAGTGAAATCAGAAATACTGATGGCAAAAAAATAATAAATATTCATAAATGATAAGATATATAATATAATAATGATATTATATTTTAAGAAAAATACGTGGCGAATGGTAAATGGTTGACAACGAGTGATAATGTTTGTAAAACGACGGGTAATAAATTATTTCGTGCAATCAAAAAGGGGGCATACACGGATCGCCTCCCGCCTGACCATCGAATTGCCTCCTATTTTAGGTAGTGACCTTCTTGTATCGGAATCGATTTCTATTTCGATTTTTTTAAAACTAAAAACAATTATACATAGGTATACGATATTATTACACATATCATTAATAGACATTAGTACACGGTATTAGGTATTAAGTTAATGTCGAAAAAAGCAAATAGATATAATATGTATTGTATCAAAATTTCACGTATTTAAAACCAATAAAAAGATTAATTTAGATGAAATAGCATTATGTTTTATAGTCAAAAATTTAAATTTAAATTAGTTATGTTGTATGTTTCCGAGATTTAAATTTATTTACTAATACTTTTGAAAATAGAAATTTTGAAATTTCGTTTCTGTTTAATTTATCAAGTTATTAATAAAATTAATTTTATTTTTAGTAGTTGCCTTAACTTTCATTAAGTTGGATTTCATTAAGTTGATTGGTTTTTAAATAAGCTGAACATGTTCGTTTTGTGCACGTCCATCGGTAACCAAGTTTTGTTGAAACCCAAACTTAAATCCGTATCCATCCCAAACTAAAATTGTTTTGCCTTTTCCACTAATAACGACTATGTTGAACTAGTGGTATTGAATACGATAATTAACTAATCATCTACTGATAATCAGTTATCGATAAGATGATTGCATTCGAGAAATTAATCTGTCTGGGGAGTACTATGTGTATATATTATTATAAATAGTACAAATAATATTTTTGAACATTACGGAAATCAATATAATAATCGATGGTAGACGTCAATTATCGATATATTAATTAATAATCTAGGTATGCTATGGGAGGCAATTCGAGTGGACGGTTTGAGTACATTCGAATTGTTTCCGAAAACGCCCGGAAGCAATTCGAGTGAAAAAGATCATCTACCTGGATTTGGGAGGCAATTCGAGAATACCGCAAAAACGAACGTGTGTTCAAAACACACGAAACGAAACGACACGAGTTGAGGACTCCATTTTGCGCGAAATATGAACCAAAGTAATTCGGGCGGGTGTATTAAATTTGCACCAAAATTCAAATCAATTATTCTTTCAATAGTATCTACGTACAAGTTTCGATAGTAGAATATAATATATTGAGATATGAGAAGCTAAAGACACAGAATATTCCGTTTCGATTTTGAGTGGCTATTTTACTTACCTATGAACACCGTTTTACGGTAGGTCCGTCAATATTGATTTAAAAGCTATCTTATAACAATAATATGAAAGATATTATATTATATAATATTATAATAATTGTACTATTTTAGGCGAAAATATAATTTAATATTTTTGTGCTACAAATGAAAAGTCGGAAATACTTAGATTAGTGTTTGGTAAATAATAAATTATACGATTACGACGAATTATTGTACGTCAAATTTTGAAATGATTACCAGATAAAGTTGCGGGTAGTTAGGAATCCTGGAAATAAAATATACATATTTTCTCACTTTCAAATATACATGAATGTTTGAAATTATCAATCAAAAAATTAAATAATAATGTTTTATAAAACGAGGTATGTTAATAAATTCATTCTTTAGAAATAGAATATTGTAAAGATAAACTTGTATTAAAGAAAACAATCATTTTTGGATTTTTAAAAATAGTAGTATAGGCCAGTTAAAATTGTCTATTATGCCAATGTGGGGGTCAATCGAATAGTCACTTGACAATTGAATACTCGATAATCGAATATATAGATAATCATTTTGGTACAAATTAGAAACACTATTTTCAACTTCCTACGGTGGTGCGCATTGAATACCCTTATTTCAACTACCTAAGTCAGGTTAGGTTAATTTAAGCTAACCCACATTACTTTCTAGTACTAGTTTATTGCATTCGTGTACGTTTATTAGAGAATTTACGCAAAAGAGTTTAAATCGATGACGTTAATACCATAGACATATAATAAAAGGTTAGGTTCTATTAAATTCAACTCGATGATTCAATACATCTTATAGATTTATACGAAAAAGATACGGATGTAATTATTAATATTGATAAATTGATGAATAACGTAGAAAATAAATTACGCATTTCATAATTATTTTCTACTCGAGAAAACATAGTTATATTTTTTCAATACAGTTGCAAATAATTTATTACGCAGTATTTTACATAGTTTATAAAGAAATAATTATTTAAAATAGGAAACAGTTGACGTCTGATCGTCGTATAAAAAGCGTCAGTTAAACATCAGCCGTCGGTCGATATAAATAAATATAATACAAATCATAAAGATATTGTGATTTTCTAGTTCAATAATTTTGGTGATATGCGTCCATCAGCTGAATTGCTGAATTACAAATAAAAATTTGTCTGCTTAAATACTTTCTGCTACAATACTTTCGGCTAAAATAAAGCCCCTCACATATGCATGCTGAAAACAAGGGTTTCAAATGTTCAATTCTTCTTCCATAATACCTACATTGTGTCAATATTTTTTTCTCATTATACTTAAACTGACTGATTCATAGACACATAGTAAATATTTAAACATATGCGTTATAATTTTGATATTTTGTAAATGAAAAAAAAAAATGATTGAAAAAATAACAATTCGATTGCAAAAGTATATAAATTCTAAAGATAAGAAACTATGTGATTTTTACTACTCGAAAATCATCCAGCTAAACTAAATGTGCTAAAGCTGAAAATACAATTTAAAAGCAAATTCGAAAATCAAAATAAAAAACATTTCATAGATTTAAAAATAAAACTGAAAGCAAAAATCAAGAAATTCGCCTGTGGTGATTAGTGCAGACTAAGAACTTGAAAAAGTTGAGCACGGAAATTAGTGTAATATTTATAGTGTAGACGCAGGTACTGTTACTGCAAACACAGTTTTCCGGTCGAGCAACCTTGCGCAGGAAAATCGGTACCTAATATTATATATTCGGTGAAAAATTATATTTTGCATTTCTAACGCAAAATACAAAAAAAAAAAAAAAAAAAAAAAAAAAAAAAAAAAAGACAAATGA